ACCATCTTGTTAAAATCCTGGGCTCTGACCAATAGATCACTTGATGCTAATAGTTTACAGCACTCTGAGTCTGAGATAACAGCAGGGGGTCATAATTGGTCCATTTTTTACACATTACTGCAATTCCTGGGAAAAAAATAACTTGTCAGTTCATTCTTTGGATTCATAGGCAACTCATTTGACAATGCCGTTACTTAGAAAACACCCTTATATTTTTTCTAAATCTAATCAATGAGTTGTCTGTTATTGGACCATGAGAATAGTTAAACCCAACATATTAAATTACCAAGAACTTGACCATGTGTCCTCAATAGGAAAGAAGGTCCTGATACAGTGGGCAGTTAAACGATTAGGCCTAATGATATTATGAATATAAATACGATAACAAACAAATAAACTGCAACTGAACCGGGCCCTTTTTTAGTTTAAGCAGTTTTTATATTTGGACATGAAAAGATGTCTGTCCTCCTGGATTTTGAAAAACATTTTCTGTTAAATATCACTTCAAGGGGAATTAAAAAGGAGTTGTGTTGGCTGGTGAGATAGGAAGCTTACACGCATCACCACCAAACTTGAAATGCAAAAAGGAAATTTGCTCTCAATTTTATGCACCGTTACTCCGTGTATTTTTTTTCTAAAACCAATTTGGTGCAATATGGTTGGAAAATCAATTAAAGGAGTCCTATTCAACGCATTCAGACACACATCCATGATGCCGGAATATAAAGGACAATAGACCCTGCAGTAAGTATGTGAACCATGACCTAAATCTGGTACGGTCAGAGGAATTCATCATCTCGTTCATCCAAAATGTTCCTTTGTTCTCTCTATGCACTTAACTGCACAATGTCAGCAGTCTTTAGAGAGCCAGATTTCTTTCTAAACGTGCCTGCTCAGCTTCCAGAATCTCTTTTTAATGTCAGAGTTTGGACTGTGCTTATGAAAATCTTTACTTTGACAAATGGGCACAATAATTAAGGCTTGAACCTCTATTGGCGTGTCCGTGGAAAGTCAAGAGTGTATGCTCAGGTATGTAATGATTGGCTTTCCTTACAGAGGGATGAGATCCAGATGTGTAGTGTGTCTGCTACTGGAGAGAAAGAGGGCACTCCAGTTCTGTCTCACACACTCCAAAAAGTCAAATAATCAGCGACTCTAAAATAGTCAATGCCAAACAAACCAGCAGAGAGGAAGGAAGCTGACGAACCTCTTCTAACAAACGTGTTTGATTTGTTTTTCAAAAATAAACTATCCATCAGGAACTGGGATCCATCTGCTTTGATTTGGATTAAATATACACAGACTTCTTTTGTGACTACTTTGTTCTGTTTTTTAGCAAGCTTAACGGAATATCTAATCAAAACTTGGATGTTGTTTAAAGAGTTTTTAATGGTATGCATAAGTAGACGTATTCTTTTTTTAATGTGATTATGCATGAACAACATTAAAAAACATTTTGCCATTAGAAAAGTTATTTCTACTGTCTGGTATTGAGTCACCTTAATACATCTTAACAATTAGCTGTGACACCTAGCTGGGACAGACAGTAGACAATGCACTGACATTAACCTAAGAACAACGGACATTTAATGAAAGGTCATTTTGAGCTGAACAAAGGGCATCCAAAGGAGAACAACCTGGAAATGAGAAAAGATAAAGGTCAGGCTGCGTAATTGATGTGAAGTGGTTTCATCTGCATTAGTGCGCTCAGGAGTTAAAACATTATCAGGCTTGCAATCTCAATCTTTAAGGAGGCATTCTTGTGGTTGAAGTTGAGGTTAAAGCGTAAAGTTTCACCGTACGCATGCACCCCAAACTCGTGCGCCATCATGTGATTCTGATGTGTTTTGACAAAACAGGGAATATATGGAACATATCGAGTATACAGTATGGATGTATAAAAGCCATACAGATTTTAACACAAGTCTTTCCACATGGGTGTTTTGATACTATTCTTGGAAGCGAAGTAGGCTACTGGTCTCCATTGACACATCTTGCCTTAAAGTCCACCAGCTTTTCCTGAGATTTTTCTGACTTCCTTTCAAGTCTACAGAGGGTTTTACACTCCAAAGATAGATTTTGGTTGGAGGATCACTCCCATATTTTTTAAATATTGAATATTGCATGTGTAAGAGGCTTATTTAAGTGACCACAAATCAACTAAGAGAAGGACATTGATTAATATCAAAGTTGTTGAGTTATTTGTAAACTCAAGGGACAGATTTGTCTCTAAGGATGTAATTCTCACTCTACTCAGTTCACAGGCCCTGTTAGAGACTGTTCTAGTACTTGCTGGCATGCATACATGATGCTTGCTTTTCTGACCCAGCATTTCACATGATCTAACCCCAACAAATAAGTACACAGTATGTTTGCTTTTGGCTTTTTGGTCAGCAGAGATCTAGCATAGTGTATGAACGCAGAGGAAAGAATGCATCACAGCTTTGTCATTTATCACCAGAGCACTAACGACTCTCCGGCTCAAATAGCTTAATGGCTCTATTATTTTAGAAAATGGTCACCACATGTTTTAAAAGTGTGGCTACATGAATGCCAAGGCATTAGCTGTGCTAAAATGAACATCCTGTACTCTTTAAACAAATAGTCATGCATACATACATTGTTACAGACAGATACATGAGAGATTGTTATGAATCAACAGCAGTGTTTATTAAGCAGCTCGTTGTGCATTAAGTAAAACACTAACAGTTTAAATGTAAAACATGCATGTAGTGCTTGATTATTATAGTTTGCAAACACGTTGAGTTGCACAGGTAGTAAGGGATGTGGGAACGAATGAGGAAAGTCGTCGCTGTGGAATTTAAACTGTCCGTCAATTAATACAAATATCAATAAAAGAGCTTGACAAGTATTTTGCAGAAGTTTGTTGAAATCTTAACATGACTCCCCCAAAACAAACACACACAGATGGATGATGGATGCAACTCAATATTATACAACTTTTGAGATAAGAAATGAATAATGATCAAACTTGAATGAAGCTCTGTAAGTTGGCGAGTTAAAAAAGCAGGTCCTGCATACATGTATAAAGTAATGAAACAGGGCCCCCTGCAGGAGACATTATCACAGTCAGAAAGGCAGCCAACCAGGCCTTTTATCAATTTGAAAACCAATTCAGAAAATGTGTAACCTTTGAGCTGGCTCACTGGATTTCACTCAAGTATGAAGAAGTTCTAAAAACAAATTGATATTCTGAATATATCTGCTACATTTCTATTAAAAGATACTGGAAGACCAACTGTGTCTGTGGTTAAAAAAAGCATGAAACTATAAAAACATGGACGTGCAGTGTGAGGAGGGATGTGTATTCACAACAGACCATATATGAATGTTGTGGCCCACATTTTCATATTAGAAACTAGGAGGTCTAGAGTGATGAAATATCAGTTCTGTTATCTCTGTTTTACTATAAATATTCAAGGGGGTTGACACATGAGCAGAGTTCTTGTTTCATGTGTCACTGTGTATTTAATCGTGTGTTTATTGTGTGATAAGACATCGAAACCAAATGGGATTCCTTTAACTGAAAAACAAGGTCCTAGCTCATTTCCAGTGGGGTTGCATTTAAAGTTGAACATTCCTCACTGTCTCTGCAGCAAGATTTCAAATAGTGATATGAGTAGGTTTTAGTTCATATAGACAAGAAGGAAAGGATGTATTTAACAGTTTCCTACCCTATATATTTATCAAAGGAAATAAATCGATAGAAAAGGCAAGGAAAGGAAAGACAATTAAAAGAAAGAGCCAGACTGATGAATGCAAGGCAGCTCATATGCAATTTAAAATACAAATCGTCTTGGTGTTGGTTGAACAACTTGAAACTGTTGTAATATGTCTGCAAATATCAGTACAGACAACTAATGACAAGACTGTTGTCTGTTTATTTTGTTTTCAAGACTCTGATCTCACACTAAAATACCAGAAGGCATAGAGCCCTGTGAATTAGGTTTTCTGTGCCCCAGCAACTATGTCAGTGGTTGAGGTGTTCACCTTCTGCTTGCATCTACTGCAAGATAATTGTGTATTATAGTTTTTAAACAGCCTATGTTCTGTGTTTGCTCTGCTCCGTCACAGCTTTGGCTGCAGTGTAGGTCTGCTAATGGCCTTTTTATCAACAGGGATCATTAAATAATGCCCTGCATATTTGGCAGCAAAATTGTTGTTTAGCAGAGGAAAATGAAGACACAGATAGATAATGGGTGCTTGTTGTGTCTGCCAGCCCAGTTTAGTGATGGAGCACTTTCATACACCTTCATGACCTCTTATGATTATACATGATTTTCAAGTACATTGGCCGCTGTTCCTTTTTACATATTCCCAGATGGTTTATGAAAATGTAATTTGCATATTTGCTCTTACATATGCATATTTTGCTCCTTCGCCCCTCCGCGGGGAAGCGCCTGTCTTATAAAAACACGAACAAAGAAATATGCTGCAATCCCTAGCCTTTTTAGTGTTCTTCGTTTTTGTGAGTGCAAACTTGCATTCATGCTCAACTTGAGCCGATTAAAACAATCTCACTTTCCTCTATTTAATTCCATTTCAGAATAATATAATTAATATGTTTGATTATGATTATTGATGCATTAATGTGTTTATCGAAGCTATGCAGCTAGTTTGAATTACTTTGTATACTACAGGGTAACTTGAAAATGTTACTGTAGGTGTAACCAAAGTCCTTTTAAAGTGTTGTCTATATTTCACATTATTAATCCAAATCCAAAGTAACTAAAGGTATAAAACAAATGTAGTGGAGTAAAATTACACGAATTAGGCTACCTCTGAATTGTAGTGGAGTAGAAATACAAAGTGGCATAAAATGAAAATACTCAAGTAAAGTATCTCATGATTGTACATTACTTGAGTAAAGTACTTCGTTACTTTACACCTCTGCCAGAGGGACCAGCATACATGTATTAGCAGGGGACTAGCGTGGACTGACAGGAAGTTGTTGTTTCTCTGACCAATCACATGAAGAGAGGTCCAGCAGCGCAGTCCGCATTGGAGACTATCCCCATAGCATCCTCTCTGTTTGTAGCTACGTTAGCTCTGTCATTAAGTTAGTGGACCAGCCTCCACACAGCCTGCAGGACGCACAAAAGCAGTGGAGGTCTGTCATTTTTTTTTATGCGACAAAGATTAAAAGGGCAGCAGATGAACTAAGGTTTATTTCAGGTGGAAGATATAATTGGAGATGTGTAATAAACTGCATTGGACACTTAGGACCTACCTGGCTTCCAGCCTATCAACTGACAGCTGTCACCGCACCTAGCTGCTGAGCTAGCTTTGTGCTAACGGCTAACAAGTGTTTTTTTCGGGCTAAATTAGCCAGCCAGTGCTACTCTCGCTTCAGAGAGGAAAATAGCTGACTTCCGCATGGACGTTATATCGTATTATTTTCTCAACAGAATTTGACTCCGCCTGCTGTTTAAACCATGAGTTAGCTAAGGTGCGTCGGACCGCAGTGTTTGGAATATTTAAGGTCCAGCTAAGTAAGCTAGCATTTAGCCTCGAAGCTAGCTTTCATTCAATTTTTGAAAAACTGCTTACGCGTTAACACCAGCACAACAGCGCACCGGGACTGCTTCAATCCAAACTGTTGTTACGATACTAATACATTTTGGATTTGCTTTGAATAACCTCTGGGGGGGAAATGAAGAAATTCTTTGACTCTCGTCGGGAGTTGGTGAGCTCCGGGCCTGGATCTGGAGCCGGTGGAGGAGGCGCTGGATCCGGCGGCGGAGACAGCTTCATCGGACGGGTCTTCACCATTGGACGGTATCAGGTGACCGTGGAGGAAATTATCGCAGAAGGTGAACTATGTGGCTTTCTGTTGTGTGGATTACACCCATGTCACACAAACACGTTTATCTAGATCCACAGTCTGCCCTGTACCACATTGTTTTGAGTCAAGTAACATTATGTTTGGGCCTGTTTTTTGGGGGGTTATGGCCTGAGTAGACTACAAACCAAATGATATATCATACATTTATCATATGTTAATTATGAGAAAGGCAATGGTCATTCGTATTGGCACATTGCCATGACAGTTGTATGAATTGTGACCACCAAGGAAACTATTTTAATATTCTTTCAGTTTCCAGTCAGACTACTTTTGTGCTCTTAGGTTACTTTCTTACCTTTTCTTCTTTTGTTTAATTGCTCGATTGAAAAAGTATTTAAATGTAGGAATGGGTGTCAGTATAATTGTCAGTTACTCAGATTGTATTTTCCTTGCAATACAGCACATTTTAGCTTTAGGCTAGTAGGCTGGGAGGAACCCTAATTGTACAACTGGATTTTCTACTGTTTTGTTAAGGACCAATGCCATGCTGACTCATCTGTCTTGATATTTACAGAGTGAGTAACAAATTACAAATGCAGATATTAGAAGTTTTGATGTTGGTTAAAAAGAGGGAAAGGTTATCGGGATGGGTAGACACATAAAACCTGACCTTGTGACAAACCTGGACTTTCATAACATACCTGGGGCCTGCACTTATCTATCTTAAAACAATGTTTATTAGCTGTAGGTTAATCCCAGTCATTGAGCTGAAGGCCGAGAAATGTTTTGCTGAAAACTGGTCTTAACCAGAACATGGTTAAACAAACGTATTGATATTGGGCGAACAAGTTTCCTATGGTCATTTGTCTGCAATGAGTCTGCCATGCCCTGTTAGCGAAGAGTGGCTGTTACTGAATAATAGATGAAAGAAGACTGATTAATTCATCAGTACTATAGATGGGCCACATCTTACCTTTATGAATGTGTTAGACATCCAACCGCAGTTATACCCGCATTGACATGCCAGTGGAAACATATAGTGGAATTTGTGCAGAGTGCATCTGAGTTTTCTAATCAGTTCTGAAAAAAGAAACGTTGGAACTGCTAGAGACTCGAGAGAGGCACCACTCATCCTCATCAACCAGATTTAGCGTCGACCGTGACAGATACTAATTCCCTAAAATTATAGATCCTTTCACAAAATCCTAGTTGGAATGTTTTTTCTGCAGATCATATGTAATCTTGCTTTGGGAGTGGACCAACTGCTTGCAATGTGACTCCCCCCTTGTGTCACTAAGTCTATTTGTTCAGATGCTTTTGGTTGTAGTCTGGGCTATTCATTTCTGTGGGCTTTCTGCTTGATTTGGAAAGTGTGTCTACTCCCTTTGTTGTTATTGTTAAACTCTGTTGCCTTTAGCTGAAATGAAGCCTGTTTTACAATAAACAGACACAAGCAGTCAGAAGGACAAACTGGTGGCTTTGGGCCTCAAGGTTTGTTTGCAATCTCATTATTGAAGTCCTTTTTTTAGACATTTGGGCTTCTGGCAGCTGTCTGTAATTTGTCCTCACAGGACTTTCCGAGAGACAGCTTTATGTCTTCATCAACAAGGTGTGTTTTCTTCTGTCCATATAGAGTTACTCACTCCTCGTACCATTAGCCCTGTTCTGGAAATGTAACATGTTGCATTGAATCAGTGTCCCCCCCAGTTACTGCGGGGTCATGTAACCCTGCTGCAAGCATGTTTGTTAACAACATAGTAGTTGTAAGGACATGTGATGGTAGTTATATAACTTCCATTACACTGATGAGAACTTGTAACAGGACACTTTTACCAATCTCTGCGCTTTTCATAGCAGTGCCTGAAGGTTTACATTTGTGTGCATTTGCTTGAGCGTGGCTACAGCTAGAGGGGTATAATCCTTAAAGTCAGTTACGTCACGAGGCAGTGGCTATTTGTAGTTCTACTTACAACTATTTGCTCGCACTGTCTGTCACATGCTGAGATTGAAGACCACTGCTAAATATGTTGCTTAAGAAGGCCGCTAATCCTTTTAATTTCCTACTAGCATTTCAGATTAGGCTCTGAAAGTCATCTGTCTGAACTCTGACGTACCACACACAAACACACTCACAAGCGTGTTTCATGTGTTCATCATGACCAGTGTTTCCGCCAGACCAGGGCTGAGAGGGCGTCCACCCCGAGAGCGGGGGGTGTGATGTCGTGTCACGTAACTTGAATTTTGAATTGAGATATAGATACTATCTCTTTACGTATTAGTGATGGGAATTCATTTGGCTCGGCTCACTAAGAAGAGCCGGCTCTTTCGGCTCCTAAACGGCTCTTCATGTTACCACAGTTTACCACGGAGCCTCGGTTTCGCGCTGCGAGGCTCCGGCGCTCGCAGTACACGTGCGTGCTCCACTAGCACCCCCCGTCAAGGCTCGCCAGCAGTACACTTTCCGTCACAGGAACACGCTTTGCTGGCGGCGAAAAGAAGCCCACCAGATTCCTTTCCCCCTCCATCAAAGGGATGTCCTTGTCCTTTTTCCTTTTCGTCATTTCAAGCGATAAAAACTCGACCTTCTCTCGAATTATTATTTTTGTTGGACGCCCTCGGCTCAAATGACAGCAAGACGCCCCCCCTGGCGGAAACACTGTTCATGACGTCTCTTTATTCTAATTCACGATAGGCTCTCTGTTAGTTTGATAGTGTCCTCATTAAAACCCATGTTCCGGAGCACAATGTTTAGTTCTCTGTGTCTTAAGAACACTAACCACTCAGCCAAGTGCTCGGACACTAACATGTCTGTTGGTGCAGCTCTGTGTTGCACATTTTTGCACTTCATTGTGAATTTTCCAGTATTGAGTTTATAGCTGATGACATAAGTGAAATTGTGAGGTGTGTTGTCATCAATGCTGAACCAGCTCCACCCTGTTCCAAACAAGATATAACACTGAACAAACATGATTTAATTGTAGTGTGAGGATTGTTGTATTAAATGAATCATTTAGGCAAACCTGTTGGAATGTTTTTAAGGGAGAATTTGTTGACTCTTATCATCTTTTTGTACTCTGCATGTATTTAATGATACAGCTCATAGTCCCAAGGCAGTCTTTATCAAATGTCATCCAGACCATTCACATGGAGCTGCGTTGGGTTTAGTATTGCAATCTGGATGAGTCAGCCCAGTGCATGGCATTAACACAAGCTGTGAACAGAAGAGCTGCACTAACACAACAACCTGCTACATAAAAAGAAGAGATAACAAAATGCAAGCGGAGGCCAGTTGATATCTGCAATCCAGTGAAGACAATAGATTATCCCACAGTTCACATTCCAGTGCGGTGCAGTCTGTAGAAAAACCTGCAATGTAAGCTTCATTGGTAAATGCTTTCTCCTTGTGACTTGACCGGTATAGTTATTCATATCTGTTGAAAGACGTATTCTTTATTCATTTGTGTGGTTGCTGGGGGCTCGAGGATACACACAGCTGTCATGTAGTTTCCCCCATGTGTCAGCATCACTGCGAGCGAAGGTGGGATGATTCATTCTCTCACTTCCTGTATCCTCTGTCAGTTGTGTCTTCTTCTTGCATCCTTTTCTTCAGCGCTGCTGCTGACTCACACAGTCAGGGCCGGCCCTTGGCATAGGCAGTATAGGCGAATGCTAAGGGCGCATCAACCCATCGGGGGTGCCGAAAATTGGGGATAGAAAATAAGAAATTAAAAAGATATATATTTTTTTATTTCATAACACAATTTCCCAATTTTGGATCAACAAAGTACATCTTATTATCTTATACTAACAGAACTACGCCTATATTGCGTACAGCACCCATAAACTGGCGCCCCCCCCCCCAAATCAAGTTGAACTGCCCCAGGTAGGTTTATGTGAAATAGCTCTTCTTTTGAAATAATGGTTTTAAGTGTGCAATTATAGGTTTTCATTTTGTATTTGTGTTAATTTAAAATAAATCAAACTCCCAAAAAACGTATACAGCTTTTATTAACATTGGAATTGACTGTGTAAGCGGCCGCGGGGGGGGGAGAGCTTTAGAGAGCTCTTTCCTGAAAGACTGAGAGGCTCTGATAACCTCAGCTCAGTGAGGTAAAGGCACACCTTCATATGATCATTATAGTCGTAAAAAATAAGAGAATAAATGAAAAACAGCAAAAATCTTGCCTAGGGCAGCAAATTGTCCGGCCCTGCACACAGTGCTGTACACCTCGTACCAATCTCCCAGCCCGCCTGCCCGCCAACCATTCATCTATTTCTCACAGTTTTTTCTCCCTGTGGTTGGTAGGGAGTGATTGTGGGTTTTCTCTGGAAGTTTTTCCTTGTACGATGTGAGGGTCTAAGGATAGAGGGTCTAAGGATAGAGGGTGCCGTTTTTCTCATACTGATATTCTGAACAATCTGTGCTGTTGTATTTGCTGTAAAGTGTCTCTACTGTAGGCTATTTTTTATTATATGTACAGCACTTTTGCTCGACCAAAAATCGTTTATAAATGTGCTATATAAATAAAACTTGATTTGATTGAACCTTAGCATTATAATAACATGAAATCCATGTCTTAGTTAGGGTTTGCACAATTCCGGGAATTTTCAAAGATGGAAACTTTACATGGGAATAAACTGGGAATTTTCTAAATTGAAGGTTGGCTCTTCATAGGGAACTTAAATATAGTTGGGGAAAGTATATTTTAGCATAATCTTGACTAAAACACTAAAACAAACAGATGCCATTCAAGTATACTTGAATACCCATGCCATTCCTCAATCACATGCACATAGCAAACTGCTTACTGCATGGCTATTGAGACCACACCCCCTACAGGCATTCCTCCATCACATGCACACATGATTTCTTGAAGTATTATTTAACTCAACATTCTCCATCTCTCCATTCATTTGCAGGAGGTTTTGCCATCGTTTTTCTGGTGCGGACTCATCAAGGCGTACGTTGTGCACTCAAACGGATGTATGTCAACAATGACAATGATCTGCAAGTCTGTCAACTTGAGATTCAGATCATGGTGAGTAACACGGTCCAGTATATTTTTATTTTCTGACACTACTAGTAGATGGTCATGTAGGAGCAGATTGTGTTATTGTGTGTTTGTGTTACACTACTTTTAATCTATAACAGGTTAACACAAACAGCTGAAAGAGTTTTCATTGAAATACTTTCTGAAATCTGTGGTCTGAATGTGACCAAGCCCTAAATGCTTTAAGACCTATGCACCTTAAGTAGAAACACTTTATCTGAGACAACTCTTTGACCCAGGAATAGTGATAGTAAGAGAACCAAGTTCAAGGGTTGTATTGTAAGAAATGCAATCTAAGCTCCCTTGCAGACCTTACTGTAAGTGACACTAACTCAGTTCCTGCAGCCACACCCTGGGTGGCGTGACTGTCGCTGGATGGTTATCATCATAACGTCCGGACCTTTGGCAGAGAATCAGCAACTCTGTTAAAAATAGACTAAATATCTATAAACATGGGTGTTTTCTTTGTTATTTACTTACCCAAATGTTTCAAAGCCTGTAGAATGTATGATTATGTTGTATCCAAATTGTCTGTCACTGTTGCTTTCTCTGTACACAGAGGGACCTAGTGGGCAACAAAAACATAGTTGGTTTCCTGGACTCCAGTATTACAGCAGTTGGAGCTGGCGATGTTTGGGAAGTCCTAATCTTAATGGACTTCTGTCGAGGTAAATACACCCCACCCCCCCCCACCCCCATGTCTTTCTGTCTCTATTGAACTCAAAGCTCCATTACCCTCAGCTTCACACAGATTCCTGTTCAGTTCGATACAAATATTTAGACAACAGGAGTGGAGTGCACCAGCTGGGCGTAAACTGGGCGTAACTCTACGTCCGACGTAGAACCGAAGGTTAAGACCAAACTAAAGTTATGACTAGTGCACCACTTAGACTTAAGCCCTGTATGCGTTGCGCCCGGGTGTAAATGTACGCCTAGTATGGAGCAGGCGTAAATCGGAAAGACAGACTAGTATCCATAGTAACGTAAAACAGGTAAGAAGGATATTAACGATGGCAGGGCATCTTGTTTACATGTTTAACAATGAAAGGGCATTAAGAAGAGTCAATTTCTCCTTCTCCAGCTCAATTTTTTCGTGTTCCGCTCTCAATTTGACGGTCTCCACCTCCACACGAACGATTTCTTTCTCCGTCAGTTCCCGCTGTAGCTCTGACAAATGCCTCTTTCTCTTTCGGGGTGTGGCCATTTGGGTTTCCCCTTGAGTCATCGCTGACGCTGTGGGTGTGGGAATTCCCTCTTCTCTGCGGTCCTCTGAGTCTGTAAAATGGTAAAATTTCTGTTTCGCGTGTATTCACGTGGACGCGCATCTTAAGACCAGGCGCAGCTACGCCCGAGACTAGTCAGGCTTGGTGCACTCGGTGTAAATTCGAATCACTACGTCGGACGTAGCTAAGCCCGACGTTAGAGTTAAGCCCTACTTTTTTACGCCCAGCTGGTGCACTCCACTCCAGCTGTGTATGGTCAATATAACGTCTGTTTAATTCAATACGCTGCTGAGTGGTGTTATTTATAGAATGTATAAATATTTACATCACTGTCTAGTTTCTCAATCGAATATATCTTGTGCTTGTAACATAAGATCTATTCCATTCAAACAAACTTTCCATAAAACCCACAATGTTAATGCAGTGTTGAATTTACAGTAATTAAACAATTCTTTCATCTTCTTTACAATATGTTCAGTTTTAAAGTGTCTCAAGAATTGATTGAAAAAGAACGGTGTAAGCTGTATCTCTCACTGATTCAAATAGTAAAAAAAAAATGTAGTAACTCAAATATAAAATGACACATTAAAGTTATTCATTATACCTTAGTTGACTGTATCTGTTCTATGCAGGTGGGCAGGTGGTTAACCTAATGAACCAGCGGCTGCAGACGGGCTTCACTGAGGCCGAGGTGCTTCAGATCTTTTGTGACACGTGCGAGGCGCTCGCTCGTCTCCACCAGTGCAATACTCCAATCGTCCATCGAGATCTTAAGGCAAGTCTACTTCACTTTATCTAATGCTTCTCACGGCATAAGGATAGTTAATTGGTCATTATTTGGAAGAACTGTAATGTGAGGTCTTTTCATGCACTATAAGTTCTGACAGGTCTCTTTGTCTTGTTCATGCAGGTGGAAAATATCCTTCTGCACGACCGGGGACATTATGTGCTCTGTGATTTTGGAAGTGCCACCAACCGCTTTCAAAACCCTCAGACAGAGGGGGTGCCAGTGGTGGAGGAGGAAATCAAAAAGTGGGTTTTTTGGGCTCTTTACTCTTATGATCCTTTCTCTGCTTAAAAAAAATACAAAGCTCATTAGTGTGTACTTTAAACCAGGTACACTACTCTGTCATACCGCGCTCCAGAGATGGTCAACCTCTACGCTGGAATGATTATCACTACAAAGGCTGACATTTGGGTGAGAAAGCTGTGTTTATTATCACTCTGCCACATAGCTAATATTAATTCACCATGACAGTGACATCAGTGTTTCCCACAGAATTTGATTCTATTTGTGGGGGCACCGCACCCCCCCCCCCCCGGCAAGAAAAGCCAAAGGCCCCTTAACCTATTCGGGTGGCCCACGCATCCACCCCCCCCTCAAATAAGAAAATACATGCGAGTTCATGGCTACTGTAGACAACGTTCTTGTTGCTCTGTGTTGCGTTGTTAATGAGCGAGACACACTGGAGTTGAGGATCTGTGGGGTTTGTTCTCCCAGAAATATAATTCACAATTCAGGCATTTAGCAGACGCCTTATTCCAAAGCGACTTACAACGACCAATTACACGGACATTCTCCCTGGAGTAACCGAGGGCTAAGTGCCTTACTCAAGGGTACACTAGTAGTGGTGTTCCAGGCGGGATTTGAACTCGCAACCTTCCGATCATCAGCCCACCTCACTATCCATTAGAGTAGACCACCAAAATAAAATAAATAAATAAAAAGATTATTATTATTATTTTCCATTTGTGGCGGACGATATTTAATTGTTGCGGCCCGCCACAAATAAATCAATGTGTGGGAAACACTGTACATGTAACCTTACATTTACATAAAGTGACTTGATTTTCTTGTCTATACAGGCCATGGGTTGTCTACTCTACAAGCTGTGCTACTTCACGGTTCCTTTCGGGGAGAGCCAGGTGGCTATCTGTGATGGAAGTTTCACTATTCCAGACAACTCCCGCTATTCCCAGGACATGCACTGTCTCATCAGTGAGTAACCTTGATCGTCACAATAAACACACGCCCTACTTTCGGCATATGCATCCTGTATATGTGCAGTAACTGTAGGTTTGGACGTTTTTTTTAAACAAACTTGCTTTGTTATTGATTTCTCAGGATACATGCTGGAACCTGACTCAGATAAGAGACCAGACATCTACCAAATATCCTACTTTGCCTTTAAACTGGCTAGACGAGAGTGTCCAGTCCCAAATGTACATGTAAGTCACCATGGCAAGAGCAATGCCAGGAATTTGAGATGATGATATTCTGTAGGGTTAGTGTTATATATTAACACAGCTATTATTTTAACAACCATATAGGACCTCTTATGTATCTCACATAAAGTGGTTTCCGTGTCCTTGCTGCTTTCTAAGAAAAGTTATCTAGGAAGTAATGATATTAAAGGGAAGGGATGCTTTGTAGCGTTTGCCAGTTGGCCGCCATCCATCCATCATACCCTTTTTTCTAAAGTATTTCAAAGTAACAGCAACATGTCTGCCAAATTCACCTTTTTAAATTGTATTAAACTTGGCAGTAATGGTGCGGAAGTTTCAAATCAATACTGGATTGTGTCTTTAACACTCAAAATGTTTCCTAATACCCCAAGCAATTTAAGAAATGTGATTACCTTTTGATTTAATGCAAAAATTAAAATCCTCTTACTCTTGTAGAATTCCCCGATTCCCGCAAAACTTCCCGAGCCCATCAGAGCCAGTGACGCAGTGGCCAAAAAGAGTCATATCAAAGCCAGGTAAGATAAGACACACACAATACAAGGTGAGGGAAGTATTTAAAGGTCACCTGTTATGCAAAATCCACTTGTTCATGTCTTTTATACATAAACTCTGTGTGAAGAGATTCTGAAAGTTTCAGGAAAAAAGATTCTCTCACTTTTTGTCCTGATCCATCTATACAAAAATCCTTGTTTTCATCTACAGTAACAGATAGAGAATCAGCACTTTTGAAACAGGGCTGAAACAGAGGGGATTATGGGTAATGCTGCAATGATCTGTTTGGTGTTTGGAGGCAAACACTTCAGAGACATGTTTTGTATATATCTGAGACCTAGACTATATTGATGAAAAACAGTATAATAGGGGACCTTTAAGTTTCATTTTTTGGGGAAAAAACGTTTACATTTCTCGTCACATTTCTCTTTCCCTTCCATCAGGCTCTCAGACCCCACTCCTACCTTGGAAACCTCAATCGCACCTCGCCAACGACCCAAAGCTGGCCAGGCTCAACCTCAGCCGATATCATGCATCCTCCCCATCCAGCCAGCTCTCACCCCCCGCAAGAGACCCAATGTGGCCTCTGGAGCCCCCCAGGCCATAGGTATGATCTGTGATACCTCTGTGTGTTATCGTCATTCATACTACATAAAGGGGCCCTGTGTTAATGGAGATAGTTATCCTTGACTCAGTGACATCTTGTATTGAACTCAGCACAGTAAAATGCTCATTCCTATTAAGGGCTTGTATGTTCAATTAGCTCGTTCTTGTAAGGCAGGGGTGTCAAACTCAATTTCATCGAGGGCCACATCAGCATTATGGTTGTACTCAAAGGGCCGGTTGTAACTTTAAGACTTTATAAATATACATATATAATGTATTATATTACATGATTGCCTCTGCATTGGATTATTATCGGATAGGGTAATAACTTCATAATTAACTACATCTGAAAGAAGAAGTCTAGGACAAATAATTGCAAGTCTCTTCAGTGAGAATGTCACAAAATGATTTAAAAAGAAAAGCCAAATTCTGAACAAAAAGTCAAAATAAAAAAGTGTGAGCTTTAGATAAGAGTTCTGCAGCTCCAGACGGAGACAATAAGGAGGACAATATAATATGAACTACCTTGATATCAAAGCTGTCTAAAAAGTGACGTTTTGAAAAAAAAGAACAATTCTGAGAATTTGAGATGCATTGTGGGACATGTAGTTTATGGGCAACGTGCTTCTGTAAATCGCCATGTAACCGTATAACAAACATATTATATTCTTTGCAAGCTCTTGTGGGGCCACAGAAAATGAAGTGACGGGCCGGATTTGGCCCCCGGGCCTTGAGTTTGACACCCCTGTTGTAAGGCTTTTAATTAACTTCAATTAACAGTCATTTGACATTTACACTTTTACATATCCATTAGTGTCACAGTCACAAAGACAGCAAGGACGGTGGAGTAATGTCACATTAATTACTGCAGCACTGGGTACTCTTCTCAAAGGAAATAATGTGTGTAATTTATGCGTGAAATACTATATCAAAGCGAAATCAAAAAACGAGCCAAATGTTTTATGCTTAATACATTTGTTAAGTTTGTGAGTATTATTTTGTTTTTAGATTAAAGTGGATTTTGGACTAAAAATATTACCATTTATTAAAATAATTTCTAATTGGAGGGTCTTGTTTTTTACATTTAAAGATTAGTCATACCCTTAAATCCCTTTTTTATTTTCACATCATTTCAAGTGTGTGTGCCAAATGGATGAAAACAAGAACACGGTTCTTCAGGGCACCAGATAAAAGGGTTGCATCTTCAAAAGAAAATCTTAGTAGATAGTTCAATCAATCGCTACAGACTTTACAGTTTGTACTGAATATGAATACGACACCCTCTGTCCTCGGACCCTCACATTGTACAAGAAAAAACTTCCAAAGAAACCCCACAGTTAATGGTAGAAACCTCGAAGAGAGCAACAGAGGAGGATCGTGCAAAAGCTGCCGTGTGTAAATTGAAAAGATAATACATTTAGTTCTACATTATTCTCATTCCCCTTGTCTTATCCCTTCCAGGTGTTGGTATCAATGTCCCTCCTCCAGCTGCAGCCGCTGTCCAAGCAGCTCAACAGACTCCTGCATCCCCTCAGACCCCTCCGACCGCCAACATGCAGCCGCAGGCGACCCCTCAGCACCAGCAGCTCCTCATGAAGCAACAGCAAGCCGCCGCCTTCCTGAGTCCACAGAGCAACCAGCAGGTATGCGTCCGGGCAGAGCAGGAGTGTAAATACGCTTTGGCTACATTGAGTGTGCTAAAACATCTCACAGGGACACCGATGGACGGTGTGTTGCGATGCTGTCTACATGTGGTGACACATTCTCGAGCAAATTAGGCTTATTTCCAAACAAGAAAAACAGCATCCGAGGATTTTAAGCAAATAGCTCCAGGTAAGATGTTTGTAACTAATGTAGGGAGAGATGTTCCTTTGTTCAGGCAATACTGCTTCCTGTAGCCCACCCATGCTTGATCTTCAACTATGTCTCTGAAAAGGTGTAATTTCTGCACAATATTTACAGGTAGAGCACATTCATTCTTCCTCTTCCTAGAGAGATATCTGTGGTTAAAAAAAGCATGTGTGTAGACCTTGTTTAACTACTCCTGCTCTAATTCACAATATCACTATTCATGCAAAAGAGAAGCAATGTGATACAACACACAGTTTGCTCTATTGACCTGAATGAATCTTAAACATACAAACACATGCAGAAGGCCTGCCCGGTTGCTTGCCCAGGGTCTCTTTTTATCTCATGGTTCAGACTGTAATATGCAGCTACCATGATTTATTTGTAATTTAAGTGTCCAGGAATGGACCGTGACCCCCTCTAATTCTTACCTTCTGTTATTGTTTGTTGGCCTTAGCTCGCTCTGTAAGCTATTTGGAAATGTATTCTTCAAAAAATGGTATATTAAAATGTAACATAATTCCAATTAGTGCTGCACGATTCTTGCTCAAATGTGAATCACGATTTTCCTCCATAAGAGTTGAGATCACGATTCTCATCGTTTCAATGAAAATATTTATTGCACTCTTACTCTTAGACGTCACGTGAGTACAATGAATTTAAACAGACAACATTTGTCTCTTGTAACAAAAACATAACTTCGTCTTTAGTCTGTAGTTGCTGAATACTGAACGAACATTACTACATTCAAAATGTGGCACCTGGAGCCAACTACTGTGGCTTTAAACAGACACCATCAAAGTGCTTGACTTAAATCCAAGTCTCAGTTTCTTGTAGCAAAAACATAGAGTAACTCAAATGAATTTGACAGCCAACTACTGTGGCTTTAAACAAAGTGCTTGACTTAAACTCAAGTCTCTCTGGTAACAAAACATACAGTAACTCAAATAAAGATATTGCTGCTGCCTGAGTGCTGAACATAAAACATTGAATTTTTGCAGCTTTATAATAACAAAATGTAAACTTTGCAGTATCACCTGTCCACAGTGACAGGACACCCAACTACTGTACAACAACACCAACCTGTTTGTTACAGGGAGGAATGCACTTAAGTTACTCAAAAGACCTCACCACAGTGCTGAATATAAAAACAGAACAGTCACAGCTTTAGAATAATAATATTAAAAAAAGGCTAGCCGGCTAGCACCCACAACTACTGCGGTTGTGAGCTTGTAGATAGGTTATTTTCAAATAGCCGACCCGACATATATAGGTTTAAAGTGCTCATGTTCTTTTGCGCTTGTGTTCATAGGCCTGGTTGCTTATTCCTTCCGCAAACCTGACAACCCTAGTGGCTGCAGCGTTAACACGGCGTGAGAGGAGGAGAGACAGACAGAACACTCCCATTTGCATGCGATCATGGTACTTTAATGTTAAATGTTTAGAGTATATTTGCTTTATATCGTTTAAGTATGATTGACATTGCAAGTTGGTATTATTCAGAAGCAAAATAATAAAAAATAAAAATAAAAATCAGCATGACGTCATAGGATCGCCGTAATTTAGAAATGAGATCGCATAGGTGTCTGAATCGAGATCACGATCTTTTTTCGATTAATCGTGCAGCACTAATTCCAATACTATTTATCTCTGGTTTGTTTGGATAGGATCTATGCTTTTAAGGCTCACATGTTGTGAATGAATCTCTCACCCTCCCTCCCCCATGTCTATCTCTCTCTGTCTGTCTCCCTCTTTCTCATGTTATGTCTTCATTTCCATTGTACTGTCAAACAGGTAGAACATAAATACTTTGCTTTAGGAGGCTGCACTTGTCAACTAACTATAAATCAATCACAAACTGGGCCTTCCTCATGCTCGGCTGTGTGATATTCCTATGTAGCATCACCTGGCGCAGAGCGTCCAGCAGCACGCAGCGTCTCAGGCGTTCACCCTGCTGCGGTCCAAAGCTCAGCCTGTTCCTCCTGTTATTGCCCTGCAACACCAGCAGCAGCAACATGTAGCTCCTGTCCATGAACCCACAGCTTCTCATCTGACCCCGATCCCAGAGTCTGCAGCGGTTGGTCCCTCAGCGGACCCAGAGGTTGGGCTAACATCCTTCTCCTGATGCCGTCTGCTGCTCTTTTGTGCCGCGGAGATGATTACCAGCTCGTGTCTTTCACATCCTTACTATTACTTTTCCTCTTCTTGGGCACAGGGAAGGCCAGAATGCTCTCATATGGAAAATATTAAATGTGACAATGTTTTTGTGGTGTGGCTAGAAAGGCTTTCATTATTGCTATGTTGGAAATACTTAATTGCTTCAGTTTGATGCACAAATCACATGATAACCAAATCAGTATGTGCTCGTCTTGCTTCGCTCAACTATCTAAATGAGGTTATTTGTATTACTTTGTCGTCCTTCTCAATGTGTGTTGCCTGTACTCTTTGATAAGATGTTTTTATACAATCTATGTATGGAAACAGTTTCCCCTCTTTTTGTTGTGGTGGTGGTTTTCTTGGAATCTATAATCAATCTTCTTTTGCAGATTTTATTTCCCCGTTGATCTTGCTTGCCTGGTTGTGTATGTTTCAGGCTCTGATTTGTTTGTTCTGTCCTTGTGCGCTAAACAGAAATGCTCTCCGTTGGCATCAAGGATATTTCATCTGATATTTCCCCATCTGTTTCTTGTTTACTTTGTAGACGGCCGGCCGGTTGATTCACAAAGTCGGCTCCCTGACACCCCCCTCGTCGCCAAAGATGGCCCCTAAGAGCGGCCACCGACGCATATTGAGCGATGTCACTCACAGCGCAGTGTTCGGGGTCCCAGTCAGCAAGTCCACCCAGCTCCTGCAGGCGGCCGCAGCTGAGGCCAGCCTCAACAAGTCCAAGTGAGCAGAAAGAAGTCCCTTCAGTGATCTGAGGATGAACTGTCCTTTCATTGCACTGACTGAGTGAGCTGAAAGGGGGAATAGACGGTCCATTCATATGACATGACGGAGGATAAACAACCCTTTTACTTCCTACAGCCTCCAGCTTAGGAAGAATCACTCAATTGAGTCTTTAAATAGCTCTGCTCACTCTCTAGTATTTGCATACATCAGTAAGCCAGTGTCCACAGACTTAACAACCATGATCACATTTCACTGTGCAGCATGTTTACGTTTGCTCCTCTGTGCACTGCAGATCAGCCAGCACGACTCCCTCCGGCTCCCCCTGCTCGTCCCAGCAGAGCGTCTATCATCCAGGTGATTCTGACGCCAAATCCGCCCCAACTGCAGCCAACAATCAGCCCAGCTGGAACCCCTTTGGGGACGATAACTTCTCCAAGCTCACAGCAGAGGAGCTGCTCAACAAAGACTTTGCAAAGCTAGCCGAGAGTAAGTGCAACTCGTTCAGTGCGACTTCACACCGGTACATATTTGTGTGGTCTAAAGATAATCACTTCTTTGTTGTCTGCTTGTTCACAGCTGCTGCGCCAGGAGAGAAGGTCACGGGCTCCAATGAAAATCTCATATCCGGGATCAATGCTTTTCCTGGTAAGTCTTTGCCTAATTCTTTGCAGGATGCCGTCTCACTCTGTCATCAAGCGGACATTAAGAGTGGTGGAACCCTTCTTTCTTCATTGTGACTTCTTTGTGTTGCAAAGTAAAAACATTTGCATATGGCTTCTTACTCCCTAGTGAGTCCCCACCTGCTTTCTCTTTTCTGTTGTTCATGCTTTCACGTTCCCTCATTTGTTCTTCATCTTTACTCACTGTGCAATGTTAAGCTGAAAGACCGTCAGACATCATGAGTGCAGGTTCAGCGGTGTTGACAGCCCCGGACCCTTTTAATCCCCTCTCTGACACCGCAGGTAAATCTCCTACATCACACAAACGAGCCGTGGCTTTTTGATATTCTCAGACCTTAAATAAATATATTCTTAGAGCTCATGATTCATTTTTCTTATTTACTGAAGTAGTTTCCTGGATATCACACTTCCCGCAGGTTAGTTTATGAGTGCTCGTTGTGTGGTTTGGATTTGTACCCAGTCCTATCTTGTTGACATAGCATCCAGCCTCACAGTGGCTCCTTGTCAGCACCATGAATACAGGCTGCAGCTCAAACGCATCTCATTTGCAGATCTGTGCTTTGGCTGTTGCTTGGTAACGCAAAGGACAAATTCACCTTTGTTAATTGGATTGCTTTACTGCTGGAGGAAGCTGCTTAACAGTGCGACAAAGAACGAGAGAAAGTTAAGCATGCTGCCTTGTTAAAGTGATGATCTAAGCTTTTTACGTTGTCCTCTGTTTAGCCTTTAGTCCTTTTGGAAGTGCATTCTTCTTCACTGTGCAACCTCCTTTTTGTATTTACTGTTTAAAGCCACAACTGAGAGGATGAACATGTTGAGGCTATTACATAATGAGGGTGCGGTTAATCTTCTCCACCCAGACTAAGCTGGATGCACACAAGCAAACACAGTCTGACTCTTGCTAATGGAGCAGAGCGGGATTAATGAGCAGCGGTTTCGATAACTACTAGGGATGTAACGATAACAAAAACTCACGGAACGATAATATCGCGATGACAAGTCCACGGTACGATATTTATCGCGATATTGAAAAATGTATTGACTTTTTTTTGTTTTACTTGAAATAATGTTCTTTATTAAATAATAAATCTAATTTGTACAGCATTTTAGTAGATAGTAGTATTTTAAAGTGTCAACAATATAATAATCAGACCCTGCAATAGGATAAATCAAGTTTCACTTTAGTTTTTCAAGTAACTCAACTCTAACTCACTCGCTCAGCATCATCAAGGTTATCTTTTAGGAATATGAGCATGTCCACATTTCCAGGTAGAAGCTGGGATGTTTGGGCGTTTACAAAATCCCCTGCTGTGGAAAAAACTCTCTTGCTTGGTACTGATGTTGCTGGGACAGAGAGATGCTTTGGCCATGGGTGACAGCAGTGGGTCAAACTGTGCATTACTCCACCACTTCAAAAACAGTTGTTGCCAAGAAGGTGAGGCTTATTGACAGAGATATAAATATACTGTTGGTACTTGTCAATGTCTCTAGGTGTGTAAATGTAGCCCTGTAAATACGATGTCCTTTTGTGTTATCTGTTTTATGTTCATGTTGTAACCTACTTGCTGCCATGTTGGACAGGTCTCCCTTGAAAAAGAGATCACCAGGACCACATGGTTAAATAAAGGTTTGAAAAACAAAAGAATCGCAGTAGATTTTCTCAGTCTCACGACGGTATCGAGACATTTATTTATCGCGATATTCGATATATCGTTACATCCCTAATAACTACTCTTAAAACTACGTATTAAATAATAAAGCATATTTTACAGACATTTTAATATAAATATGTTTCATATTGACTTTAATTGGAATGAGCTTTTTGGCATTACGGATTTCTAAAAGATTTTAATAAGTGTTGGCCTCTTTCCAATAGTGCAGGGGGCAAAGGGTCACATCTGCTGTGCCATTATCTGAGCCAACACATTCCTTGCCCCCCCCCCCTCCACCACATTTGTCCCATAGCAGTTTCCTGTAAGTATGACCTGCGGTTGAAAAGCCAGTCTGTTGTCATGTCATGCATGGACTGTATTTCCGGGTGATTAATTCACATATATATTAATACGAGTGCGTCATTTTACAGCAACAGTCCTAAAAATGAGTTGAGAGGGTTTGCATGCGTGGACAGTGGCGTGGCGTTGTGGCAATCTAAGACCGATGTGAAGAAACTCACTGAATGCTGTGGCTTGTTTTGTATAATTACATGTTTTGAAGTTTTGACTGCAGGAGCGTGAACACTTTCTTTGCACCATACCTCTATTAGGAAAAGCTCGTTTTCCATTTGAGTTGAATCTCACAGAACTTACAGGTCTTGGAGTGTATGGCTGTGGACAGCAGATCTTAACAAATAACACAATAACACAATAATTGTACTGTTGCATTATGGGTTTAGTCATGTAACTATTCAAATGACATTTAGATCACATGTTGGTCTTTGCAGTCATCATCCATAATAATATTTTGTTTCTTTGTGCCTCCTAACCATATTAATTCCCTAACAATGTAGGCCATGTAGGCATGTTGAAGTCTACAACGCTTCACACATTGGCCAACTGTATCTTTATTCATTTTGTCATTATGTAATATTCTCCCACATTACTAGAGTCTCATCTTTAGTTTTTTCACTGCATTCTTATTTTTATGAAATCTTTTCTCGTCACCTTTCTCTCTCTTGCCTTCTGTCCTGTCCATCACGTCTCTCTGCCTTTCCTCTCGGCTGCTCACAGAGAAGCTGATTGAGGGTCTGAAGTCCCCTGAATCTTCTCTGCTGCTCGCCGACCTCCTAACTCCAGCCAACCCCTTCAATAGTTATTCAGAGAGCTCCAGCCATGGTACTAGCGCTGCTTTTCTCCCAGGCCTTGCCATTACATTCCCAGTATGCTCTGCATGTGTCCTTCTTGTCTTCCTTCTCCTCTTTCACTCACCTGGTCATAAAGTCAGAAATACCCACGGGAGAAAGGGGTAAAGTGATTGTCTTCCTACAGAGACGATCTTACCTTTATCATTACTAATTTCTTTGTACCTGTTGGGAAAATACTGAATGTACTCCTCCAGTATCAGAGTAGCACATGATAACAAAGGCCCTACGTAGCTGTGTACGTGACCGGATGTATGATTACCTAGAAGAGCATCAGGACTGTTTTAGGCATATGATAGCTATGTGATTAACATGAAGATTCAGCCTCTATGGAGACAGACATATGACTGTCATGTGTATTGCTTACGCCGGCCTTAGCTAATCTGAACTAAGCATTGAATACTGCTTTGAACCGGTATTCTGCATCTAGTGACTGTAACACTCTCTTGTATATAAAGCATGTCAAGGACACTATTCGGGAACTATTTGTCCCACGTAGCTCTGTGTGTGATGACTACTTCCATTCTTGCAAGGATAATAAATACATGTATCCTGATATTGAAGCTCAAGCCGCTGACGAGTGATTTTTTTCCTAACTGTACCGCTGTCTTTTCCGCTTTCTGTCTCCCTGTAGTGAACTCAGAGATGTGTGTGGATTCACTGATTCCCGGGTTGGAAGCCCCCCAGCGACACTCGGGCCAGCCTGAGCTCATCCCCGCCAGCATAACAGGTTAGCGTCCTGACCTGGACCCAATAGCATAACATCTTAGCATCAATTGATGCAGTAATCTCGTAAAGTCATAATAGTTCCCAGCCTTGGTCATTATGTCCTTGTCACTTGTTGATATCATCCCCAAGGTTTTTTTGTAACCTCGTTAACTTTGTACAGCTGCAGTCACTTTGTTTTTTCCCTCACAGACTCATTTATCATTGACAACCCCCATCATTGTGCCAGATCACGCGGCTTTGACAAAAACACTGCAACAACAAACAATTTACGGCGCGTTTAAAATGTCAACACGGCACTTTAGCGGATGGAACCGTTACTTCATCGGCTTTCTAGGGTGTGAAGCGATCTAATGAATGAGAACATGCAACACATGATTCGATCCATCCACAGTCCGCATTCTGCTGTAATGGTTGATATTAGCTGTGGCAAACTGTAACGTCTGGACCCACAGCTCCTGCCAAGTGTACTTCCTGCACCTGGCAGCATCTTTTATTATGGGATTCCCACCAAGTCTTTCCTTTGATAGTGATGATTATATGCTTTCACAGATACAACATTGCACTGGCTTACTAACAATACATTTTCCTCCGCTACTTAAGCTAACAATCTTGTTTTGACTGTCCGTCTGGCTTTGCTTCATCCTGTCTCAGACTCTCTCACTGGGGAGGACTCTCTGCTGGGCTGTGATCTGTTCTCTCGTGCTACTCTTCATGGAAACCAGTGTGTTTCTGCTCTCCCACCCTCCTCCTCCTCCTCCTCCTCCTCAGCTCCTCCTGGATCCTGTCTGGAGGAGCTGCCGGCTGCTCAGACAGCTTCTGGTAAGAGCGGCTATTTGCAGCACCCCTCAGCAAGTCTAACGGGCGTATTGTACCATGAAACAATCACAGACTACAGATCCTTCCAAAAATGGAGGGTTTGTTCAAATGTGATATGGAAAACAGAAGTAGGCACGTTTTAAATGACAGCTTCACAGACCCTTGACTCATGTAAAAGAGCCAAAAGCCACCTAAAATGCATGGCTTTGAAATACTGAGCGTGCCCTGGATTCATCTATTTTTAATCTACTTGCATCCTCCTTTTCCTTTTGCTCTTTCTTTTGGCTGAGTTAACTTCTTTTCCCCCCTCCACCATTCCTCCACTTCCTCTTCCTTCACCGCAGACTCTACTTTCCTCATGTCGTGTGGGGAGAAGGGCAATGACGACGAGTTTGACCCTATTCCTGTGCTCATCTCCAAAAACTCAAACCAAGGTAAGGTTAACAGAAAGTCCCGAGATGAGCACTCACACCTGCTGAAGCCCAGGCTATGAGCCGTAGAGATGAATCCCCCCTAATTCAGTTTGAATAGCTCCTTCCTGTGACTGCTGAAGTGAAGGCTTGTATGGGTGTGCTCGTCACATTCAGGCTTTATACCCCATTGAGCTCTCACATTAGCCATCTCTTTTGTTTCTAATGTTATCCTGCCAGTGATTCTCCGCCTTGCAGGTGTTTGGCTCTTTTCTAGCTTATCTTAAAAGTCTCCTCATGTTACAATGGCATTCCCTTACTCTCCCCTGTAATGATGCAGCTGTGTAAAGATGACCCCGGCTCACTCTCTGCCTGTTTCTCTTTCTCTTTCTGCCCCCCCCGTTCATGCATCTCTCTGCTCTGCCATCATTTCCCCTTCATCTCCGTCAACTCTTAATTTTCTCCATACCATCTCTGTTAATATGACTTATTCTTTTGCTCGTTTTTTCACAATCTCCCTTTTGGCTCTCTTTCCATTTCCATCTCTCTCGCTCTCTCTCTCTCTCTCTCGCTCTCTCTCTCTCTTTCTCTTTATCTCTCTCTCTCTTTCTGGCACGTTCCAGGTGGCCACTCACGCAGCAACAGTGGCAGTTCAGAGTCCAGCATCCCCAACTTGGCCCGATCCCTTCTGCTGGTGGATCAGCTCATCGACCTCTAGAGGGGGTGGGAGAGGTCGAAGGGGCAGTGTGCAATCCTAACAGAAGGAACAGGGGGAGGGTGGGGGATAGAGATGGGGTGTAGCACCTTAAAACGTTGGTTCAGTGAAACCTCCTTGGCCTCGCCTGATAAGCTGGCTTCATGTAACTCTGCTGGCCGCTCACATTCCTTTTTCATTAATGCCTGAGCATATCGTTTGCTTCTGCCCCGCGACACCTTGGTCTTCTCATGCTTTCCTCATACTCGCATTAATATCCCCTCATTAAGTGCACTGCCATGGGGATCACCATTATTCACTTTGTCCAGGGTCGAAGCTTTATTTAAATAAGCCACCTGCAGGCATCTGTGTCGGGGGTCTGAGTAAAGAGCGAGGAGGCAAAAGGCTGCAGACCAACAGGAGAATGTGAAGCAACTTCCTGTTAAAACTCAACTATTAGTCAATCAACGTTGCAACCGGAGTGAACCACTTAACAGTTCTCAAACCAATGAAGACTTACCTTAACCTCTTAGGAAGTCAAATCTTTCCAATGATGGGCTTTTATTCCAATATAGATCAGTTATCCTGTTATTGACAGCTACTTCTCAAAGCTAACTAAGTGCAAATATATGCAGCGCTGCAGCTTCAGCATTACTGTATATTGCCTCCTCTTCCTGGCTGCTAACAGAGTATTCATTCTCCTAAAATTACACCTGTAAATATGTCCGTCTGCAACTTGTGAAATCATTGTTTACATGGCTGATCTACTGGGATCCGTTGCCATGGCAGGACGCTTTATTGTTGTGCAGAACACTTCATAATTTGCTTCCATTCATGATTTTATAATGACATCTTTTATGGTGGGAAAGTCGTAAATCACCATCATATCTTCGACCGATTGTCAAGATAAGCACAGCGGAAACAACAAGGAATCCAATTATTTATTAGCCATGCCAAAGCTAAAGGAAACACTTTATTATTATGCTATTTAATGCCATGTGTCAAACTGCCCTCAGGTCAGTGAGGACGAGCAGATTTTTAGCAGCATACCACTGTTTCAGAGAGGGAGGAAGATTACATTTTTGTGTAGATATTATGAGCTTTACATGAAAATCTCCCTTTCCCATTGTCATCCTCTCTATCTCACTTACGCACCCACGTTGAGTTCATTTGGGGGAGTTCATTTCAGCCAGAAGAAAAATAAAATTAGGTTCATTCCTGTACATAAAATCACTTTTAAAATGTATTGTCAGCACTGGTCAAAGTTGCATTTTTGTTGTGTGTGTGTAATAATTACCGGCATTTCATCTATCATGGTACGAATAAATGTGACTTTTATTGATGGCGCTCTAGAATGAATGTATGAACTGAGTACCATTATTTAAAATATATAAGGATATATAGATTAAAAAAAGACTTGTGTATAAAGCTGTATTTAAGAGTGCACAGACCCTCTTCGTCCAAAGCCCCTCTGTCTTTTCTCATGTCAAGCATTCAGAGAGTGCTTTTGTTTTAGATACCATCATCGATTCAAATGTGCTCATGACTTGTCTGACGGGGTAGTATTTGAAAATGCAGTACTCACAATTCTGGTACTTGTAAGATACTGTATATAACTTTTAGAGATTTTATTTAACAGACGCCAAAACAGAGCTAATGACGGAATTTACTTCCTGACATCTCTGGATTATAACTTCACCTCTTTTCTCTTTCATGTGGCAGATGATCATAAGGAAGGCTAGCGTGACTTAAAAAAACAGCTGTAAACATGCAAGTTACATCACATCTGATTAAATACAGATGGATCACAAGTAGTACCTTCATATTAAGACTCAGATTTAGCCAAGGTTGGTCTATTGCACGTTGTAGGGTCCATATTGCCTTGGATGCAAACAAAAAAAGTAGATTTCTCTGATATGCCCTCACATAAGCTTCATATAAATAGTTCTCTCCTCCTCCCCACAGTACATATTGTAGAGGTTAGTCATACAAATAATGTTAGAATCGGCATGGGTAAATAAAACTATGCTTATCTTTTCTTTCCATCAAATGTTGTTCAGTTAAGTCATTGGCATTTTTGTGGCTAATCTATGCAATCCTACAAAAACGCTTCATGTTTCTATCAGACACTGCAGCGCTGTTTCCTGTAGAGCTCTCGCCTCGGTCGTAGACTTTGACTTGTGTTGCCGTGTGAAACAAAATGTACTTGTTGTGCTGGTTGGGTTGAAATGACTTTGGTTGGATCCAAAATGTTTGACATGATTTGGCTCGTGTAAATATGTCAGCAGGACCATTGTGGAGTGTGTACTTCTATTTTTATGAATTAAGGTTCAAGAAGGGAGACTCTGAATAAAACGTGTTAATGTGAATGTAAATGTTCCCTCTTTGTCATTAGGATTTTTCTCGGAAAAGCATGTAGGAGCGAGCCGTCTTTGTTGACAATGAAAACTGATTCTTCCTTTGCATGGTTTTTAATTAGCAGACAGATTATTTTCCTTCTAGAAACCACACTAGATTACATATACTCCAGCGGTTTTCAAAGTGTGAGGCGCTCCTCCCTTCAGGGGGCGCAGCGTGAGAAAAAGATAACGAGGAACAGTTAAATCTAGCTAGTTAACTTCAGCTAACTTTATGCGAACGGCAATATGGATCGATTTTTAGTGAAATGACCTAAAGTGAGAGAGGAGACAGCGTCTGGCAGAAAACGTGTGTCACTTGCACACTTTAGGCTGTCTGTGGAGACCGAGTTCCCGCACCTCGCCAAAAAGGCTGTAAAAGTGTTCATTCCCTTCACCTCCACCCAGGGGCGGACTGGCCATCTGGAGAATCACAGAACGGCCGGTCGGCTCGGTTCGCTGACGGCCGGCACCGACCTTAATTTGATATGTTTTTAAACGGCATCATCGAAGTTGCACTGACAGGCGACAGAGGTCCACCGTTTCAGCGCGGCGAGGCTTCCCCCCCCCCCCCCCCCCCCCCCCCGTTTACAGTTCACTTCAATGCAATTGAATACCCCTGCATTATAGCAATAATAATAATGGCAATAATAATTGGGAGGGGGGGTCGCGGCTGTTCTTATGTTCTCTGAGGGGAGGCTCACCTTCCCACACTTTGAAAACCCCTGCTCTAATCTAACTTACTTGATGGTATCCACTGAGGCCTTTTTTGCTTTGATTTCAGTATTCAAACATGAATTAGTGTGGGTAAAATTGGTGCAACTCTTAACGAAAGCATCACCAGACACTGGCAATTTCTGCTGCTCCTTTTAGAGCTTTACTCCAATATTTAAAGTGCTATTTCAGAGTTTTTTTAGGTGTTTTCTTACTCGTCTTTCTTGCCGTCCTTGTTCTAGGCTTCCTTGATGTTGGTAGTCATTTAAAAAAGAAAAAAGCACACTACTCTTGACTGCTTTTGTGATTCCAGACCAGACTTTTTGAGGCATTAGTTCATAATACTGTTAGATTGTACCAAGGACAGACCATAGAACCCATGAGCTGTATCGTGGGGAATCTATGTCTCTTATTCAACACCAGCCGTCACTGTTTGTTATAATTTTGCTAGCTTTTACCCGTGAGAAGATCTTTAGGTGATTTTTCAGTTTTTCATCAACTGTGAAAAGGGCTGTGGACAGTTGGAAATAGAAGAATGATGAAGGAAATTACCTAAGTAGTCAAACAAAAACTGGTGTTTACCTTTTAATGGCTGCCACTAACATCCTCCCAAGAGCTGCCAGCTAACTCTTCTGCCGACACTGCTGAGGTAAGACTGATCTGTCTCTGCTCCTCTGTGCTAACCTGTCTGTCCCCAATACCTCTGTGAAGGCTCTTTGTCCTTGTTTCCACATAAATACTCACCCTCTGCCTTAACACAATCAATTCTCACTAAAAGCAACCCTAACTCCCCTAACACGAGGCACTGCCTGAAGCCGTGCTGAAACCTATTTGTGGAAACAAGGTTATGTGATGTCGCTGGCTAGTCCTGTCTGTCTTATGTGAGTCGTTCAGAGTAGAATATGTTGTTGTGCTGGTTTCTCACTGTTGGGTAGTTGTTATTGATGCTTCAGTGGGTACCTCGGTCATATAGAATAACGTGAACGAGGCTTGGTAGATAAGTGAGCAGCTGGACCTCAGGTGGTAAAGCTGAGCATATTCATACTTTTCTGACATTTTTAGTTCACCTCTGATATGTATTTTCTCCATCTCTGCTCTCTAATACAGATGTTCCAGGTGAGAGTAATGGCTACTCTGTGCTTGGGGAGGGACAGGAGACTGAACCTCGAGATTTTGAAGCAAACCAGGTCTGTGAGCACTCCAGCGATGATGAAGAGGAAGAGGAGGAGGAGGAAGAAGAAGAAGCCCATGAAGAAGAGCAGCAGGATGAGGAAGCCGTTGAGAATGACACAGCAGCTCTGGACTGCAGCGGCTCCAGACCTCTGCTGATGGACTCGGAGGACGAAGAAGAACCCGGTTTAGCCCTCAGCTCGTCGCCGGACCCCAGCGCTGCACCAACACAACCACCTACCTTCCACCAACCTCCTCCGAGCACATTCGTTCAGAATCATGTACACGAGCCAGCGAAAGGGGCTGCTGCCGATGTTTTCTCCAAAGCCCCTTTTCCCATCACGCAAGATGAATCGGCCGATGTGTTCGCCAACGCTCCGTTTCCATGCGCCTACGTTGCGGCTACGCAGCCGTTCGATGTGTTTGCTCAGGCTCCGTTTGGGAAGAGAAAGGAGGCCGCAGGGTCTCTGCCCTCGTTCCCTCATGCTGTGACCCCCGACCCAGGAGCGCTGGGACAAGTTGCCCAACAGCCTTTCCGCCCACAAGCTCTGGCCAAATATTCCCGACACTTTGAGGGACCCGCGCCCCAGCTGCCAGTAGCAGCTCAGCGCATCGCTTCGAACGCGGCCTCAGTGCCTGCTGGACCTCTTCACTCATGGACCTCAGAAGTGGGCGCTGTGGACCCTTTCATCTCGGCCCCCTTTCACTTCAAGGCCCCGCAAGAAAAACCCTAAATGCACACTCAGAGGTCAGGGCACTCATCACTGAATTATGCAAACTGTATCAGGCGTACTGCATGCTGTCACCAGCGCTGCAGCTGGACTGCAGGCATGCATGGGTCTCACTCTTAACTGGCTCTGATTAGTGATGGCGCTTCTTTACACTTGAATGCTCTGAAAACTGACATCATCACATGACTCCTACTCACTTTATATTCCTCCTGACATGTTCTTTTGTCCTTATTCCTTTTGGTACGTACATCTACACATGGTGGTAAAGCATTTGATTGTTTTCTTGCCTACCTCAGTTACTTTTTTGTGTCAGCGTTGAAACACCACACAGAGAGGGGGTTTGTAGTCTGTCTGCGCCTTGGGTTTCATTTCCTGTGCGTTTGAGCTTCACTGTGAAACTATGATGTGATAACGCCTCATTCCTCCATAGCTCTCAGAAATGTGTGATTTAGCTTGAATCAAATGATCATACCGTCACAGAAGCTCGGAAGAGGACAAGATGTGAAGATGGAATTTATATCAAATGTGTAAACAACATGAAAATGATGCCCTCAAGCCATGAGTTGTGGGCTTTATGCCTGACAGTGTATGAGGCAGGTGCTGGATAATGATGCATAGACGGATAACATTTGTTGATATGAAATGTTGTTTTTTCATTTGATTCCAAAATGGTGTCGTGTATTATGTTTGTGGTCTTTGTCGTGTCTTATGAAAGTGGAATATCAGAGTTTCTCCATGTGTGTTATCGTACAAACCTTGTTTAAACGTTAGGCATAGAAAATACATAATAGTAGTTCCTATGTTAGATCAGACTCACTTTCTTGGTTTCTACTCATTCTACAAGATAAAGCCTTACACTCTTACAGTACGTCCCTCCGACCGCGTCAAACAGCATTCATCACTTTTGCCTTTGGTGCCCTCCTTAAAAAAAATGCTGCATTGACATCATTTACCAAATACCTGGCATACAGTCATGTACATCTCTCTTTTGCTGTCTGCAGTATGATAATGCATCTCTATCAAAGGTCCTATAAACTCCAAATGTGTACCAACAGGGATTTATCAACAACTGAAGAGCAACGTTTACAGAGAAATGCTTTCCTGCAGTCACACACATATCTACAGCACTTATGATTTGCATTTCCAGTCAGGGATTGTATTAGTAGTATCTTGTGAGATCTTGAATGGTGACTGACTGATGACATTCCATCTTATTTCCGTCGACATTTAGGGATGTGTTATTGTCTCTGTAAAATCATTGAACACTTCATGGGTTTCCACCATGGCACTTTTTTTAGAAAGGGGATCCAACCTGTTTCAGCCCAAAGTGTAATTCATGTATTCCTCTGTTGCAATGTCAAATCCTGTATTCTTTTTCTTTTTGAAGTGTACAATCTTTTTGTTATAATTGCTCACTTTTCTCACCCACCTTGTATACATGAAGGTTGCACATAGAACCTGACACAGAGTCAGTGTTCCCTAAGAATGTGTTTTGATTGTAACACAGCTGTAAAATGTATTACAACCCGTGTAGTATAGGAGGATTCAACAACTGACGATACTGTTGGACATCGAAAGCACTCTAAATACTTGTTATACTGCACAGCCTGCCTTTGAAAACTATGTTGTATGTCATAAAAAAACTATTAAATGAATGTAAATCTATTTTCTGCACAGTTTTTGAGTCATTTGGCAGCTTTGAAACATATAGTTGTGGATGTTACTTATCACACATACTCTGGTATTGTGTTTGTATTACAGAATGAGGCATTTTAATTAGATTGATTAGCTTCATACCTCCGTTACATTTCTTTGAGAAACTGTGTACTCTTGCTATGATTTGTACATCATAGTTTTTACTTACAAAGCTTCACCACGACCCACTACATGATTAAATTGCCTTTATATTTATAGTCATGCAATCAACAACAATAATATAACATATAACAGGCACTGTATAATGAGAACTACAAGTTGTCATACTTCAAGTAAATGTTTATAATAATATTAGTGTGCTTTTGCTTTGAAATGTACGTCTTTTGTCAATTAAAATCCAGCTCAAAGGGTTCATTTTCATATTTTTTTGCGTTGAATTTTGCTTTAATAAATTAAATAAATGAATATAAATACTAACATGACTTTAAAAAATACCCACTAACGGGCCAGTTGCTGCAGTGTGAAATCATTGTCCACTAGAGGGCGGAAGCACACAGACACGCCGGAAGTTAGCCACCATTACATATTACGTAGAAGAAGAAGGAGCTGGGTTTCTTTGAAAACAATTACAACATTTTGTCAAAGTATGCAGTAAGAAGTAAGTAATAACTTTTACAGAACCTTCAATAAAATATCTTAATACAATATTTATAAAAACTGCGTAATGTGCACGTTTCTCTCCCGTTTCATATCAGACCGCGCGCCTTTCACGCGAGTGGCTCTTTCCACAGTGATGTTTTCTCATGTTTTTTATTACAAATCTCGTCCTCTGAATGGATTTCTGTGTGTTAATGTAATGTGTACAGGTCAGGCTCGCTGTGTTGCTTTGTCCTGAGCACGATGGCTGCTCAGAGAGTTCTCCCTCAGAGCAAAGAGTCTCTGCTGCAGAACTACAACAAGAGACTGAAGGACGACATCAGGTCCATCCTGGACAACTTCACAGAGATCATCAAAACAGCCAAGGTACACACATCAAGTTTCTCTGCTGTCTAACAAGTGTTCTATGTGTTGTTGTTTTTTAATGAAAGCAGGAACCATACAACTTATTTCTGATCTGCATCTGTCTGAATGTCTCCTATTCCTGTGTTAACTATTGTTCCTGTTTGACCTTCCAACATATACCTGGATCCTTTTATTTATTATGTTATCATGCCTGAAACTCAAAGGAACAGGATCTGACTGTAGAGGAAACTTCTGTGTAGCTATGTAGTGGGAGTCACCGACTCAGGAAGGAGACACGGGAAGAGCAGTAGCTTTGATGTCAAACACATGATGGTTTATTTGGAGTTAACGGCCGGAGGATTCACATCACAAGTCCAAGAGTCAGAGGTTCTGACTTCACGGTAGAGTTGCCACGTCAATTCTGAAGAACTCTACCCCAGACCCATGTATTTAGCTAGTTCAGAGAGCATCATCAACATGCTGCATAACAAGATAGAATGATAACACCTCTATCAGCTGACGCCAACAGGCAGGAACAGGGAGACAGAACACTGAGAGCACAGCAGCCAAGGTTACAGGTGCGTGTGCTCAGTCAGGACAGTTTGAACTGATACACTGGGTCAAAGTTATGGGCCTTGGAAAATATTCCACAACACTGACAATAATTGGTGTAATGACATTTTTTTCAAAAGTTTCCCAATCATGGTTTAGTTTATAGCATTTCTATTGTCACATTTCTGCATCCCTTTAAATTATTGAAATTGGTTGTGATTAATTTAAGTATGTGATATTGTCCTCATATTGTGTCTTCCTGCAGATAGAGGATGAGACTCAGGTTTCCAGGGCAACCCAAGCGGAGCAGGATCATTACGAGATGCACGTCAGAGCTGCCAACATCGTGAGTATTGAGCAAAGCAACCTTTTGATACAAAATGTCACACATCCTTTTAGAAACAAAGTGCTTCACATGGTTAAAACATGTCCGGACGGCAAGGACAATGATAGAATTCAACAATTACATGGACATTAATATTTAAAAAAATGTAGACCTGTTGGAAATCAAAAGATGCACACATTAATAGAAAGCATTTCATCAAGATGTTATAAGTAAAGACAGATTAGTTAAACAAAACAGTTATTATGTTGAATTACTGTTTGGTTGTAAACAAACGTGTCTAACTTCGGTATTGACTTTTTCCAAGATTCGATATATGTTTATTTTTAGTGATTTAAAAAAAATTCAGACCATGTGTTTTGAATTCGTACCATTCTTTTTAAAAGGAAACATTTTTGATGGCTAATTTAAATACTCAGCCTGATGATATTGGTATCTTTGTAAAGTTTGGGATGTAGACGAGAATTTCAAATCAAGTTTTGGAGAAGAGAACGGTTGGTTCAGTGGGTTAAGATGAAGTGAAATGTATCTGTACTGATTTCTGTGACTAGCTAATGTACCCAGTTGTGAAAAAATACAATTATTAATCTCCAATTTCCCCTCTCCTGTGTTTTTGTGTCAGGTGCGAGCGGGGGAGTCCCTGATGAAGCTGGTGTCCGACCTGAAGCAGTTCCTGATCCTGAACGACTTCCCCTCGGTGAACGACGCCATCAGCCTGCAGAACCAGCACCTGCGCTCTCTGCAGGAGGAGTGCGACAAGAAGCTCACCTCGCTCCGGGACGAGATCGCCATCGACCTGTATGAGCTAGAGGAAGAATATTACTCCTCCAGGTACAAGTAGGCTCATAGTTGCCCCCCATGCCACGCCCCTCTCTTGTCCGACACCATGTCCTGTCTCACCTTTACCATCACTGCTGAGCCCAGGGAGGGTTTCATTCTGCCAACATCAAACACCTTTCAGGTTGAATGTATCTCATCATCATATCCACACAGTACCATTCATCAACTCAGATCACTGTTTAGGGCTCGTTGTGATGGAGATCATCTCACTGAGGGATTTGTTATTGATCAGTAAGTGCCTTGACTTTTTTTCTCTTCTGACACGTGTCATAATTGGTCAAATAGAGAGGACGTCAGCATCAACGGGGTATGCAACTGAATATGACCGGTGTAAAAACGACCACATTTTGTGTCTTTTTGAGCATTCAATGCAGTTAATTGATGCTGCTAGGTAACAAGGATGCATTTTAAATCCTTGGTGTTGATCAACTGCTAAATGAAATGATAAGAGGCGATCAGCCTTTTTTGGTTTTCTGGTCTGCAGCCTTAAATAGAATAAAGACATTGTAACATAAATGCAGACTCATGGGAGAGATGTATGGGTTAGTGGATACAGTAGTAAGGGTTTGACTTGTCATTTTCAAATCATAAATGGCATAGTGATGGCAGATTTTAAGGATGGACTTTGGATGAATGATTGGTTTAGACATTACTGTTTACTCTTATTTATTCGAGATCAAATCTGAAACTACTACGAGTTTCTTTTTTCTGTAAAAGCAATCAGATCCTACTTTTTTTAAATCACTCTTTCCTTAAGACTCAAGTTGTTACCATGCAAGCTGTGTCAATCACACGTGCTGTGGTTGTACCTGTAGACCTTTTAATGATTAAGAAATAAAGTAGAGACAAAACACTGGAGTAGTTTGTCTTGTTTTCTGTGAGGAGTGTCTCTCAGAGCTGTTTGGAGCATGCTGGGTGTGGGCCTTCCTTCCTCACTGCACTCGCTCTGCTTTCCCCTCCATCGGCAACTAATCGCACCTTTTTGCTGAACTTCAAATCAACCGTCACACCTCTAACTACTACTTGAATAAACAGCTGTTGTAAGGTCCAGTTTCCAGCGCTTCTGCATAACCTCCATGCTTCTACTGTATGTGTGCCCTTTGATGTGCTCCTCTATGTGGATGAATGTGCTTATTCTGACCTGCCGCTCTGCTCCTCTCTTTCTGTGCTGCGCTGACCCTTTGCCTCCTACTGGTTTCCGCTCTGCAAAGCTACAGTGAGTGGGACAGCACTGACCTGCCGCTGTGCGAGGCGTACCGCAGGCGGGACAGTTGGGCGTCCCCGGGCAGCAGCGGCAGCTCCTCCCTGGGGGAGCGGGAGGACGTGGAGGCCCCCCCCTCACAGGAGGCCCACCCTCAGCACCACCTCAACGGACACGGGACGTCTTCTATAGAGAAACCTTGAGGAGAATTACGGACTCTGAGCTCTTGTGGTCGATTTGTACTTCAGTAGTTTACATTGTGAAGTAACGTCTGCCAGAGTGATGTGTTATGGACTCAAACAGGTATTACAGTCAAATAAAGAGGGCAATAAACCAGAACAATACATGGGGATAATTATTAGTCCAAATAATGACATGCAAAATGTATCAGAAGTAACATTCCCCTCAGCTTCATTTTGTTTTTCAATTGAATGTATGTTTCTGCATACTTTAGCTTATTTTATGTTTATACAATACTGAGGTAGGCAAACACAAATCAGACAACTTCTTGTGTAAATGTCCATCATTTAATAACCCGTACACGTGTTTTATATTATGTTGGACTTAGCTTGAGTATTGAATGTTCTTATGTCATGTTTTATTTCTGTGTTTTACTTTAAGCACTGGGCACATTAAAGAACTTAAAGCGTTTGGTTTTACGTTTTATTAAATCGTTTGAATGCCAGAAATCCAATTCTACAACTAAAAGTCAACATTTAACAATGCACTGACGAGCAAAGCTTACGTGATACACCTCATTTAACAATTGATATGCTCCTTGATCCCCTCAATGATGTTGAGTAGACGAATAACCCCAACATTTTACAAAGTACTACTGGCTTGGGAGCACTCCAATAAACAGCTGTTTGAGAAACTGGTCTGCAAATGTTATCTTCAAAAAGATGGACATCAAGTTGGGTTATAAAAAAGACACCGAGCTTCTCAATATCGTCGATTCATCTTCTTGAACTTCTCATAATGGTAATCATCTGTGGCCTTTTCGTTGTTTGGACGCTTGCGATAGTTGGGTGGAGACGGAGCTGTGGAGAAAAGCAAGACGAGGCGTTAGCAACACATGAAGTCTAATCCATAGAGTTTATAGAAGCAAGTACAAGTGTATATAATCCTGTCAGGGTGTGCTAACGAGTACAACAGCGTGTGGCGGTCTCTTACCCTCTAGACCTGGTTTCTCAGTGTCTCCCACACGCAGCGCCCTCGCCTTGGGCTCCTCTCGTTGTCTCTGATGCCTCTGTGGTGCGTTCACATCCTCACGATAGACTGTGAAAAGACATATTACATATTTAACCAACCTTTCACCTCATTAACAACAACTCACCTCTGGCTGGCAGAGAACTCACTGATCCATAGTTTCTGTTTTGAAAGCTGGACTTTTCTTCACTGTACATTTATATTTAATTTAATATGCTATTCCTTGCTCGCTCAATGTAAATAATATCCTACTTTTACATTGTGTTAGCTGTCATTTGGCCCTTCATAGTGTTTGACCGATAGTCTACAGGTCTTTCACTATCAACATGTTTATATTTGATGTTTGTTTATTTTCTACTTGTTTTAACATGCTGCTGCTGCGACGAAAATATTTCCCAATATGGGATCAAGTAAAGTCATATCTATTACTTTCTTACCGTTTGATATCTAACGTCTACAGATTACTTACAGCGGTTATGTTGGACATAGTTGACGGCGATGTTGGTGGGAACAAATGAGGTGCCGTTGTCTTTTTTCTTGTTCCTTTGTTCTTGCAGAAGTTTGGCTTTTGCATCCTCTGTCTGGATAATGTTTTTAATCTTCGCACTGTGAAAGGAAAAAACAGAGCGTCAGTAACAGAGTGGTTTCCTTCTTCTGTCCGTTGGTCACGTCCATGCATCTACAGGACTCTCTTTAAACTGTCCTGTACGTACTCAATGCCGAGGTCGACTTCAGGGATCCCGCTCAGCATCTGATTGGACAACATCTCCTCCGTCTTCTTGGCAGAATTGACGTTGATGCTGTCTGGCAGCTCATACAGGTGGTCCTCTGCATTCTTCACCTTCACTTTCTGTTCCACTGCTTCCACCAAACCCTTCTTCTTTTTCAGCTCTGTCTCGATATATTTCATCCTGTGAGGGTAGATAGAAACATTTGGGTTTCAAAATATTTCAATGACTTTGAAAAACAACTGTGTGTAATGGCGCATTTCCACTGCAGGGCCTCGTACGGTATAGTTAGGCCAGGCTCACTTTATGCTGCGTTTCCATTACAGTTTAGGAACTGGGGCAGTAACTATAGTAACGCAGTGTAGGCGGAGCCGTGACATCACCTTTGATGCGAAACACAAAACCAACATCAGCCATTAGCACTCAGAGCTCACAGCTCCTCATATCTGTTCAGAAACTTGACAAAAGTTAAACAAGTACAAACCACAGACTGCCTGTGTCATGGAGAATACAGTCGCTGGTTTATTTATGTCTGTATAGGCCGTTGTTGTGAGTGTGGACGGTCGGAGCATATACTGCGTTAGCTTAGCCAAGCTACATTTAGAAAACACGCATTTTAACAGGTTGTTCGCCTGCCGTCTGTCTGCAGACTTGTCAAAGCATTAATTCATGGTTTTTACTAACCGGTATCAGTATGTTGTTACTTCGGCATCATTTTGAAACGTGTATTGCAATTAAATCACGGTCAAATATGTTCATCTTGTTGTAGTTGCCAGCGATTCTCTCACTAGTTTAGCAACTCAGTCCGGTTGTTGGCCCGGAAAGAACCTCGATTTTGGAGAGCCAGAAAACTGAAAAAGTACCTGCTAGCCGGAACTACGCCTAGTGGAAACGCAACCAGTGGGAATGCGCCATAAGTGTCCATAGTCTGGACATCTCTGAATTCAAGAAATACAAAATAAACATACATGTCTGCATCCTCGTCTCTTCTGTTTGTTTCAGCAGAAAAGGAAGTGCCCAGGTTCAGGTCCGTCTCCTCCTCTGTCCTGCATTCGGAACAAAATGTAGCTCGAGTCAAATCATTGTCCTATGCGATGGTTTATTATGGAATGACATTCAAGTGCCTACACAATGTTTTACACTGACGCAATTAATTGGACCGCCACAGATTTACTTACAGGCCCATATTCCTTTCTTTGATTTTCTTCATGTCTATAACCCCTCCAGACTTCAATTTAAAAGGGTCATCCTGTAAACAAATAAATACTTTAACAACGATGTATACAAATGGCTGTTAAAACCATTTTGATTCAATCCAAATAAATGAACAGGTCCAAACAGATGACTTACATCAGCATCGTTCTCTGGTGGCAGTAAGTCCCCGATCAGCAGGGCGGACACACTGAAACAAAAAGGGAATATCAAGTTAAGTCCCATATGTTCCATTATGCTTTATTATAAACAGCGTTACAAGTGCTTCATTCACATTACCTGACTCCAGTCTGTCGTTTCCGCAAACTCTGAAGCTCCTTAGCCTCCTCTACTTTTGATCTAAACGACCAAGAAATACACATATATTTGTTAATGATATTAGTTGAGACATAACATTCACACCACAGACAACAATTCCATCAATGAAAAACGTAGTTAGGGTTTCTAAATGTATTTTAACGGCCGAGCTGGGAGTAACTAAGTACATTTACTCAAGTACTCCAGATACTTGCTCGAGTATTTACATGTTATGCTACTTTGTACTTCACTACTTTTTCAGAGCTAAATGGTGTACTTTTACTCCACTACATTAATTTGTACCTTTAGTTACTTCGCAGATTTGGATTAATGAAGTGAAATATAATCAACCCTTAAATACAACTTAAGTTACATTCACAATCTACCCCACAGTATACAAAGTAATTACAACTAGCTGCACCTTTACCAGCTTCAATGAACACTTATAATGCATCAAAACATATAATATATTAATCTGAAATTGACCAATTTGATATTGAATACTTTTGGTACTGCGTATATTTTGATGCTAATACTTGTTGTACTTTTACCTGACTACATTATGAATGCAGGACTTTTACTTGTGACAGAGTATTCCTACAATCTGATACTTCTATTTTTACTTTAGTACAAGATCTGAGTACTTCTCCCTCATCTGTTTAAATGTATTTTAACGGATGCAGCAGTTGGCTCCGTTAGCTAACATTAGGTTGATTTAGCTAGTATGTTTGTACATGGAATAGTCTCGAAATAATACTTTACCTGACTTCTTTGGTTGTCTCATCTTCTTCTACATCTGAAGAGTTCCTTCTTTGTCTAAAGTTTCTACCACTCGGCATGTTGTATGTTATCTCTAAGCTTTTTGCTAAAGTACGCTTGTTGACGATAGCAGATGGTTCGATTTTCAGGGGAGAAATTTAGCACGTACAATAATACTGCGTCACTTCCGGATGTATGACAGACCACTTCCGTCTTTTAAATAACCATAACAAACATGGCGGCTTACAAGCAGGTCGGCAGGTTATTGGGAATTTCAGCAAGGCTTTCCCGACCGTAAGTGTCCTTGTTTGTCAGTTGTGAAAGTGCAATGTCTGTCATTTTGCTGTAATACTTATAAATCAAGAGCAACGACCTCTAACGTACTAAGAGCAGCTAGCTAGTTAGCTCAGTTCCATGGTGACGCAGAAAGAAAGCACCTATCAGAGCAGCATGATAACAAGCATGATGTAATTGGTGTGTCTTCTATTACTTATTCATCTTAACGAATTGCCCTTAAAATAAATGACGTGTTGTATTATCCCTTTTGCACCATTTATTTCAATTGTATTAAACTGCAACATGTAGCTTTTTTCTTTCTTTTCTTTTCCTGTCATGTATATCATTTAGATTTGCATTGCCATATCTACACTGCAGCTACTGTTCATATGACAATAAAAGCTTTGAAAATCTTTGAATCTGGAACATTCTTCAGGGTTCTTACGGTCATTCAAAACCTGGAAAAGTCATGGAAATTCAAAATGCTAATTCCAGGCCCTGGAAAAGATATGGAAAACAATATTTTTCCCAAAGTTTAGGAAAAGTCATGGAAATGTAACTAAAGTTGCATCAAATATAATTTATATGTCATCTAATCCCCGAAATAGTAATACTATAATGATAATAAATACTGTATTGTATAGTAATGAAACGTAAAATGGCATTTAACTGACGAGGTATTTTGCTGCTGAGAGATTTTAGTGGCTTTAGCCTGTAGGAGCTAGTAAGCCTATTTGATTTGTTTTAGATAGGCACAACATGTTTCATAGGCAGACCTTATTTTCCTGTTCCATGTTAAAATAAACTATTTTCAGTGGTACCGCTGAGAAAGAGTACTTTTTATGGTCATGGAAAATTAGGTAAAAGTCATTGAAAATCATTGGTGAAAAAGTGTATGAACCCTGATTCTTAGTGAACTGATTCCTCTTTGAAACTGTTACATACAGAAGTGGGAGGGAGGAAATAAAACAGGGTTGCAAGGGCACTGAATATTCAGATTTTTAGCAGCATATATTGAGTTAAGCTGTTGTAACTCTTTACATGTTTCTTTTGTTTTGTCCCAGTCTTGCAGTCAGTGCTTATCAGTGCGCCAGATTGCACTTGCCTTCACATAACACAGCAGTCCAAAACAGATGGCCACAAAACCCCCATTGGATTGTTCCTGGTTTGTATGCCTTCAAGATCCTTGTGTTCTTCTGACTTGGGACAACACTAAATAATGATTCACTGATTATTGTTTTTTGTTTTTTCCAGCAAGGACCATGTTTGTGCGGACGCAGGACACACCAAACCCAAACAGTCTAAAGTTTCTTCCCGGTCGTACAGTTCTTGAATCTGGGACTATGAATTTTGCGGGTCCTCGTGATGCTCATTGCTCACCCTTAGCCAGGTATATTACATGTTAAGTAAACAATTACTGAACAGCTAGTTCAGTATCAAGTTCAACATCAAGTTCACAGCCGGCACTTAGACACACAGTAGGAGCAAATGCACAAATGACACTTGAGTGGTGCTTATTGATGTCGGCTGTGTTCCAACTATTCATAGTCAAAGGAATGCAGCCATTACGCTATGTATCAGTGGCCCTTGGGTTTGGTTTGTTATTCAACCGCATGACAACCAATTGCATCTGTACTCACAAAACAAGAAATGACGATATAAGACTTCTGTGTTCTCCTCTGGTTGTCCTTGAGTCCCATGCCAAGAAATGTGTCAAACAATGCAATCAGTAGATTTTGTTAATGTTGAGCTTTTTTTCATGTCCTTGAGCTTTAAATCACTTTGGCTCGACCACAAATCGTTTTAAAAATGTGCTATATAAATAAAACTTGATTTGGTTTCATTGAAATCACTTCATTGTTAAATATTCCAAACATAACTACTGTATATGCTGTAATAACTTGTAGATTACATTACACGTATGACATGTATTACACATGGGTGCTGTTTATGTAAAATAAATCTGTCTTTTAGCATCATATCTATTATTGGTTTGGTTTGCATAACATATTTTTTATTGTAGTGTTTTAAGCTATATAAATAAACTTGCCTTGCCTTAAGTGTCAAACTCTAATATTTCACAAATGTATCAAAACCTCAGTCAATTTCTGTGTTGTCTTCAGGCAGCTGTTTAGGATCGATGGAGTCACGGGTGTCTTCCTAGGCTCTGACTTTATCACCATATCAAAGGTTAAACCAGGTCAAATCTTATATAACCCTTACATAGTGGCACATTATAATGTCATTACTGAGAATCATTTGTTTTTTCTCTCTGCCTCCATTTAGTCTGATGAAAATATGGAATGGAGAGTTATCAAGCCAGATGTGTTTGCTGCCATCATGGACTTCTTCACATCTGGACTTCCTGTGGTGAATGAGGACAGCACACCAAGTGCAGATACAGGTATAGATGTTAACCAGATGTGCAGGGAAAACACTGAAATAGACAGAATGAGTTGGGCAGACTATTTGTGAATGCTGAGGAATCTCCATTTGTCTTCTCAGCACCATCAGAGGATGACGATGAAGTAGTCGCTATGATCAAAGAACTGCTGGACACTCGAATAAGGTAGCTGCTTGTGAGGAGGCACTCTGATACTGTATAAGTATCTTTTCTATTGACCATGGCTTCCTGTCCTTTCTCCACGCTCACTGGTGTTTTTCTCCCCCAGGCCAACAGTGCAGGAGGATGGAGGTGATATAGTGTATCGGGGGTTTGAGGACGGCATTGTTAAACTGAAGCTGCAGGGCTCCTGCACCAGTTGTCCCAGTTCAATGGTTACTTTGAAGAGTGGAATCCAAAACATGTTGCAGTTTTACGTTCCCGAAGTTGAATCAGTGGAGCAGGTTTGTTCTCCTGACTCATTGTTGTTGTAATAACCTGCATACATTTTTATTTGATGTTGTATAAGCACTGTCATTTTAAATCTCTTGTATTATTAGATAGACACATTGGTGTCATGACTCACAAATTGCCATCTACAATTAGCATACATTAATTAATATATAAAGGCAATATGTGGTTTGGGAAAGTCTGTGCTACTTAAGGTGTGAATTGAACTTGTTGTTTTTTCCACAGGTGACGGATGAGGATGAGGAGGAAGCTGCTCAAGTGTGACTTGCACTGAAACCACATTTACACATTCCTCGCTCCGCCCACCAACTCTTTTGATTCAAGCCATAGTTACAATAAAATGGAATACAGCACAGCATAGCTGTCCTCATTATTCATCCAGATGCCAGTGATTTTGATATCTATTTTCTGTACAGTGATTACAAAATTAAAATATATAGGACGGAAGAGCCTGGTCATAGGAACTGATTGCCGTAGAGCTGAAATGAAAGTGATTCTTATTTTCACAATGTCCTTTTTAATTTCAGTCACTAACCTCAACTCACCTTAAAAAGGCTTTAAATAATTATACTGTATGTATATAAATAAAGTTTGTTGAAATATGTTTCGACAGTTTTGCCTTTTTATTGTCTTCCTTACATCTAGATATGTTTTCAGTAAATGATGTATTACTTACAATTTTAGAGATATTACTTACAGGGCAGGTTTAACGTAATCTAAGTGTGCCATTGCTTAAAACCCGGATAATGTCCTTTGTGTAATTTTAAATGTTATTGACAAATTATTTTTGCATGGTTTTGCAGTAGCAGAGGGCACAGGCTAGGCATTGCGCAGTAATGTTGACTTTAGGTGTGCTGTGTGTCTGGTGGCTGTGGCTACGGATCTGTATCCTGATGCCACGTCAGGAGTGTCTACGTCGGTAGGTATACCTTGATTGATAGGCCTTTCGACCAATCAGAAGCTGCCATGGTGGACGACGGTTGGCTCTGACTCAGTGAAAACAGATAAGTGGGCGAAGTTGAACTGACAGGCGTTCCCGGCTACCGTAGTAGCTGTATCTGGCAGCGAAACTGAACTGAAGACATGTGTGGTGAGTTCTGAATCAATTCTACATTTATACTATACAGCGGAAAAAGTAGTTTGTTTCCTGATTCCCAGAACAGTAACGGTATAATTGTAAGTACTGCTGGCATCATTGGCTCAGGCTAAAGGTTAGTCAGTTGAAATTAGCTAAAGGGTGGCTAACCCGAGTTAGCTTACATGAGATGCTTTTAGCTATCCAAATATAAATAAACCACTGTGTCCTTTTGCTGCAATGTCACATGATATCTGTGTTTTTGATGTTAACGCCAAGTCAATCTCTGGGGATATGATGTTTCATCATGTCAACGCAGTTTACGTGGTTTGCGGTGACATGACGTCCATCTCTATACTTCCCACTGCGCGTCTGTCACTCTGGTTTGTTGTCTTCAGAGGTAGAAGAAGTACTCAGTTTGTGTACTTCAATACAAGTAGAACTAGCAGAGAGCAGGACAACTTGGTTACAAGTTATAGTCCTGTATTTCAAAATGTTCCTCGAGAAAAAGTACAAAAGTATTAGCATCAAACTATACCTAGTATCCAAAGAAAAGTACTCTCTATGCAGACTGGCCCATTTCACAATCCTATATTATATGTTGTCATTAAAATCATTGATGTATTAATGTGTTTATCAAGGTGGAACTCATTTGAAGTAGCAAGAGCATGTTGTAACTTGAGTTTTAATTAAGTGTTGATCATATTGTTTATCATTAATCTATATCTGCATAGTAACTAAAGAATAAAGTAATAGAGTAAAAGTCCAATATTTACCTCTGAATTTTAGTGGAGTGGAAATGCAAACTAACATAAAATGAAATGAATCAAGTAAAGTACCTCAAAATGAGTTACTTTACACCACTGGTCATACCGATGTCATTACGTTAAACTTTGATCGAGAAAGTATCCGGAAAACAACTCCTTTGTCATCATCCTTTGGACAAATGTATTTGAGATACTTTGCAAGTACCTGCCCATGTCCCTGATTGTCTTCTTCTTTCACGCCTGATAGCTGATGTCTCTCTGTCTCCCATCACTGTCACTACAATCTCAATCACACCATCAGACCAGAGTTGCTTTTCTCAGGGAACCAAGACACATGCTTCTATTTCATTATCTACTGACATGTAGGCAAGAAGCCACTTTCCTCGGGTTCAGTTTTCTATGATCAACATATTTCTTTAACAAAGGTTGGTCTTGTGCCTTCTGCCTGCTGCTGCAACACTTTCCTGTGGAGATCCCCCCCCCCCTGCTGATCTGAATGAATGCTCTGTTGGACCAGGCAGCTCTCTGGCTCTACATTTGCATGTATCTGTTCATGCTTAGCTGTGTAACTGGGCTGTATTTCATTCCTTCCCCCTTTGGCTAATTAAGGTGACATTGATGTCAGTGTGAGTAAGTTGCTGGACTCGCAGAGGAGTTCAAAGTATCTGCAGGAAAGACTGTGGATTATTGCTGAAATGTGTCATTGAAATACTAAAATAGGGATTGATGAGGGTCGGTTATTGCACCGTTGAGTAACAGGAATATTTTGAATGAGATGTCACGTGTTGTTGTGTCACCTACACCTCGCTCCCTAGACAGAAGATATCGGCTTGGGAAACATCCATTATATAGATGTACTCCATTGTCTCTAAGCAGGTCTTACTGCCAAGGACTTAGTTGTGTGCATTATGCACAACACACCTCCAATGTATTGACTTGTAAATAAAGCGTGGCTGTCATCTCAAAGCTTGTCCTACTTCGTAAGAATCGCATTACACTGTCATTGGTTTCATCAGCCGCATTTTCATATTCATTCTTATTGTAAGTGTTGGTTGGATTGTGAATGAATGAATGAAAACTTTATTACAGACTCACGGTCCAGATACGAGACATTACATATAATTACATACACAGCATAAAAATAATTCATAGTTTAAGAATAATTAAAATCAGTGTCCTACAAAGAGAGAACTATACCAATGTCTCCACAGCTGCGATTGGTAGCGTGTACTAAACCTTATGTTCGATAAGGCCAAGAGGATTTCATTATCACAGTCATTAAGCCGGCAAATACATTTATACATAAGATTTCCTAAGACAGCTTGTAGAGTATTGACTCCTGCAGCCACAAACATTTCACTTGCACTACCATCGAGGTCTCTTCAGCAATATTCTCATGGCATCAATATCTTTATATTTATATTTAATCCAAGAAGATTTTAGTATAATGTAATGACAGTAGAACACAGATTATTTCTTTTTTTGCACACATTTTTTATTTCCTGATAATCTATATATATTCAAAAAAGGTATTTATAGTGTTGTATTATTATGCTAAGCCGTTTCCCACGGGGATAGTCATTTTTCTTCCTTAAATCTTCAGTGGCTTGATATTCTATTCCTTCCTCTGCCCAGGAATCTTTGCATATCTCAACTACCATGTGCCGAGGACTCGTCGGGACATCCTTGAGATCCTCCTCAAAGGTCTGCACCGACTGGAGTACAGAGGCTACGACTCAGCCGGTGAGAGACATTTAAAAAGCTCATATCATCAACAACACACTTTTTTAATCGGGCCTCTTTATTCACGTTCCCCTTACTGTCTTCCAGAGAGCTTTTTTCTGATAATGCCCAATTTGCTGATGGTGAAGTGTTTATTTGGACAATAATGCAGCGTTAGAATCGCCTTATCACCATTTGTTTTTCTTTGTTCCCGCTAAGCAAGACTGATGTTGACCCTAAATAATTGAACAGCCATTATTGTATTTATGGGTTACACTTACCGCACCATTAATGCAGCGATGTACTGTATGTGAAGACTATGTACTGTATGTGAAGACTATGTACTGTATATGAAGACTATGTGCTGTATGTGAAGAAGTTTTGTTCTAATGTTTTGGATAAATGTAGCTCCATGTTATGTTGGAGTTCTGTTCTGGCATTGGACCACAACGAGTGGGAACCATACAGTTATCATATACATGTTTGTATACTTCATTCACTCTAATTCACTCTCATGCTAATTTATTTGTATTTGGTTAGGTGTGGGAATTGATGCTGGAAATGGAAAGGACTGGGAGACAAATGCCAAGTCCATCCAACTGATCAAGCAACGTGGAAAAGTGAAGATGCTTGATGAGGAGATCAACAGTAAGTACCGTGAATCAAACATTCAACTGAATTTTCATTGTTTGGTGCATTTTGGATACTAAACACTCCTGTCTGACCTTTAGAGCAGCAGGATATTGAAATGGATGTGGAGTTTGACGTCCATCTGGGCATTGCTCACACCCGCTGGGCCACCCACGGCGCGCCGAGCCCAGTTAACAGCCATCCTCACCGATCTGACAAGACCAATGGTCAGTTGTGTTTGAAGATTGTCAGCTAACAAAGCTAAATATTTGGCAGGTCAGGTTTTTTGATCTGGTTTCAGGTGTCTTAAAGTTTCTGTTTATCTTTCTGGTCTACAGAGTTCATTGTCGTTCACAATGGAATCATCACCAATTACAAAGACCTGAGGAAATTCTTGGTAAGCATACATTTCTTTCATTTGTTGACCACTCTGATATGAAACAGGACTAACTCTTTTTTCCCACCTCCACAGGAGAGCAAAGGCTACGAGTTTGAGTCAGAGACTGACACGGAGAGCATTGCCAAGCTGGTGAAGTACATGTTTGACAACAGGGAGAATAACGACATCAGTTTCGCAACACTGGTGGAACGAGTGACCCAGCAGCTGGTGAGGACCTGCTCATGCACACTGCTGCTATTATATTGATCAGCAGATAAAAAGCCTGTCTGATTTATTTGTTCTTCCCCTCACCAGGAAGGAGCTTTTGCCCTGGTCTTCAAGAGCGTCCACTACCCCGGAGAGGCAGTTGGCACAAGGTACATTCCTACTGATGCTGTCAAACGTATGGCGACTACTTCAGACTGAAGTTTTGTTTGCTCATAAAATAGTTTCTGTGTAGGAGGGGAAGTCCCCTGCTGATGGGAGTGAGGTGTGATCACAAGCTGTCCTCGGATCATATTCCTGTGGTCTACCGCTCCAGTAAGTTTCAGTTTGTATTCTAAATGATCCATCTGTGATTGCAGAAGTGTGACTGAGGCTCATTTCTTTTTGTCTTCAGCCACTAAAGACAAGAAAGGCTGCACTGCCCTACCCAGGTCGGACCGGGAGAGCTGCTTGTTCCCTGTGGATGAGAAATCTGTCGAGTATTACTTTGCCTCCGATGCAAGGTTAGCACATGCCCACATCTTTGTTTCACCCTTTTTTACCAAAGCAATATTAGATTTTTTTTCAAAGATTCTCACCGAAGTCCCATACCTTTAGACTTCATTTTGGAGGGTAAATCAAATGATTGACGTTGTCTTCCGCTCGCCTCTCTTGTCACCACAGCGCAGTGATCGAGCACACAAACCGGGTGATCTTCCTGGAGGACGACGATGTGGCCGCCGTGGTGGAAGGCCGCCTGTCCATTCACAGGATAAAGCGTACGGCCGGAGACTATCCAGCCCGCGCCATCCAGACCCTGCAGATGGAGCTGCAGCAGATCATGAAGGGTGAGTGGAGGGTCAAGTCTTTGATCTGTTTGTTTCAACTGCTTGTTTAGCTGAGCTGGCTGTTAACTTCCTGCCCTGAAGCCGCCCTTCTTATCATCCAGCTCGTTACAAACCCACTGTATCAGCTGCACCCCCAGGCCAGCCACTGTCAATACAATGATTGTTGTAGGAATGTATCGCCCTCAACTTCCCTATCTGAGCCTGAGCTGACATTTAGTGCAGTCAAAAGATAGAAGTACAGAGGAGCATGTTTTAATGTTTATAGCTTTGTTAATTAAACAAAGGGTAATGAGTTTTAAAGTGTATATTTGAGCTGCAATTGAAGAGAAGTTACATTTTAGTTTATTTACTGTTGAGACTTGGATGAGAAGTGGGACTTTCATGGCTCAAATCTCCCATGAGACTGTTGGCTGGTCTCAGCTGGTTTCCTCTTCGTGCTGTTTCCCTCTGTTCTCACTCTTTGTCTAAGCCAAGTTAAGTGCATGTTAGCTTTAGCTTCACATTTACTCTACAGACATAAGAGAGGTATCAGTTATATCACATAACTCTCCTCAAAAGGGGAAAATACTCCTTTCGATTTGGACTAGGGCTGCACGATTTGGGGAAATAATCTAATTGCAATTTTTCTGACAGATATTGCGATTTGCGATTTTTGTTTTTAAGCGACCCATCGGAAGTTTATTGTAAAATGCAGCCATATCTCCGGCTAGGAAGGTCGTATCAACGTGCTCCCGTCTCTAGCACCCCCGCAGCCCGAGCTACGAGTGAAAGAACTAAACTTACATGAAACTTCCGTTGGGTTGCTTTAAAGTGAAGCTTCAGTTTAAGATTCACCCTGTAATAGATGTAACACATGTGATGGAGCATTACTAACCTGACTCAGATGGTTCACCAAACCATCTAGGAAAGCTCCATTGGAAGCCATTTGGAAAGGGCAGGCACTTTCAAAAATACTTGGCAGGTGATTGGATCAATCTGTCTATCACCTTCTATCATGGGCCACTTCTGATTGGTTAACAATGGCTGGTTCATGTGGAGCACAGCACTTCTGATTGGTGTGGATGACTGACACACAAGAAGAACAACAAGAAAATGGCAGGCTTTGCGATTTGATAATTGCGTCATTTCAAATCGCTTAATCGTTCAGCCCTCATTTGGACTATGCCTGCATTGTTATGATCTCACTTTTTTAATTATTGGTTAATCTGCAGAATATTTGTAATTAATGTATTTATTCCAAAGTGGGGGAAACAGCTTTCTCGACCTCTCAGGACCCAGTGTGTCTTTACTTTGGTATTTCATCCAAACAGCAGTGCAAAACCAGACCGTCCTGTATGACAACAAGTGCAAATTGGCAACAGCTATCCAGCATTCATGCGTTCACACAAAACCTCACATCCACTTGATCTCATTCCAAATGTTTCTCTGGGCGAAAAACTGAGGCCGCCAGAGGGTGGGGACATTTTTGTCAACCGACCCATAGAGCAAGCTTTAGAGCTCATGGTTGCAAACGGAGCAGAACACCCTCATGTGAGAACCTGGAAAAAACAAATAGCTAATCGTTGCAGTTTTTAAAGAAGGACATATTGATGGAATAAAAACATGTGTTCATTATCCGGGTGAAATGTTGCATAAAATGGGTGACGTGCCTCACTGTGTATCGCAGATAGCTGTGAACACTTAAACCTCTTGGCCGTCCACACAAAGAGAAATGTGACTTTATAAATCACGTTGTTCTCCACTCGCTCTTCCTGAGTAATCCAGCAGAGGGCAGAGGTAAACTGATGCTGGCTGCTCTCTACATTCCTTTGTGGTCCTGTCATTACTCAGCCTTTCCTCCGTTTCACTTTCTGGAGCCTTTCTGCTGAATAACCCAAATCGCATGACCCAAATAGCTGGCTCAAAAACACTCGTATACTTCAGTGTCACTGATTATTATTGATGGAAAAACACTATCTCCCTTTCTCATGTTTGCTTTTACAACATTTAAAGGATGCCTTCACCCTTTGGCTATGACCATTTTAACAAAGCAACAGTAACTCCCCGCGTTCCAAACAAAGCCTGATTTATCAGTAACACATTGTAAAGATGTTCGTGCTTCTCCAGGAGCTTGTGGTTTTCATTTTCAGGCACTTAATCTGAGTCGAGAAGACCCCTTCAGGCTCACACTTTATTAAAAAGTCCATCAGTGTTCTTAAGAGGCATCAAACCTCTTTAAGAGTGGAAATGTTGGACTGATTTCTGATCCTCCCACCACAGGCAACTACAGCTCCTTCATGCAGAAGGAGATCTTTGAGCAGCCCGAGTCTGTGGTCAATACCATGAGGGGGAGAATCAACTTCGAGAACAACACAGGTTAGTTTTCTCAGTCGGGCATTCATGTAATAAAACAGCTAATGGATGCACTATTTTCTGCTCTGTCCTACCGTGCATGATGCTGAAACGCATGCTCAAATGTCTCTTGTTAAGGATGTATTATAAGCAAAGCACATGTATTAGTTTGTTCAGATGACTAGCCTTGCTGTCACTTTGTTATAAAAATCTTAGTTTGAAAACGAGGAAAGTTAAGTATGTATCCAAGATGAACTATACATGTGCTTTTGTCTCACTGTGCTTAAGAACATTTGAATGAGCTACACACTTGTTGTCTTAAAAGATTCTCTCATGGGCTCCGTGTGGACCTTTTGTAATGAGGCGGAAACTAATAGAGTAGCATGATGGATTATTTGTTTTGCTTTTCAGTGACACTGGGTGGACTGAAGGACCACATCAAAGAGATCCAGAGGTGTCGGCGGCTGATCCTCATCGCCTGCGGGACCAGCTACCATGCTGGTGTAGCGGTGAGTAACGGCTCGCCTAGTGCTTTCTCTTCTTTGGTGTAAACACACATTACGGGAAACATGTCTGTTTTGTGTTTCCACGTTAACTAGTCGGTCGTGTCTGTAATGTGGACACAGGTGAGGTTTGAGCACACTTTCTGTTGTGGGCTGGATGATGCTGAGCAGTGCTTTTCTTTCCTCCCCAGACCCGGCAGGTCCTGGAGGAGCTGACCGAGCTACCGGTCATGGTGGAGCTGGCCAGTGACTTCCTGGACAGAAACACCCCCGTCTTCCGAGACGACGTCTGCTTCTTCATCAGCCAGTCAGGTGTGCAGGCCGGTGCCATCTGGACTTAATCTGAATACACATTCCCCATTTGTCCACTTCCCCCTCCTGGAAGATTTATCTGTTCTTGTGCTCATCTTGAGCCTTGTAAAACGTCTGCAGCACAGCTGAGTTTTCTCTCTGTTCTGCTGCAGTCTTGTGTTTCTTTGGTGTGAGGTTTATTTATTTATTTATGCGTGTCTGATATTTTTGAGACGGTTAAGCTGTTTCAAATCAGCCCTGTTTTAGTGAAAAGACCATTTCCTAACCAACTAATAGATCAGCATTATTATTTTGTCAGAGCTGTTGCTTCTGTTCCATTGCATAAACCGTTGTCTAAATGTTTTTCTACTCCTGCCCATCCTCCAGGGGAAACAGCCGACACCCTCATGGCCCTGCGCTACTCTAAGGAGAGAGGAGCTCTGACCGTGGGAATCACCAACACCGTGGGCAGCTCCATCTCCAGGGAGACTGACTGCGGAGTCCACATCAACGCTGGGCCTGAGATCGGAGTAGCCAGCACCAAGGTGAGCCTGTCTTTGTGTATTCTAGAGAGCTGCAATGTCTGGGGATTGTGTACAGTATCTTCCTCTGCAAACAGGCATTTTCAAGAAGGGTAAGGTCGCAGAAAATACAATAACTCTTATTTTCCTGGAGGTGCTTGTTAGCTGAGTTACATTGCTTGCCATATAACGGCAATGCCCTGGTTTAAATTCCAGCCTTGGGACCTTTGCATGTCACACCCCCCTCTCTCTCTTTCTCGCCCTTGCTACACTCTGACATTGTCTTACCTGGCTGTTTGTCAATACCTTTGGACAGTACATACCTGTTGGAGACAAATATACATGTGACATGAACTGTTATCAAATATTACATTTAATAGAAAATATAGCTACATCTTTTCCATTGCTCAGTTGAGGAAAAAAACCCAGATGTTTCCCTGAAAAACTGTCCCATTTTCTCCTGAGTGAGGAGGTGTACCTCACATCAAATCCCTGAGAGTAATTGCATGCGTAGATGGCAACTGGTTTGGAGAAAACACTTGATATCTTTGATGAACTGACCTTTTTATACTGACTTTGACAAAACTGTCCACCAAGTTGTGGAATTATCTCATGAATGAACTCAACGGCCACTGACACTGAATGAAGCCCAGATGAAAACTCAATCGTGAGTCTCCCCCCGCCTCCTGACATTTTCCTCCTCTCTGAACCCTCAGGGGTTGAATGAGCCTGATATTCTCATCTCAACGCATGTCAAGACAGGGTCCTTCGTTTTCTGCCTCCCCCCCCCCCCCATCCCATCCCCTTCTACTAAACCAAAAGGTTTTGCTCATTTGGACCATTTGGACAGAGAAGTAGAGGAGCCCCCGCCCCAGATGGCCCGGCCCTGGCTTGGCTCGGGGACTCTCTCTCTGCGCCAAAGTCCCAGAGCACGCCTCGGAGACGCCATCATTAACTGCTTTGCTGCCTGGGCCACACACCCAAACCCAACTCCACCAAATGCTGCAACCTAGCTCGTCAAATCCCTGCACTATACATACATGTGACTAGGGCTGAACGATTAATCGATTTTAAATCGAAATTGCGATTTTAAATGATGCAATTATCAAATCGCAAAGCCTGCGATTTTGTTTCCTTCTTGTGTGTCAGTCATCCACACCAATCAGAAGTGCTGTGCTCCACATGTACCAGCCATTGTTAACCAATCAGAAGTGGCCCATGATAGAAGGTGATAGACAGATTGATCCAATCACTTGCCAAGTATTTTTGAAAGTGCCTGCCCTTTCCAAATGGCTTCCAATGGAGCTTTCCTAGATGGTCTGGTGAAACAAACCATCTGAGTCAGGTTAGTAATGCTCCATCACATGTTTTACATCTATGACAGGGTGCATCTTAAACTGAAGCTTGACTTTAAAGCAACCCAATGGAAGTTTCATGTAAGTTGAGTTCTTTCACTCGTAGCTCGGGCTGCGGGGGTGCTAGAGACGGGAGCACATTGATGCGACCTTCCTAGCCGGAGATATGGCCGCATTTTACAATAAACTTCTGGGTCGCTTAAAAACAAATATCGCGCATCGAATCGCAATATTAGTCAGAAAAATCGCAATTAGATTATTTCCCCAAATCGTGCAGCCCTACATGTGACACTAAAATCCTCTACATTGCTTCTATTTTCAACTGGATAAGCAAAAATAAAAAGGAGAAAACAGCCTTTTCCAATTCGCATGATCATATTCAAGATTTACGGATAAATGTCAACTAATGAAATGGAGACTGTTTGGATTACAGTGCAGTATCCGTTGGTAATTTACAGCGTTGCATCGTTGGTTTCTAGTCAACAACTTCGTCTCTTTGAAAATAAATGTGTTATGTAAGGGGGTTCATCTCTGCTGGGGAACCGTTGGCATGTTATGCATGAAACACGCTACTAAGTTGATGGCATGAACACTTGGAGAACCCCACAGTTGACTATGTTGAATAAATATGTTGCCACCTCTGACTCGCTCGCACAGACGGTCAGAGTTCTGAGGAGCTGTGGTTAGCGTGTTGTCTGGAGGGGGGAAATAAAAAACGGTGTAAAGGTTTTACAGCCATTTTCTTGGCAATAGACACTGGCATGTCTGAGTCCAGAGGGTCCCGTGAAATGACTTGGCTTCACTGGAGCACTGATTCAATCTCCCTAATGGGCATGGAAGGCCTCCAAACGTGCCTGCAGATGAAGGAAAGGAGACAAAGTGTGCGGGGATGACGGCAGGCAGGCATGGAGTCTCAGATGTGCCGCGGTTGTGTGAGCGGTGACATTTGCAGAATGATCAGAGGGTGTGCGCTCCGACGGGATGTTGTGTGTCCACAGTTTTCCAGGATGTGAGCTCCTCTGCTTGATGTGTACTAAATCCAAAGTCTCCTATTCTCATCTAGTGCAGATTATTACTAAGACAGAGTTCAGTATGATAAAACAGAAAAGGGAGAGAGAGAGAGAATATTATTAAACCACTATATACATTGTAATATTCACATTTTTAAGTATTTATTGTTATATATTGTAGTACAATGTGCACATTTTTCCCAACGTATCTATTGCACTTTTAACTTGAATTTAGTTCATATGAATGTTTATTCTACATTATGTTATGTTTATTTTATTGTAAAATTGAGCACTTTTCATGAAACCAAACAACCCAGGATTTTAAAAAAATGAATCAATTAAATAAAGATTCTGCAAAGTTGAAATTCGACCCTGAAGTTGAAATGTAAATCTAACGTTAATAACACACTCTGCTCTTCTGACTGCTCTGCAGGCGTACACCAGCCAGTTCGTGGCCCTCATCATGTTTGCGCTGTTGATGAGCGACGACAGGATTTCCATGCAGCCCCGACGCCGAGAGATAATCCAGGGCCTGAGAGTCCTCCCAGGTAAATTAAGCCACGACTTTTCTGACTCAGACACGGAAATCCTGATCACATGTGAAATCAAAATGTATAGGGATAGAAAGCCAGCCCTCCGAGCAGAGATCAAGTTAACCCAAAGCATGGTTCATATTTGTTTGTTTATACAATCCTCTTGGATGAGGAAGTGATTCGATGAGAGCGGGATCAGGTGAAGAGAGCGCTGTAGGCTATAGCTTCTCTGGATCTAAAGCATATGATCCCTCATTGCAAACTAATGCCTGCACAACAGTATGAGTTCACAATCCAGCATTTGATGGGAGCAGCATGTTGACAGTAAGACAGTTGACATCCTCACCAGAGTTGCGTGTAACTGTAATAATATTACTTTTGTCGGTAACGGAGTGGTGTAACGCGCTACTTTTATAATTCAGTAATCACACTACAGTTACTAACATTGCCCCGACACGCGTTACTTCGTTACTTTTATCAAATCAGTCATAATCACACTGACAGACAAGAGGGGTTTCCGCCGCAGGTTTATATGTACGCAATCTGCGCGACTTGCGCGTCCACATCTCCACGTGCAGTGCTGCATAAACATGGCTGAGTCAGCGATAACTCTCGAGGGGTGGAGGTATGCCCATTATTCTGAGTTCGTCCGAAGAATAGACAGGAATGTGACGGTGAGGTGCAAACTGTGTCCAGGCCAGAAGCTGTTATCCACTGCTGGAAACACCACGTCAAACCTCAACAAGCACCTGCAAAGAACACATGCTAAGGTGAAGCTAATAGCTAAGGACCCCCGAACCCAGAGTGAGGATGTTGTGAGTGCGCCGCCGCCGACTCCGAAGCAGCAACAATTAGAATTTGGAGGACAGGTAACCAAAGCAGAGATGGACAGGCTTGTAGCATCCTTCATAGTAGAGGAAATGTTGCCCATTTGCAAAGTGGAATCACCATCGTTCAGAGATATACTGCGCAACATACAGATAGCAGGAGACAGAGGACAGCCATGGTCAGAAAACATTCAGGAGCTATCTGGATCAGTCTTATGCGACAATGGAAACTGAACTAAAGAGAACATTTGAAACTTTAGCAGTCCGCGTGATCTGCCTGCAGGGAGGGGCGGGCCGGCCCTGCGAGTAAAGTAACGAGTTACTTTATGTAGAGAGTAACGAAGTAGTGTAATATATTACTTTTTTTAAAGTAAACATTTCAAATGTCAAATCCACAATTGCATATTTTGTCTTTTACAGATCTGATAAAGGACGTGCTGGCTCTGGATGATGAGATCCAGAAGCTGGCGATGGAGCTGTACGAGCAGAAGAGTGTGCTGATCATGGGCCGAGGCTACCATTATGCCACCTGCCTGGAAGGAGCTCTGGTGAGAACACACATCCTTCTCTCTCTGAATGCTGTCCCTTAAGCCCCTGTCACACTGTCCTGAAATTGACACCCGATGGACACACGATAAAGGAAATGTTCAAATTCGGCTGTGATCGTAGCAACATCGGGCCATTCGTGAGGGCATCTAAGCCATCGTATGACCGCCGGTGGAGTTTCTCAGGCTCCGGCAGCAACTTCGTGAGCGGCAACTTCGTAAGGCACTCGTGAGGGCATCTTGTCAAATCGTGTCATCTTCGTGTTATCATCGGTGCCATCGGGCATTCACCCTCACTCTGATCGGGGCGAATGCCCGATGGCACCGATGATAACAAGATGCCCTCACGATGGCCTTACGAAGGGCACAATTGACACACGAATTCAACACGAAAATGAACCTTCGCAAGGTCCTTCGGCAATTTTTTGGCATGCCAAAGATTTTGCCACCGCTCACGAAGTTGCTGCCGGAGCATGAGAAACTCCACCGGCGGTCATACGATGGCTTAAGATGCCCTCACGAATGGCCCGATGTTGCTACGATCACAGCCGAATTTGAACATTTCCTTTATCGTGTGTCCATCGGGTTGTTTTATTGCACAACAAAATTATGTAAACATATTATGTAAATAACCCAATTTGTGTTCTGTGAAACTAAAAAGGATATAATATATTATTTTGAAGGACAGTTGACAGGAAGTTGTTGTTGTTATGGAAACAACATTACGGAGAAAACGTAATATTTTCTACATATAACGACGGATAAAGTAAAGAACAAAGTCTGAAGATATCAGTACAGTATCATAGTACTGTAACATAATTGTTTTTGGTACTTTCGTTGCAGTTGTATGTCTTAAATGTAATGTAAATGTTGCCTTCGTGTGTGGTTCAGGGCCATCTTCGTGCGAAATTCACAATTCCATATTCGTGTGTCCATCGGGAGTCAATTTCGGGACAGTGTGACAGGGCCTTTAAGGGCTTCATAACAGTTATATTTAACTGCAGGAAATATTTTGCCTTTTTATTTACACTAAGAAACCAAAGAATGTAGATATCTAATATTGGAGATCATTGTTTTGAATATGCATCTTAATCTTAGAAAACTACGGTTCATACCAATATTTAGGTCTTAATGTATACATATGAATAAATGTGTCTTTTGATTGTGTATATATATATATATATATATATATATATATATATATATGTTTTGTATTTGGGATTGTGGGAAACGGTATTTCGATCTCTCTCTGCGCACACAAACTGAAAGATTGACAATAAAGTTGACTTTGACTTGACTTTGAGATGGACTGAGTTTTGTGGTTTTACGTAAGCTTAGATTTACTTAACCCGTGTTTTTTTCCATTATTCTGCTTAGAAAATCAAGGAGATCACGTACATGCATTCAGAGGGCATCATGGCTGGAGAGCTGAAGCACGGCCCCCTGGCTCTGGTGGACAAACTCATGCCGGTTATCATGATCATCATGAGGGACCACACCTACAACAAATGTCAGAACGCACTGCAGCAGATTGTTGCCCGCCAGGTAAGAACTACACACACCTCAACAAATCAGATGTAATGATCCGTTTCATGAATGTTACGAGTGGATGCCTGCGCAATTTCCCAGTTTGTGATTATATACATATTGTACACCTTTTTATTTATTTACTAAATAAGGAGACAAAGAATATAGGAAATATTAAAAGGTATTACATTTGACTTCAGGGTTCACTCAATGAAATGCTCTGGAAACAAACATCTAATCTATTACGGTTAACAAATGAACAATACATTGTGGGAACGGATCTACATTTTATTCCGATTTGACAAGAATGGTTTTTTTTGTGCCATCATCGTGACTGAGAAAATCTGAAGAATATATCATTGTTAATTAAAAACGCTTGCAGACGTAATGACCTCTGTTTTTATGACCTTTTTGTCTATGACTCATACACCTTGACCACTCACATTTCTCCTATTGGGATAATAAAATGGACCTTGACCTTGAATATTAACTAAATCTTGATGTATTAAGAACAACTTCGAATCAAAAACAATCCAGATTTAAATACTGTTGCAATGTCCAGTGATCGACCTTGCAAATTGTTTAAAAACTCCAAAAAATATTGATGAAACACATTTTCAAACATCGAAATCTAATCTGTGATACCGTCATTGTTATTGAGAACATCTAAAGCGTCCCGTATTGAAACCTTAACTCTCTGAACCCTTGATGACCGCAGCACATTTAGCGTGTCAGGTTAATTTCCACAGTCCTGTCCTGCACCACACCCCCGATCCTTCACCTCAATAAACACAAGGGAGGGGTTAGGCGTGACATCACCGCTGTTAGTAATCTGCAGCAGATGTGGCTTTAAGAGGTGTTAAAGTCAGCTGACATTGCGGGAAGAAGGAGGGTGTTTTTTTACAGATCCAAGTTTAGGACCACATTGACGGATCATTTGCTTTGTTTGATTTCCAGGGCCGACCCATCGTGATCTGCGACAAAGACGATTACGAGACGGCGAAGAACTCGTGCCGCACCATCAAAGTGCCGCACTGCGTGGACTGCCTGCAGGGCGTCCTGAGCGTCATCCCGCTGCAGCTGCTCTCCTTCCACCTGGCCGTGCTCCGAGGATACGACGTGAGTACTGACTGTTCCAACAGATGATCAAGGTTCAAGGCTTTTATTGGTCATACGTACATAGCTACAGTTTAGTTATGACGATGACAATCTTAGGTCACAGGCTCCTCCAACAGTGCAACTCAGAAAAAACGGGAAAAAATAGTGAAATAGTGCAATAAGAGTCTATATACAAGTGATTGGAATATGATCTATTAGATAAGTAATTTCTAAATTGCAGCCAGATGAATGTTATGGATGTTGTTTCAAAAGTTCAGGTGTTTAATAGTTGAGATGTATTGCCTCATCTGTAGGGATGGGTACCGAGCCCCGGTATTAAACGGGCCCCGGGGCTGAATTATTAAAGACCGCGGTACCGTTAAGCTCCGACGTTATCGGTCTTTTTATCGGTACTGGAGACATGTAAAAAATATGTCATGTGTATTATTGCTACACAAACATTATATTGCAGTTTTAGTGTCGCTATCTCCTTTTCTAATACGTGACGAGAGATCTCTCTCTCCCCCCGTCTGTGTGCGAGGGGGCGGAGCAGTTACACACACGCAGCTGCTACATGCATGCAGCAACACACACACACGGAGGAGATGGCGGAGAGAACGCGCTCCGAGGTGTGGTTAAACTTTACCCGTCTCGATGTGGAGAATACTCGTAGCAATAAGAGTTTAGCATGTGAGGGCGGTAACAAGAGCAATTTGTCTAAACATTTATCAAAAGTGCTCCACATTCAGACGGAGAAATGCACCGGGTTCGACTGTTTCTAGCAGCTCTGTAGCCCCATCCACGAGTAACGTTTCCACGTCAGGTGTTATGTATGCTAGCAGCAACACACGCAGTTAACTACATTATACAAACATGGGTTAATGATTAGAGGAAACTGAGTTACTCTTTATTTTGTTAAAGTTTCAGCTATTCTGTTTACAGTTCTGTCATCACATTATTTAATACGATTTGTTAAAACGTTGTTGTTTCTTTTGATGTGAAATATTATTTATTTAATTTAAATAAAAAGCAATGTTAGTTTTGTTCACAATTTGTTTAGTTAGTTTACCTTATTTTTTTTTCCTCTAAAAGAACCGATAAGATTACCGTTAAAGACCGGATCGATAAAAGTAGTAGTACCGTTAAAACCTTAACGATACCCATCCCTACTCATCTGTCACTTAAGACCAGAGGTGGGAAGTAGTGGACTACAAATACTTTGTTACTGTACTTAAATACATTTTTCTGGTATCAGTACTTTACTCCTAGACTTTTTACTTTAACTTCTTACATTTTGAACACAAATACCTGTTGGCCTACTTTCTACTTCTTACATTTGAAAACAGGCTGGTTACTTTAGTTTGAATGTGTGTTTGGTGGCGTGATCATTATTCCGAGTCATTGAGTGCCGTTTGATTTGAACACGATCGGTGTATCCAGCACTTCCTGGTGTTCTCTAAAGAAGAGGGACCAATGAAGACTTTGTCCTTTTGCCGTTGTTCAGTAAGACTTTACAAGTTTACATTAAGATGTGGACTTCAAAGCCCCTTATCTTAGCGGAGATGCGTTTGTACTTTCAGTCTCCTGGATTATTTGTCTGTGAACCCGTCCGGTGGCAAAGGCAAATCAAATCAAGTTTTATTTATATAGCACATTTATAAACGATTTTTGGTCGAGCCAAAGTGCTGTACATATAATAAAAATAGCCTGCAGTAGAGACACTTTACAGAAAATACAACAGCACAGATTGTACAGAATATCAGTATGAGAAAAACGACACCCTCTGTCCTTAGACCCTCACATCGTACAAGGAAAAACTTCCGGAGAAAACCCACAGTTTAAAGGGAACATGCAGAAACCTCAGGGAGAGCAACAGAGGAGGGATCCCTCTCCCAGGACGGACAGACGTGCAATAGATGCCGTGTGTAAATCGAAGAGATAATACATTTTACAGCATATAGACCGAATGTAGGAAATGCACGTGTCTGTAATAAGAAGATGAATCCACGAGGATGTCAGCTCGCAGTGTTTATGTGCAGATCAAAGTGCTCTTAACTCAAACCATTATTGTTATTTAAGTCAAAGCGTGTCAAAGTCATAACTCAGGACACTGGAGATAATAAGTTTAGCTGTCGTAAAAAAGGATTTCAATTGTATGTAGTATAAACATCCCAATGTGTTGACATACAGTCTCCCTTTGGTCCTTAAAGGTATTTGAATTTAAGGATGGGATCAAATCACATTTTGTTTTGCTGTGCTGTGTTGGAGAGGACCACATCATCTGCTAACACACATTTAAGCACTACTTTTTATTAATTGTTCTTCGTTAGCTTCTGTAAAGCCTGCTAGTTTAATTATTCCCAATGTTCCCATGCATCTGTGTCTCAGACTATACGAGCCCTGAAATTGAGGCATGTCATTTGTTAGTTTAACAGATTTGATAAAGAACAGTTTGTGACCGTATTATTGTCTCTTCATTTTCACAAGTTGCTTACTTTTTCAACAGGATTGGGCTAGCTGTTGAACCTTGTGTACACTTCCCTGGCTCTGCTTTATAACACGATGTCAAAGGACAAAGTAAACGGCTTAACTGAAGTACACCATGTAAATATTGTCCGTGTGGAGCACTTCACTTCAGAGAGCTATTTATAACTGTGCCATATTGGGCTGCTGTTCTGACAGGGAAGCAAAGATGTGTGCAAAAACAGCTCTGTTGCACTCCGCCCTCCCTCTCTTTTATAAAAGTGTCAAAGCATCTGAAGTCTGTTTTTTAAAGTAATGAATCATAGGACAGGGTTCGTACGGTCATTGAAAACCTGGAAAAGTCATTGAAATTCAAAATGCAAATTCCAGGCCCTGGAAAAGTTATGGAAAACAATATTTTCCCAAAGTTTTGGAAAAGTCATGGAAATGGAACTAAAGCTGCGTCAAATTTAATTTACATTTGATCTAATCGCCGAAATAATCTGCGGTGGCGAGTTTTATACAGTCTATGGTCGCGAGCCATCATGACGCGCATGGTGTTATTTTTTAATAGCCTATATGAAGCGCGAGCTGTGTGCTCGAGTCTTCCTGCCTGTCGGCTGAACTCTGCTGCTCCGGGATGAGGGTCAGCTACATTATCTACGGTGTGTTCGTTAACTGTGCGGAGTCACTGTGGCACAGACTGAGCCGCTGGTGAACAGCTGTTAGAACGGGACGTTCAGGTGTTCAGAGCGGCAGAGCGGCAGAGCGGCAGAGCGGCAGAGCGGCAGAGCGGCAGAGCGGCAGAGCGGCAGAGCGGCAGAGCGGCAGAGCGTGATGTGCACTGAAAAGTTTTTCTGTCGCAATATCATTTAAGGAATCGTTGAGCAAGCTAGCTAGCATACATTGTTACTATCTGCTAACGTTAGCTTTAGCCTTCGTTTTCTAATAGTTTTTTTCATAGGCTATAAACAGAGGTGGTATAAATATAGATATTGTGCTAGAGTAAAAGTAGAAGTACTCAGATCTTGTACTTGAGTAAAAGTAGAAGTACTCAGGTATTGTACTTGAGTAAAGGTAGAAGTACTCAGGTATTGTACTTGAGTAAAGGTAGAAGTACTCAGGTATTGTACTTGAGTAAAGGTAGAAGTACTCAGGTATTGTACTTGAGTAAAAGTAGAAGTACTCAGATCTTGTACTTGAGTAAAAGTAGAAGTACCAGAGTGTAGGAATACTCTATCACAGTAAAAGTCCTGCATTCAAAAAGTTCCTCAAGTGAAAGTAGAAAGTATTCTCATCAAAATATAGTGAAAGTAGCGACAGTAAAAGTAGTGATTGAGCAGATTGGTCCATTTCAGAATAATATATATATGTTTTATAATGATTGATCATGAAAGTGTTCTCAAAGCTGGTAAAGGTGCAGCTAGTTTGAATGACTTTGTATACTGCAGGGTAGCTTGTGAATTTACTCCAGCTGGAACTAAAGTCTGATTTAACACTTAATTAGATTTCACATCATTCATCCAGATCTGAAAGTAACTAAAGGGATTAAATACATGTAGTGGAGGAAAAGTACACCATGTACCTCTGAACTGTAGAGGAGTAGAAGTACACCATGTACCTCTGAACTGTAGAGGAGTAGAAGTACACCATGTACCTCTGAACTGTAGAGGAGTAGAAGTACACCATGTACCTCTGAACTGTAGAGGAGTAGAAGTACACCATGTACCTCTGAACTGTAGAGGAGTAGAAGTACACCATGTACCTCTGAACTGTAGAGGAGTAGAAGTACACCATGTACACCATGTACCTCTGAACTGTAGAGGAGTAGAAGTACACAGTAGCAAAACATTGAAATACTTAAATAAAGTACAAGTATCTCAAAATTGTACCCACGTATAGTACTTGTTGAGTTTATGAACTTAGTTACTTTACACCAGATGCCATAAAGATAGAAAGACTACGCCTTGCACAGAGGCATGAAAATACATTTTCAAAATGCTCAACAGCCAGAATTATAAACCGACTGCTACACAATTACAATAAATGCTTTTATATATTTCTATTGGATGTGACTCTTTGGCGTTTCTGTTATTATTACCTGCTGCTTTAGTTGTTCTGACTGCTAAAATCCTCAGTTATTCCTCATTTTAAAGCCGATATTCCGTGGGGTCGGGGGGCTCGGGTCCTTGTCACCTTTTCCATACCTGATGAGTTTGCCTCCCTGACTGCAGTTGCTTTAGCGTGTAGAAGCTAGTAAGCCTACTATTTGATTTGTTTTAGGTAGGCACTACATGTTTCATATGCAGACCTTATTTTCCTGTTCCATGTTCAAATAAACTATTTTCAGTGGTCATTTTTTTTTGGTCATGGAAAATTAGGTTAAGGTCATTGAGAAGTCTTGGAAAAGTCATTGGTGAAAAAGTGTATAAACCCTGATGGGAGCATTAAAGTGTCTTTTTGGTAAATCCAACTTAGCATTTAGTCAGAAACCCTGTCTTACTTCAGGGGGTCCGCGGGGTCTTAAAAAGTATTAAAAGTTGATCAATCAATTTAGCGAAAATGAAGGCTATTAAAAAGTATTAAACGGCATTTTCCAAGGTATTACATTTTATATCTTGTTTTCAGTAAGTACATAAATTGTCCAAAGAGGTTGTATTCTACAGTGTGCCTGAATGTAATCATTGCGTAGGTCAGGGTTGCCATCCTCATTTCAAAATAAACGTGGATTTACGTAAAAAACTATTTGTTCGGGTGTTTTGTTTGATTTTAAACAAACAAAGTCTTGGCTTTCAGAATATGAAACTTTTATTTCCAAAATCACACGATAAATACATTTTTGAAGCTTGTAAAGGGACGAAGACAGGCACCTCTCCCTCGCAATCTGCTCTTCCGCAGCGCTGCCCCCCTCCCTCCGGCTGACATTATGAAAGAGTATAGTAATCATAGATAACACGGCAGGGTCCGTTACAGTTTGTTTTCATCGGATTTCAATTAAACAAAGTCTTGGCTTTCAGAATATTAAACTTGTTTCAGCAAATTCAGATGATAAATACAACTTTGAAGCTTCGGCATAATTACAAGCGGAGAACGGAGTAACTTAACGTCACTGCAGGCACAACAACAGCCGGTGTTTCTCGTGAGTGTTTTCCCCGGGAAACAAACACAATACGCACAAACGCAAAAATACACAAACACACACACGTAGCCTATACACACACACACACACACACTCGCGAGCTTCCCCCAGACCAGTAATCCAAACTCAAATATCTTCCCTTCGTAGTATAAATTCCACGGGTGGAGCTGTCAATTCTTCCTGGTCCTCCGGACCGCCTGGAAATCTCTTACCGGTACTAAGGACCGGGTAGGACCGGCACACTTTCAACACTGGATAAGGGTGGATATAGCCCCCATTGTTCTGTGTGTCAAAATGGTAGACAGCCCACATACCTACCAATCATCAAACCGTGGGGTCTTATTTCATTACGTGTTGATTTCTATCAACACGTAATGTTGTATCGATGTATATAGAGATGTACTACAGCAAAAGTATTCTCCGTCGGGACTTCCTGGAACAACACCACGCCGTTATCTTGATTCTGATTGGCCAGAAGACATTATCAAAGATGTTCTATTGAGAAGACGATCACTACGTGACAACAGTTTTCAAAACCGTTTCTAGTCTTCGGTATTCTTTTTTTGGCGTGAGAATAGTTTGGGCAGCGTGAGAGCGTGAGATTGAGAGTGAAAGCGTGTGTCACACGCCAGATGCGTGAGAGTTTGCAACCCTGGCGTAGGTGTGCAGTGTGATTCTGTGTAGTTTATTTATGGCATCCCGTTGGATTTGACGTCATCTGAACAGGACATCGCGCGCTCACTGCTTGATAGCGCGAAGGTCCGTTTACGCCGGTTGTTGAACAACATCGTTATGGGGAAATGCAAGCTTGCGTCCAAATGGTTGGAAGATAAGGAGGAAGGACAATCAATACTGTATATCAGGGGTAGGCAAGTAAGTTTGGCCTTGGGCCAATTTTTTGCTGAGCCACAAGATGGCGGGCCAGAACATAATCAAAGCCTAATTCAAGGAATTGATTTTGGTAAGAGGGCGCAGCGCCCCTGTTCCCCGGTTCAGAAAAAACTCTATCGCTGATAACCCTCCATCAACACTCTGATGCGCAGTCAGATCCGCTGATTGGTTCACTGATGATATAGGCGCCCAATCCAGAGCCTCTGGCTAGACCCGCCCAAAGGGAGGCTCGTCCTCTCTAGCCCCATTTCAGTCCCAAAGCCAGGGCTATTATCTGTATTTTATCAGACTTATCTTTTAAATTGAGGTGTAGCCTATTTATTGTTCTCTTCAAAGTTTATTTTTCTCTGAAATGTTAGGGAGGATGGTCCTCCCTTTCCTCAATGGACGAGCCTCCACTGAGTAAAGTAGAGTTATTGACTAGGTAGCAGTGTTATTTAACATACTTTCATTCTGATAAGTATTGTCAAGTTCTCTGGGTTTTTGGCATTTATTTGAGTGTTTGCCCATTTGAGAGGCTTGAGGGGCAACAGAGGACGCATGGACAACTGGAATCCTTGTTCCTTTTCTTTATTTCAACTTTTCAAGGACACATTAGGATTCTTTCAGGTTGAAAACCTTTAAAAAATACCAAAGGACAAAATAAATCAATTACAGCAGTTTTGCTTTGCAATTTAATATATTATAACCTAAATTAATCAGTAACCAAGTATTTTACTCAAACTCAATGTATTTAATAGTTAAATAAGTACTTTAATTGACCTGGTTCCCCACAACCACACATTTGCCATATGTGACCCACTCTATCGAAATCAGTCGAAAGTCGCAACGGCTGTTTGATTTTAAATAAACAAAGTCTTGGCTTTCAGAATATGAACATTTTATTTCCAAAATCACACGATAAATACATGTTTGAAGCTTGTAAAGGGAAGATGACAGCTCTCACTCGCCACTCTGCTCTTCCACAGCGCCGCTTCCCCACCCTCCGCTGACATTATGAATGTAAGCGGATATGTCGGGACAGAATTTATTTTACCAGACAAATTTGAAACTTACCGGTCATGTTTCAATAATAATAATAAGAATGGTGGAGCAGAGTTTCCGTTGGCAGGTAATCACCGGACTATGACCGGATATGCTGATGTTTAAAACTCAGTTAATGGGGCTCATTTTTATATTGCTTCAGTTTATAATCGTTACAGATCGAAAAGTTCAGATTCATTTTTCAATAAATGATTCCACAAACAACAAAAAACATCATTATTACATTCAAACAAACTAGCCTAGGCTAGATGAAGTACATTATTCAAAAGTTTACATTAACTTTGAATAATAACACGGGAGAAACGGATGCTCTCTTTTCCCCTCTCCCTCCCTCTCTCCTGACAGCCCGTCAGTTTCTCATGCAGCTCGCTAAACAGTGGGCGGGGCTTCAGGTGATTATGCAGAGCTGCGTGTCTCCGTCAGACTCAGCAGCTGATCTGATCTCTCTCGGTCCGGTTATACTTCACTCGCGTGTATGACCATATCGATCAGATCCAGCTCTCCTGATCGGCCTTTATAGAGAGCACCGATCAAACTATTAAGAGTGAATATCGGCCGATAATGACCGGCGGCCGATCGATCGGCGGCTAACGGAAACCCTGATGTGCGACTGTCGGTCCTATGTTGTAAATGTTTTTTAAATCTCAATAATATTTTATTTTTTATTCTCAAAATTATGGGCCAAATATTATTGCTGGCGGGCCAACAATGGCCCGCGGGCCGCCTGTTGCAGACCCATGCTGTATATAGTCAATGTGAGGTAAAGTGTGTCGCCAATGTAACCGGTTAAAACTCCAAGTGGCAATGAGGTCTTAAAATGTGTGGAAAGGGTCTTCAAAAAGGTCTTCAAAGGTGTTACATCTGACTTCAGGATTCCTGCATATACCCGGTCTGACTTGTTGTTCATTTAAAGGGCTATTGTTCATCGTGTAGTAAATAACTTATTGTGTTTAACTACAGGTGGATTTCCCAAGAAACCTGGCCAAGTCAGTGACCGTGGAGTGAGACGCAACATTCATCACAACAACAGAAGCCAGGCGGACGCTCACTCATACAGACGGAGAGGGAGCGCCTGTATGCAGAAAGCAACGTGTTATTTTTAATGCAATCTTTTACCCAACAGTTGTGTATCCCACTGTTGCATATCCTCACTGTCTATATTTTCCTAGAATCCAATGGCATCGTTGTTGTTTTACCGTTACAGAAGCAGTTGTCTGTGGTGGGGAGGTCTGGGCTGGTTGTGAATCTGTAGCAACTGACGGTTACATATTTAGTTGTGCTGATTAGCATCACTAGGAGACAGGAGTTGGGTTTTACAGACATTCATGGTTTTTGTTTTTCTCTTCCTTTCCTGCAATATGGATATTTTTCTTTGGCAGCTAATCATTTGAAGTGTCTTTAATCTATAGCAAACGACCGCCTTAATTCATTCCAAGCCACAGGTCGTCACGTATTGGTAATTGCAGCGCAGTTTGCCTGCGTTTACCTTGTTACACTTTCTTCTGAGGACTCTCATCTCAAAGGAGCAAAATCACAGAAAAAGCTTGAAGACACTGCTGTGTAAGGAATCTTCTTGGGTAGGTTACACAAGTTTGTCCTTTGTATGAACCTTGCGTTTCAATATGAAACCCTAGTCTTCTTGGTGGGATTGGTTTGCGAGAAGAAGCCTCTTACTCAGAGTGTGAGATTGTGTTACCTCACACTCGCGCTTCTATTACTTTAAAGCTTTTTCTGCATAATGACTCTTATACTGACCTTATTGCTGAGCTAAGGTTTACATTTAAACTGAAGTGAGATGAAGTTACTGACATGGAGTAGAAGTTTCCAGCCCACGCCTCTCCACCACGACTCCTGCAATTGGGACCATTTGTAGCTAACCTTTTTCTTTTCTTATATTTAATTTCTTTTCTTTGTATTATTGAAGTTACTGTGATTTAAAATGTGAATCTTACTGTCATTTGAAATGTCCTGTCGTACCAAAAATCACTTTGGCAGTTGTAAACCAAAACATATATGTTCATCGTATATTGTAGCCAAACGTGTACTGATGTTGGTAGATTGTGTCATGGAAGGATGCTTTGAGGCCTAAAGCGGACATGTATAGTTTTATGGCAGGGTGTCATGCTGCAGATGTTTATTTAGATAAAAAAAGTCAGCTGTGTGTGACCCATAATGTCTATTGGAAAGGGAGATGTTGTACACACACACACACAAATATATTTATCTTGCTTATGCAATCCAGCCTTAACTTTAATTTCTTCCCCCCCTTCATTGAGTTCCTCCTGAACCAGTGTAAGGTTTTGAAAACTGGACAATGTTACAGGTACAACAACAAAAAAAGCACGTAGATGCGGTTAGCAGATTTAGATTTCTTGACTGGAGGCGTTGACAAAAGATGCTGCACTGAATCCTAGCAACATCTGTTACTGAGGGCATGTGGCACTATTCATTAGTGGACCCGATGCAATAAAGTGTCAAGTACTTCCCTTTAAAGTGTCCGAGTTCATTTGTTCAGAAGTGCGCAGTTCATTATGTGCATTCTTGTGAAGGTGCCACACATCCTGACAAAGATGCCAGCAAACGTCAACATTTTATTAGAATGAAAACAGGCAGTAGAAATCAACTTATAACATTCTGTATGATATTAAAAGTTAAATAAATGGTCATGGTGGAGGCACTGGGTCTAAGCGGCGAGTTGCCAGGGTCAGGATGATGGTCATGCAAACAGAGCGTGAACGTTGGCAGAGATCAGGCCCGACATGCAGCGCTGACTTTAACCACCGAACAGCTCTCCCTCCTCCCCTGCACACACAGCAGCTGGTGTTTCTGAAGGTCTGATGGAGCCCAGGTGGAGCAGCTCGAGCGTCCATGTTGGTCCTGCCTCCTTCGTGAGAGCAGCACACACCTGCCAGCGTGAGCCTGAGGAATGTATTCAGGCTCAGCAGGGTGGAGAGGTAAAACGGTAAGCTGTTGGTGAAGGCAAGTGCAACCTTCAGCAAGATCTCGCTGCACTGACTAACCACAATGATGTCTTCCTGTGCAGCCGCAGAGTAGTTTCTGAAGCTGGCCACCGCGCTGATGAAAAACGTCCTCCATTCTCCAACCACAAAGAGCACATGGCTGTGGGTAGTTTAGCACACACAACTGCTTTTTGATGGCAGAGTGATTGGATAATAGGTAGCAGGTGTTTTAACCAACGAGATCTTCTGCGACATGGTTGATGGAACACAGCACAGGTGTATTCAATAACGCTAACGATGGGTCCAATTGAGCCACCAATGATATCCAAGAGCCTGAACACCTAAATGGATCAAAGCCACGGCCGGATTAACCATATGGGCAACCTGGGCAAGTGCCCAGGGACCCTTGAGCAAAGAGGGCCCTCAGTGACAAGATAAAAAGTGTGTATATATATATATATATATATTGGTTTTTTTCGGGCGCAACCTCACTCATTGTACATTGTTTTAAATTACACTCTTCGCCATAAATAACACAGCTCTTCTATAGGGTCAAATTACTGTAGGTCTCTGTACTGTAGGTCTCACTATGTATGCGCTCAACTTTATTACTACGCGGCAGCGGTGTATAGCCGAATCACAGCCCCACCCTTGAGCAACCACACAATTTCACTACATATTTTACTTTTGTAACTCTCAATGTTTGTGACTAATAGAACTCCTCGTGTTCTTGTGCAGCCAGCCAGTCATATTTTGGCATTAAGTGGGGTGCTGCTCTGAAGTTTTGATTGATATTACCTAGGTCTTCTTGAGCCATACACTGTCTTGAGATCTTATCCATTGTATCTTTGTCTTGTGATTTTTGACTGAAAGGGCAAAAGGCTAGACTTACTTTGGTTGAACTATGTGGCTGCGACCCTGCTTTTGACAAATGGGTGTGCCATTTGACATGCCAGATTGACTGAAAATTCTAAATATTAGTCATGTTGGTAGGCGTAGTGTTACTTGTTGGTATGTGGGTTGGGGGGGGGCATGAGTGCTCAGTGCCCAGGGGCCCCTGGAGGTACTAATCCGGCCTTGATCAAAGCCATGTTTACCTGATTACCTGTGTTTTACTTCCAATAAACCAAAATGTAAACTCTATAAGTGGAAAATGGGAATGAGAAATATGTTGTGTTTCTTCTTCTTTTGGCACATATTTTATTTATTTTAACAAAGACGCTGGTATTTCAGTGTATGTCCTATTTGACAAATGTGCTTCAGAAGACACCTACTGTAGCAGGACATATGGCCACAGAAGCGGTTTTGCCCAGTTAGAGTACAAGGTGTTTATATTTTGTCTATCTGGACAAATCAAAATGAACGCTGAGTTCAAAGTTAGGTATGTTTCAAGAATGGGTGCTGCTCTAGGTTTGGGCTCGGTATGGCTCTACGACTGTTGTGATCTCATAGCAAGTGGGGCTGTAACGGTATTTAATGATATTGTGGATATTCGTAGAGTTTAACTACTGGGTGATCTCAGTGAACACATAGCCTATGAGATGATTTTTGATAATGTCATCAACTACGTAAACTAGACCAGACACTTGTGAATGTTGGTTTACCAGAAAAGCTGGCCTCACTAGTCAACCCAGTCTCGCATTTCGTGTTCACCAACACGATTTTTAATCTATTGATTCGTGTTCACCAACACGATTTTCCCCTTTTTTTCGTGTTGCACAACACGATTTTAAAAGCAATGTATTTCTACTGGTAATGACGCTCATGGAAGCACGGCATTCGTTTGTGTCGGCTGCCCTTAAAGGCAATGTGAGCGTCCATTCTCATTGGATAACGGAGAATTGTACACCCGGAAGTAAGTATTCCCCTTACTGTCGATTGATTTTACAGTGATATCTGCACTACTCATCGACTAAAAAACACCAGATTATCCTTGTTAATTACACAACATTGATTGGTTTAAATTGTGTGCAATGCTTTTGTATTTTTCCCCTTCGATTCGGAGAAACAAATATTTTTTCGGAGTAAAGGATGGCAGAAGACACTACACTACCCAGAATCCCCAGCTATCGTTTGGACTACACCATGTGCTCTGTTTGACAAACCCCGTTTTTTTTCACCATTCATTCCAATGGCTGGCGTCTATGTCACGTGATTATGGGCATGGATATGTCTCATAATTATTTGTGTGAACATAAAAATAATGTGTCTGTAAATATGTGATTTGTAAATGTAAAACAACATCCACAAATGCATTTAAAAGATTTGCAAACTCACAAATACATTTGCAAGTGTAAAACGGATCTGCAAATATGCTAATATATGCTAAATATGTTCACAAATTAAAAAAAGATCTGTGAATATCTCTTTAACATTTACACCTTTCGATCAGGCATTTGTGAATCCAATTTGTATTTGTGGACCAAAAATGCGCTTGCGGATCTCAAATCTCTGTTCACGGATCTCAAATCTCTGTTCGCGGATCGTCTTTTTACACACACGGAATATTGAGACATATTTTCCGCCGGTCTCGGCTAAAATCTACTCGTGTCACTCGGTTATTTTCGGAAACCACGTGATGGCCTGCTAATGGCGACATTTCCGCATGATTTCAAAGTAAGAGCATGATGGTTTGTTTAATGCTCTGTTTTTGTATTATAATGAACAGCGGAACGTTAGATGCATTCTTCATCACCATCACCATCATCATCATGTTATAGATGAGCTGCTCCCCCGGGACCCGAAAGTGGCGTATAGCCTGCACTTCAACATCAACGAAAGTGCTCGATATATGCTATATTGAATCAATAACACAAACTAACTGTATCACTATAACATGATAGCGATAGCTAACGATAGCTGGGGATTCTGGGTAGTGTAGTGTATTCTGCTATCCTTTACTCCGAAAAAATATTTGTTTCTTCGAATCGAAGGGGAAAAATACAAAAGCATTGCACACAATTTAAACCAATCAATGTTGTGTAATTAACAAGGATAATCTGGTGTTTTTTAGACGATGAGTAGTGCAGATATCACTGTAAAATCAATCGACAGTAAGGGGAATACTTACTTCCGGGTGTACAATTCTCCGTTATCCAATGAGAATGGACGCTCACATTGCCTTTAAGGGCAGCCGACACAAACGAATGCCGTGCTTCCATGAGCGTCATTACCAGTAGAAATACATTGCTTTTAAAATCGTGCTGTGCAACACGAAAAAAAGGGGGAAATCGTGTTGGTGAACACGAATCAATAGATTAAAAATCGTGTTGGTGAACACGAAATGCCATGAGACTGGGTTGTAATAGTGCTGACAAAGTCTGGAGACAATCTTAAATGAACTGTCAGTCACTTATTAAGGTCTGTGGTAGTTCATCTCACATCTGAATGTTTCATACTGATGAAGAACACCACCCAAATGTCTTGAAGACATTTTTTTTTTTTAAAGGCAGCAGTCAGTATAACACTAGTGCCTTTGTTGTTGGGTTTGTATCATATGGGAGACGTCTGTGTAATAGTAATAATATGTGATGTAATGTTTATAAAGTATATGCTGGACATATGTGCTGTAATTCTTAACACAGCCTGGAAACAAAGCTGGCAGCAGACTCCAGACATCTTGCATTGGGTTTGTCTGGCATTGAATATTCACAACTTGATCTGAAATGTCCCTGCAGATTGTCAACATCAAATCATAATCAATGTCATTTTCTGTGAAACATTCAGAAGCTGCAGATCCTTATTTATCTCTGTCCTGTCCACTGTCCCCAGAATTTGTCGCAAACACTTTCCCTGCAGCCTGTCCACATTTCCTGAGGATTAAATGGTGTCTAATATTTTCCGAGATAGCTCACTCCGTTCGTGCATGTGACATAATGCAACATATGAACATCTGGGATTAGTTAGCCATGCTCTGCATATTCTGTTCTCCCTTTTTTCCATCACAGCAAGGGAGTGAGGTGCTCTGTGCTCTTTGCAAACAGCCCCTGCCCACTTTGTAAACCCGGTGATCCCAGTGACAATATCAGTTTTCTTTCTTACTGTTATATAAAGGAAATAGGAGGAAAAGTTCAATTAGAGTTTTACCATTATATCTCCAATTACTGTAGAATGAATGGCATGTTGTAGACATTCTTTAAAGCAACCTTATTATTCGTTCTGGGGTTTTCCTTTTCCTGTAGTGTGTTATAGGTTTTTGGGCATGTGGTCTGCAAAGGCTACAATCTTTAAGTGGAGTTTTCACCCTCCATGTTTCCATATTGTCAGCAAGTATATCACAATGGTCTACGGATGAGTAATTGTTAAAGAGAAATACAGAAAGACAGAATCCACTAAAGTACATTTAAATTGTTTACTTTCATTTTGAAGGAGACAAACAAAGTATTCGACTGTATCGCTGGAAATTAGAAAACGTTCCTTTGAGTTTTGCCGTGACATTCAAGACTCTGAGGAGCAGGCCATTGCAATCTGCACTTAATTTAGCAGAAACTCCTCTGATCTTATATCAACTTTTATTTAATCTAAACTTGACTTTGTATGGCCCATGAGACGGCATTGCTAACATCATGTTCCATGCTTGGAGGAACTAAAAGCACCTTGTGCAAGAAAACAGATGATTCTGTTTAAGTGAATTAAAATGGCTGTCACAATATGTAAAGTAGACTCTTTCTATTTGACACACACGCAAGCATCTATATCTAAACACATGGTTATATCAAAAGTATTGTTTAGATAAAACCTTTTGCTAGAGGCCATGTGTGGAAGATAATGCACAGCTTTTCCCTGACTCTTTATCCACATAATAGGTGGAGCATATGCAGCGATCACAATCATCTTGGTAAGGTTAATTTAAATCATTCTTTACTCTGATGATGAGCACAAAAAAGGCCCAGATGTGACCCACAATGTTTACTATGGCATAAAAATAGGTTGCATTGCTGTTTCAATACGCTGAACAGCATTTTTGCTAACCTCAAAAATATGTCTACTCGACAATTAAAAACAACAACAAAAATGCATTTATGTTGTATAAAACAAGGTAGACATGTTATAAAAAGAACAACTTAAACATTATTGCATGCAATCGCTCAACATTCAAGAGTACAAAAATGTGTGTTTTCAGAATCTTCTAAGTCATCCTAAATGTGTTGTATCTGGAACATTTGCAACTTGAGTCTCTTATCTCTTATCAGGAAATGTTATAGACACATACTTTAGTGTAATGATCATTTTGAACATAATTTCCTCCTTGTACAGAGGCTTCAGTTCAAGCTGTTGTTCCTCTGCTTGTTCAGGATTCGTCCAATCGTGCGTGCGCATGCAGGGGACAACAGGGCCTGCAGCAGCTCCGAGGACCATGAACCAAATGTCTTTCAGCCGGCCTGCATGACCTCATTTTTAGGGAATGTCTGTGTAATTCAAGCATCAGAAATTGCACTGTTAGTCTTCGTGTGTACGCTGTAGACAAACAGCTGAAAACAAGTCCTCACTGCTTCAACTTCACAAGGCAGGAAGGCAAAAGCCCGCGCTCACAGGTCCTCGCAGGTACAATCAAGGGTGGTCATGTGCTGATTGTTGAGGGGACTCAATATCATTTATAAAATACTTTAAAATTCTCCACCCTCTGCTCCCAGAGCTTTACAGGCCGGGGCGAGGTGGAGGACGGGCAGGTGGAGGGGCGCGTCCCGGAGGAAGTGCCTGAGGAAGAGGAGGCAGGGAACCAGTGGGCGAGGCGGAGGGTGGGGGGGTGGGAGGAAGAGCTGGAGGGTCAGGTATGTACAGGTTGGTCAGAGGAAGAGCCCGGGTAGGAGGTGGCGTGTAGGGGGGAGGCGTGTTGGGAGGGGAGCAGGTGGGAGGAGGGGTGGGAGGCAACAGTGGGAGGCTGGAGAACGATGGAGATGACGGGGGGCTGCTGGGGCTCGGAGGGAGGGTGCCCTGCGGGGGAGGGGGGCTTTTGGGAGGGTTGTAGATGGGAGATGGGTGCTGGTTGTAGTCTCGGTAGGCAGGAGAGGGAGACTTCATGCGGGTGAAGTTCATGCATCTGCCCTGAAATTCGAAAACAGATTTTAGAGGAACATTTAGTGACATAACAAAGATGTAATATAAAATAAGATGTCATTATGTTTTCCTTTGAAGGGCCTTATTATGCTTTTCGGGTTTTTCCCTTTCCTGTAGTGTGTCTTATAGGTTTTAGTGCATGTTAATGGTCTGCAAAGGCTAAAATACCAAAGTTCCCTCCAGAAGAAGCTTCTCTCCCACTGGAGATTTTTTAAACATAGCATCTAAACATGTAACAGCAGTGGCACACACATGAACCTGAGGATAAATGAGCATATGGCATCCAAAAGAGGGTTTTATTTGGATTTCAGTCACTCTAACTATCCCCACACAACATTTTAAATTCTCTTCACCACAGTTTGTTATCTATCCTATATTTAACCGAATATCTCCTGCAAAGGAATCGAGGTTTTATGATGGGCGGCAGGTACATATCATGTCATATACAAGTACAAATGGGAACGAATAACATAAAACAACAATAGGCACTAAGGCCAAAGGTTGTATACATTATCAGATATCTTTTGAAATAATCTGTAGGTCTACTATGTTAGTCACCATTCACATTCAGACAACCATATGTGGGGATACATTATCGTTTAACTGTTCTGTAGGCTTCTCATTTACCTCTTTTGTCAGAAATATTAACCTCATAGTCTTGGATCTTGGAAAAAGTCATTGCTGCTTGAAATAACACACACCTTTTTCTTCTTTCACAGCTGTATTGAAGATATAAAAATGTCCCTTGCTGCATATTGTCACAATTCGCATGGACTGATGAATCCAGCAGATGGTTCTGTGACTCGCACTTGAAGTCTTTCCAGTTGTCCACACACACCTACATGTTTTAATGTAAACACACCTCTACGAATGCTGTATTTCTTGATTAAAGCTTTTAGGTTTAGCTAGTGGGCTCTACTCAACTTGACAAAAGAACCTGCCATCACTCTCCCCCTGTCCAAACCAATGTGAGGTCATGCTAAAGAGACGATCATATTCCAGAAACACGCTCCGCCCTGGGAGCAGCTGCAGGATCAGGGAGTAGCTTTGGACTGATAAGAGATGACAGCGCTGCTCTGTGCCTCTGATAGAAAACCCAAAAGGTCTGTCAATCCTGATGAAAATATGTTATAGAGAATTGTTTAAAGATGTCTAATGCATTTTTGTTCCTGCTATGTGCCCTGTTTGATTCCTTCACTAATTACTGAAAACACTAGTTTTGAGAGGCTCAGATATTTACAACACATGACGGGAACCTGACTTTAGTTTCTCTCAGGCATGCAACCGGCCTCCTCCCTCCCACCACTGCATTCATTTAGGGGAAGTTATAAAAGCAGGGCTTTGACAAGAGTCTCCTAATTGCAACCAGAGTGAGCTTGTTTACTGCGAATCATCAAGGATGCTAGAGCCGTGCTGTTTTTCCAGTGCACTAATGAAGAGCTTAATGGAGTGGAGGACTCTCTGGTGCACTTCAGTTTACAGAGTGGTGTGTTAGATGGACTGAGTGTACTGGGGGAGAAAAGCAAGGGATGTGACTGTGAATATAATTTCATTGTTTCAATGAGAGTAAAGTAGTTTCACGTTCAAGGCTGGTGATTCACCATTAGGCCTCAGCTTCCCTGCTTACATCATCTGAGCATTTCATGTCAAATACTAACTGCATGTGACCTGGAACCAAGACACACTGGCCTTGCTGACTGTTTGGCAAGTAAACAAGAGATTATTACATCTATTACAATAAACAATATTTTATTTAACTTAACATTCTTTTTTTCTTTTTTCCATAGTCTACTTAATTAGAATTTTTACTTGCACAAATGTATTTCCTTTTTCTTGTATGTCTAAGTCGTTTCCTGCTGTCCACTTCTGTTGTACATTGCACTTTTGGAGAATGTCATGATGCCAAAGTTTCAATCATAGCCAAACCCATAGTTATTGTAACGCAACACGTTGTGGTACCATATCAGATTTTAGTTAGTAAGATGTTGTTGTCTGCTAGTTTATGAAACATGTTAAAATGAACACTTACAAAGTCTGACATCTTCAAAACACTGTATGATTCTATGACATACAGTCAGTGTATCCCTTACTTCTAAGGCTTGCACTGTCTGCACCATCACATCAGATAGAGGGGTGCCCACACTTTTTTGGCTGGTGAGCTACTTTTGAAATGACCAGCTCACCGAGGTCTACCACCCAAAAATAAAATCCCAAATTGCAAGGGTTGCTGAATAACACGTTTTATTTAAACATGGGATAATAGGGCTGCAACAAACGACTAATTTGATAATCGATTAATCTATCGATTAATGAAACGACTAATCGACTATTCGGACTATTACTGTATGCCTTGCACAATTTCTCAAACGCTCTTGTTTAGCCATCAACTTTTAGATTTAGCTTGAGGTTGTTTAAGGCATGTGGAAACTAACAAAGAAGACAATAAAGATGAATACTTGATTCAAAAATACATATATTAATAAATTAACTTAACAAATTGTTTACAAAACTAACATTGCTTTTTATTTAAATTAAATAAATAATATTTCACATCAAAAGAAACAACAATGTTTTAACAAATCGTATTAAATAATCTGATGACAGAACTGTGAACAGAATAGCTGAAACTTGTACTCTAAAGAGTAGCTCAGTTTCCTCTAATCATTAACCCATGTTTGTATCATGTAGTTAACTGCGTGTGTTGCTGCTAGCATACATAACACCTGACGTGGAAACGTTACTCGTGGATGGGGGGGCTACAGAGCTGCTAGAAACAGTCGAGCCCGGTGCATTCCTCCGTCTGGATGTGGTGCACTTTTGATAAATGTTTAGACACATTGCTCGTGTTACCGCCCTCACATGCTGAACTCTCTTGGCAACGAGCATTGTCCACCTCAAGACGGGTAACATTTAACCACACCTTGGAGCGCTTCTCTCCGCCATCTCCTCCGTGTGTTGCTGCTTGTAGCAGCTGTGTGTGTAAACTGCCCCGCCCCCTCGCGCACAGACGGGAGAGAGAGAGATCTCGTCTCGATTGGAAAGATCAAAAATACACCGACATTTGTTTGTCTTTTTGCATGTTAGAAACGAGTTGGCGACACTAAAGACTGCGAGATAATATTTGTGTAGCAATAATACATGACCTTTCTCTTTCTCAACTCGCTACTCGGAGGGAAGTCGCTGTCATATGCCTTGTGAACACTCCGATAATGCCTCTCCATGTTACCTTTCTTTGGCAGAGCGACGCTTGCTTTACAAATAAGGCAAATAACCTTTGAATGTGACATCACAACAAAATATTCTTCCTCCCATTCTGGGTGGAAGTGGCATGTCTCATTTTGTTGTTTGTCTCTTGTTTGTCTTGTCTCTTGTTTCCCGGCACTTGACTGATTTTGTATCGCTTTGCATTCTGGGAGAACAGACTGGAAAGCGATAGGTCGCTTTTTCTGTCAATCAAGTAAACTCCTGAATTATGTGGCAGGGAGGAGGGATCAAAACCTGTTTTGTCTATTTTAACGGAGCTGGATATTTTTTTTTTTGAATGACTCGCGATCTACCAGCATTGCCCCCGGTCGACGTACTGGGCACCTCTGAGATAGACATATGTGATTACATCTATTGCGTAGTTTAAAGCACATTGCCAAACTACACATCAGCTTGAGATATCATAGTTAGTATCTCAAATAAATCAAATGTTAACGGGGCAGTGTTATTCCTCCTCTACCTGTGTTCCTGTGGGTTAAAACCGCAGCACTTGACAATGACTTCTCTGAGCCATGACCACATGAGTTACATCCTTCCCAATTCAGCTATATACTCTTCTTGACTTCTTGAGTGTCAAAGCAGCTGTGTGCTATTCAGCTGTGGGAAAATAATAGAAAACCAGCTTTTCCCCAAACTATTAAAGGCCTGTGTTTAACAGCTGACATTGCTTTTTAGGATTGTTTATACATTCACAATTGAACCAGACTACATTTAGTATAGGAAATATGTGAAATGTACAGTTGGCAAAACATGTGAAAGTTTCTGCTAATCTTTTTTGACTTTGAGGGTAATGGCTGCTGCTCTTATATCACCATGTCTTACTTAGGGTAAGATGGAGCAGTACATAAACGCTTGTGGGTTAGGCATTATTATATGCAGGCTTCCCTCAGACTTGTAGATCCCAGAGTCTCAGACTTCACATCAGCTGCCAACTGTACAGGTCATCACATTGCTACAGCTGGCCCGTGAAGAATTACATTTTCATAATGACTTCCCCAGACGTCTTTACATTGCAGTGCACTGTATTCAGTCTAAATCCTAACTCACCGCAGGTTTTCCCAAGAGCCTCTACGCTGTGCACAATTCATTGCTAACAGCTGGTTCATTTTCTCAACATTTTCAGATACAAAATAATCCTGTCCGTTGCCAAATGCTGACACACAGCCCAGGTCTGATGTCAGCATGCACGCTTCATGCCTGATTGTGCAGCTTTGAGTTGTTCTTACCTTGTCACCCGGATGAGGTCTCATTACAGACACACGGTCGTAGCCTTTTCTTAAAAGCACCCACAATGCATCCAGTTTGCTCTAAGGAAAAATAGAAGAAATCGAACTTTGAAACCAATGCAATAAAGTAAAGTAAAGGACCTTTATTCTTAAGATGCAGTTTCTGCTATCAATCGATTTGTTTTCTCTCCTGGTCACAGCTCTAAACCTCACCGAACTGCAGTGAAATGACCCATTTTATCCAATCGCTAAAGCCACTTCACAGTGACCAACTAAATGGGTTTCAGTTCATTGTGAGCAGACTCTTCATAGTTTTGAAAGAGTAAATACTTTGAGGATAAGGGCAGCTGTTTTCCCTCACAGAACTGCTGGCTGTGCAGCTCCGCTCCCTGGAGGTCAGTCCAACAGGGGTCTGGTTCCTATTATCAATCCCCCGCTGACTGCTGGCTTCACAGCGACTCCCTTAACCCCTGCTGGTCCTGCAGGATGGGACTGTGTGCCAATAGTCACCTTAGCACTAATACCTTAACACATCTCATGCTAATTCCCCTGGAGCGTGTTAATAACTCTATCCTCAGCCACATTATCATGGAGTAATTTGTTACAGATGTTTCACTTCATGCAGTACACATGCTTACAGCTGGAAGAAAGAAAAACATTTGTCTCAGCATGCTATTAAACAACCATGAATGCTTTGATTAATGAAATGTAAGCTGAGCTGTTTTCCCTGACTTCTTCAAACAATTATCTCCCAAATCCTCCTCCATTGCTTTTTTAATGTTGAGCAGTTGAAACTCATCAGTCCTTATTATTTGTTGATAGCACACATATCAGTTTACAGTCCACATATTTACAAGTATTGCAATAAGCCGTACTTAATTCTAGTGTACTTTTTTCCTTTTCCATTCTGTTTTATATTTTCAATTTTGCGTGTACATAATCTACTTCTCCATCCATCTTCACTTGCACCGTTGTGGCATTAGCACTACTCTCTTGCACTATCTTTGTCTTTTCTTCCTTTTATGTCTTGAATATATTGTAAGCTGCACTGAAGCAAGAGCCTGAGACTTAAGATATTACCATTTTCCATTCATCTACTGTACGATTCAGCTTTTGAATCTTTGAATCTTGAATCCTGTATGTATGTGCCCTTTTTAGATGTTGTCAACGAGGACGTTTGAAAGAGCATGTGACCAAACGCATCCTCCTCCTGGCTGTTTCTGTTGGTTTCGTACCTGGATGGGTGAGTACCACTTCCTGGGCCCGGGGGGTTTCTGCATGCCGTTGTTGAGGACCCGCGTCGGTGCGTCCACATACTCCTGATCAGGCATCTTCACTTTCGCATTTTTGGCCTTTTCCAGCTTTGCTCCTTCTTCGGTGGACCCTTTCTCCCCCCAGCGGACCTGATCATATAGCATAAGGAGGGTCGAATGACGTATCATTCAAAACATCTAATGTTGTACGTAAGTGGACATTTAGGGGAAAAAGGGTTCATTATTAGGGCGGTAACAATTTCAACTAAACAACTAACGTGGCCAATTTATTCATGCTAACAATCTGACAGAGATATCTATAGCACATTTGTTTGAAAATAATTAGCAATGCTATTAGTCATCTTTATATTTGTTGATTGTGCGCTTTATTTCTTTTGTTGGCTAATTAGTTACGCTCACATGTGTATGTGTAGGAGGTGAAAAGAAAGTGTGTAACCCTAACCAAAGTTAAAACTGATTTAAAAAGGACTTTTACAACATAGGCATATCAACATGATATCAATACTTTTTTTATTTTTTTAAATATCACGGTTATAGGAAATGTTAATACACCTAGCAAGATGGATATGATTATGAATCTGTCCTTGAAATATATCGATAACATGCTTAATTTCAGTGAAGGGCAATTAGTGAAGTGAATTTCATTTAAAGCGTTAAACTTTTTGTAAGTGTTTTGATCTTAAATCAATCAACTCTAGAGATGCTTTCAGCAACCCAAATGATAAACATGTAACATCTCAGCATGTTGCTTCTATGGTTCCTATCCTTTTGAATCTCACCTCCATCCTTTTAATTCCCCCTACTCCTCTTCCTCCGTAGTAGGATGCATCCACCGTCGGCCATTTCTTCTTAGGGCCTTCAAAGTCTTCATCATCCTGTGGAGAAGTGACAGCAAGTACATTTTATTATGATATAATTAGAATTAAGCCATTTGACAGTCTAGCTAGCTAAAAATTAAAGCACCATAAAAGGGAAATGTGTTGTTTTTACATGAATGGGTACATGAGCTACTATTAATGCCCTTTAATTGGTCAACAGTAAATACTTCTTTCTCCCCTCTTAACTCAAATCTCTTCTTTTGTGCTGGTTTCCGGATCAGAGGAAATCACAAAGCCAACTTGTTATGTTTTAGTACTTTATTAAACCCAGTCTGACTCATAATCTAGCAGGATGTGAGGCCTCGGTTGTTATTCGAGTCTGCTTTTGGAATAGATTTACCAGTTAAACCTTATTTTCATTATATTTGGTGCAAATAAATGCCGCCTGATGCATCCCACAGTTGCATGTCAGCCTACTCTTATTGCATTTTGAGTGTTAGCAGTCAAAATGTATTTTAATGACATGATTGTGTTGATGTTATTCGTCAGTTTTATTGAATTTTAAGTCCAAATAACTCCAGATTAAGAGAGATTTGGAAAACATGCATTGAAAACATGCAACATAATGAGCATTTAGGGTCAGGATTTCACTGTTGTTCTAAAAGGGCGTTAACTCACATTGAATGAATGACCAAATGAGTCAAATCTGAGTTTATTGCCAAGAAGGGAATTATGCCACATGGTCATAGAGGTTTCGAATGTCTGGATAAACTGAGGACTTACACGACCTAACCACTGGCAGCTGTCTAATTCTTTAATAATGAGCTTTTCTCTGGAATCACAAGAAACAATGACGATGGCGCTCCTACCGAACTCTCCTCCTCCGCAGGAGGCGGGGGTTCGTGGATGATCTGTGCAGGGGGGAAAAAGAAAATAGCATTGGTGGAATATTGTGATACGTCAGAAAACAATGAAAAGTCACACATCTATCAAATGTTTTTTCGTAGGATCTGCATGTCACAACTATGACATCCTCCGTGTGCAACAAGAGGGTTACACAACAACACATGGCTAAGGAGTTGTTTTTTCCTATCTCTACTTCACAAAAGCGATGCACTGACACAGAAATCTGCTTTCCAGATTGTTTTGCTGGCCTGAGGTTGTTGATTCGGAGAAGGAAAGAACGGCCCCTACACACGGCGGCGTGCGTTGCCGCTTCAACGCTTCTGCCCATTCACTTTGAATGGGGTGACCTCACGATTCGCCGAACTGCATTGTGAGAGCAAAGCGTAGCTTCTCTCGCGCTGCTCGCTGCAAAAGTAGAGCAATGTTCTACTTTTGCCGCCTCGACGGAGGCGTCAGCCAATCAAATCCCGCGTATGCAAATCTGACAGTTCAAGCGCTAGCCAATCAAACCGTGTGTATGTTGGGAGAGCCAGACCGCAGTTATTTCCCATATGTCAAAAAATTGAGGAGAAAATTATCGTGGCGTTAGGGAATCACCCGGTATATGACCAGTCCCTCTTTACATACAGGGATACAACCGGAGGAGCCAGGCATGGGGGGAGGTGGCAGAGACAGTGGGTGACACTGGTAGGTTTTCGCCTGTTTGGGGAGTTTATATCCAGTGTACTTCATTTGAATGGACAGCTAGCAAGCATAGACAGTATATTTAGCCAGCATGGATGTAGCATGAATGCTTTGCTTTGTATGTCCGGGGCGGGACATTCATGTGATTGGTTGTTGCTCGCGTTGACTCCCCAAGCTCAAGATATGCCCACCGCCAAGCGGCAACGCACGCCGCCGTGTGTAGGGGCCGTTACGGCCCGTCCACACAGCGACGTGCATTGACGCTTCACCATTCACTTTGAATGGGGTGACGTCACTTTTCGCCGAACTGCATTGTGGGAAGCGACGCGGAGCGTTGCTGGCGTGGCTCGCTGCAAAAGTTGAGCAATGTTCAACTTTTGACGCCTCGGCAGAAGCGTCAGCCAATCGAATCATATGCCAGTACAAGCTCTAGCCAATCAAACCGCTGCTTGTGTGTCAGGGGCGGGAGATTCATGTGATTGGTTGTTGGTCGAGTTTCAGACACGCCCACCGGCAAGCTTCAACGCACGCCGCTGTGTGGACGGGCCGTTACATGCTCATAAATACTGTATTGTTTGCTCTTCCGTTCTATAAGAAGCAATATTATCCATGAAATTGTATAGTACTATTTATACTTAATACATATGTCTGCAGCTGATTAATATCACATAAACATTTATATTTGAACATACAGTTTAGTCCGCACTATGCCCTTGTGTCTTTCCCCTTCTTCACATGAGCTGTCCGTGTGTTTTTCATCATATAAAAAGAGACCGTTTCTTTCACATTAAATGCCCTTGGCAAATAATGCGATTCTGATTCTTATTTGGGATTTTCCTCTGCGCTTCTCCAACCCCTGGCACACCAGACCATCCCCATGGTAACCTCGCATCGCTTTCCTAAACAGAATCACCGCACAGACTTGAATTTGCAACTTCATAGACGAAACAGCCATGTTGTAAAAGCGGACATTTCTGTTTGGCAGCTCTCAACTTTCCCGATCCAGCGCTGGAAACATTGGACTGGATCTTGCAGAGACTCCAAGCTTTTCATTTGAAGGAGAATGCAGATTCTGACAGCGAGCGTCAATGTAAGATATTGCGATGCTGGCAGGAGGACCACTGTCTAAATACTGGCAAAGATATTTTCCTCAAGCATTTCCTCGTTTTACTGTACCTAGAGCAGATGGCTGTCATAATAAATATACTAATCATAAAACCTTTTTTATTTATGACGAGTTATCTTGCGACCAAAAAGTAACAACCAAAACCGGGTATTTAAAGCTTTGGTTTCCACATCACCAGCTGACAATTCTAACTATTACTGATGACGTATTTATTTTTACCAGTTATAGTCCTCCAGTGAATACACTACAGTAATACCGAGAGGTGAGACTTGGAGGTCACCGGCTGTGACCTCTGGAAACACAAATTATTTCTACAGCAGCACAATTACTTAAACACAGGATGGCCTTGACCTCGTCTGGCTGTGGACTAAATTCAGCTGCAGGAATTCAAAAAGACCATTCACCCACACCGACCGTAACTTTCTCACCATGGTCATGATATTCAGGTTAATGAGATGCCTTAGAGGGCGTCAGCCAGACAAAACAAACCTGGAAAAGACATTTCTCTGTGTCCAAATGTCTGCAAGAAACAACGCATTCCATAAGTGTTTGAAGCTACCTACATCTACATCTGTTCGTTTTAAAGAGGGAAGACCAGAAGATATCTGTAGAGCAGCATGTGTGCTGGTGTTTAAAGGTCACCTATTGTGCAAAATCCACTTTTTAATGTCTTGTATACATCAACATGTGTCCCCTTCCCTCTGTGTAAAGAGACTCTGAAAGTTTCAGGAAAAAAGATTCTCTCTCTTTTTGTCCTGATCCATTTATATAAAAACCTGTCTGAAAATGAGCTGATCAGATTTTGGACACTTTATGATGTCATAATAATTTTTTGGCTTGGTAACCATTAGCCAATCACCTTATCACCTGAATCTCCTCCGAGAGCACCATTAGCCACTTTCACACCAAGTACTTTGCCGTACTTAGTGCCCAGCCCCATGGAACTAAATGCAGATCGCGTTCACACCGGAATAAGTTCCCTGAGGGAAGTTTACGCAAATGAAGCCGCTGACGTCACTTCTTCTTCTTCTTACTGGCTTTACTGGCAGGCTGCAAACAATTTCACGGCGTATACTGCCACCCGATGTCCCCGGCCGGAAGTCCCCGGAGTTGGGGAAAGGCTTCAACTTCAACTGAAGCCTTAATCGCCAGAACGCCGACACCTCCTCATCACTCCACCGCTCCCATGTTATTTTTTTTGTTGCCATAAGTTAGTCTCTCTCCGTTGGTGCGCTGGGCTAATGCTAATAATGCTGATGCGAGGAAATAAAATGGCGAGTTTTACGGACCGTGGTTTGCAATTCGCCCAGCCAATCAGAAATTGGTACTTTTTTCTCCCCAGGATAGTACCACCTCTCTAGCAGGCACTAAAAATGGGGGTAAAAGTTCTCTGAACTAAGTACTCTTTTTGGTGTGAACGCAAAATTCCAGGAACTATCGGAACTAAATGGGAAAAGTACTCCGGTGTGAACGCGCCTATTGTGTTCTTTTTAACCAAATCTCTCTCAGAGGGGCGTGGGGAGTGGCTCCTTATTTTTCATCTAAAGTAACAGACAGAGAATCAGCACTTTGGAAACAGGGCTGAAACAGAGGGGATTATGGGTAATGCGGCAATGATCTGTTTGGTATTTGGAGCCAAACACTTCAGAGACATGTTTTGTATATATCTGAGACCTATTATATATTGATGAAAAAGAGTATAATAGGAGACCTTTAAGAGAACTCACCACAGTGCAGCAGAGAGGCCAGAACCACCAGAGGAGAGCCAGGACCAGGAGCAGCATCAGGATGAGCAGCGCTATGGCCAGGATGGTCCCATCAGACTGTGACAGAGACAGACACGTCAACACAGACTCTCTCAACATTCAGAGCATAACGTCAACCACTTCACTTGGCGTAATGCTTGTTTTGGGGAGAAATCTTTTGGTTTTGGTTTTATCTTCCATGGAATCAGTACATGATGACTGTGATTCAGCTTCTACTGAAACACTTAAATTGATTTGCGTCTGCAACGTTAAGTATCTGCCAATACAGATACCAGTCTGATGTCTCATGTCCTTTTTCTTTTCTTAAAAACTTAAGCTGCTTATGATACATTTGTATGGATGCAAACAAATGTATGGCAATCTAATTAACATTATGTTTAAACTCTGAAACTAATATACTACTTCTTTAAAGGACTAAGTACAAATCTTGCAACCCGACTCACTTTGCAATACTGCTAAATCTCTTTGATTACACTATTCACACACAGAATCCTTTGTAGCTTTTTTGATTGGTCAACCATTTTTAAACATTCACAATGAAATGTAAAATACAACTTTCTGTTTAAACCTGAGAGTTTAGAATAAGAATACATTTGTTTCAGAAAGTTTCAGCTTGTATTTCTTTTTTTATTCCTCCGATATCCAATCATTTCGAAAGTATAGGACTGATGCTGATACTGAGTATTGGATAACAGCATCCTTACTTGTTAGTGCTTTTTTACCAGTTTAAATGCACCATTACCCACTATAATATGCCTTCAAAGCTATAAGCTGGTACATTAAATTGTACTCACACAGCCCACAGTGGTAATGGTGACCGAACTGGAGATGAAACTGAGACCTTCGTTCATACTGACATAAAGGTTTGCTGCCCTGCAAAAACAAAAGCAGTAATGTCTCAACTGTAATGAGTAGCTGGTGTCATATGAGAACTCACATACATTTTCACATATTAAAATACTTACATTCCCTCATCTTGAAGTACTGGTGCAGTGCAGAGAAGATATGTATCTTCCACAATCAAGGGCTTCACCACTAAAGAAAAAGAAGAATGGAAAGAAATAGAAAAACATTCAGTAGTTTTCCTTGACATACAACAGCTCCTGAAACCGTTTTAACCACAAACCATGTCCTGAATCACCTCTCAGAGTGTGTTATTGTTTAGCCTAATCAGCGTACGTTTATAGAGTGATAATTGACATATAGCTTCCTGGTAATTTAATAAGTAAACACTTGTTTACTGTTAAATTATGTCACATCTCTAACTGTAATTCGATAAACACAGTCTCTCAGAGAGGCGTTTCTGCTTTGTTTCTTGTTTGTTGTCTACTGTCTAAAGACATCTGTATGACACTCAGAAACACCACCACAGCTTTTGATTATTCAGGGGAATCTAGTCGTCTCCTTATCCAGCTGGCTTTTAGTAAAGCAGCTCTAACAAACATCATTTGCCAAGCCTGTCTGTTTATCCTGGCAGGAGGGGAGCATACCCCAGAACTGAGGAAATCAACACGAGCAGCCGCATGGGCCTCGACCGCTCTTCTTTAAAACCACAACGCTGCAAGGAGTGGATGGGTGTGGGTTGGGCGATCAGCGCTGCCAAAAACTTGTCTAGATAATCCTACTCGGAGTTAATCTCTGCATCAACCTTGTACTCAGAATTGCCTTACAGCATGACGAAAAGGCCTGAGTCTTCTAAAAGTCAAACTCCAGCAGAGTCCAGTAATGCGCTGGTCGGAGCTGATTCTGCACATTTCCACTGTTTAATCCCCTCGAGGGTAAAATGCTGGCAAACCATCTAGAGTTCATGTCAGGATGTTTTATCGGACTGTTTGCTCTCTTACCCCAAAGAGAGGTAATGTTTTACAGTGAGTAGACAAGACGAACTAGCAAGAGTCAACATTTAACCATTTAGTTGATTGAAGTAACTGCTTAAAATGATGGGAGATGTTCAATCTCTGAGAGTATTGAGAGGGTCAAATGTCAATTTACAGTTGCCTATGGTGAAGTGTTTGCATTTTCCAGACTCTCATGGAGAAGTAAAAATGTTTGGTTTATTCACTGTCTTGCCAGCTGATAAAATCTAATCCACTGTCGGTAAATAACAAAGAAGTTACAGCCCTGCGATGGTTAGCTAAACATAAAAACTCAAACAGCTAGTCTGACTCCGTCCAAAGGGAACATATAATGCAGAATAACATCCTATAGTTACAAAAAAAAATATTTAAACATGGTTTTACACATGATTGACTATTTCCTGGACGGGAGCGATACTTCCTGGATACTATTAAGGCGAGGAGAGACAGAAACCAGTTAATATACCAAGGCAGGGTTGCCAACTCTCACGCATCTGGCGTGTGACACACGCTTTCACTCTCAATCTCACGCTCTCACGCTGCCCAAACTATTCTCACGCCAAAACAAGAATACCGAAGACTAGAAACAGTTTTGAAAACTGTTGTCACGTAGTGATCGTCTTCTCAATAGAACATCTTTGATAATGTCTTCTGGCCAATCAGAATCAAGATAACGGCGTGGTGTTGTTGCAAGGAGGTCCCGACGGAGAATACTTTTGCTGTAGTACATCTCTATACATCGATACAACATTACGTGTTGATAGAAATCAACACGTAATGAAATAAGACCCCACGGTTTGATGATTGATAGGTGTGTGGGCTGTCTTTCAATTTTGACACACAGAACAATGGGGGCTATCCACCCTTATCCACAATGTAAAGTCATTCACACAGCCTCTTCCCTCTTCTCTCTGTGAGGAGCAGCAGGTTCAGCTTCATTTAAATATGTCGTGTAGTAATAGATGTATTTATTTTTCTTCTCAAGAGAGTACCAGAATGTGTATTTTATGTTAGTATTTCAAAAAATCTCCTGGGGGAGAATCCCCCCAGACCCCCCTGCAGGGGTTGGGTTTTCAGCATGTCAACTCTTTCACTTGTGGGGAAATTGCAGGATTGGCTCCAGGTAGCCCTTTTTATTTACTACAAGACAACTGTGCCTTTTTATTTCATACAGTTCAAATTGGATTGAGACAGGGAAATAATCTAAACCTCACGCATGGCGTTTCACTGTCAACGGGGCGATATAGTGTGTATGTAATTACATTGCAAATACTGACTTGAGCCCCACCACCAGTGCTGGAATTGGGCCGGTACTCACCGGTACGCAGTACCGGCACTTCTGGTTCTGACCCATGGAGTACCGGCACTTCTTGCTCAGTACCGGCATGCTGGCGGTACTCCGGTACTCATGCACCGTGCCAGTACTCAACACTCTCCCGCCGTTCTTATTATACATCCATATATATATATACAGCCGCCCGGTACTCAGTAGATGCGTCATGAGGTGCCGAACGGACATTCTCATCGCTATAACCGCTGGAGTTTCACAGCGGCTGTCAGCTGTTTACTCCTGTCATTCAAACAGAACGTGCTGGAGAGGGGGCGGGGCTTATCTTCTCCATGTAAATACTGTGGTGGAAACGACTATGTCAAAATTAACCTATTTGACCGTGATTTAATAGTAATACACGTTTCAAAATAATAATAATAATGCCGAAGTAACAACATACTGAAAACTGTTAGTAAAACCATGTTTTAATGCTTTACAATTTACATACCTAGATGCACGTGTGTTGTGTTTATGCAGTGCAACTCCCACCCAGTGGGTGGCTATGTAGAGTGATAGAACAGAGCAAGCACGCCCCCGAGAGAAGGAAAGCAAGTCACGTCACAAATTAGCATTTCTAAAATGTTAGCGTGGATTAATAAAAGTGCAAAAAGACAGTGGTCGTCGCCGGAAGAAACTTCAAATACAGAGAATGCTGTGCCAGTGTTGGAAATTGTGTCTGATGGGGAGCTTTCTTTGGTTGATCCTCCTGCTCCAAGTTCTAGTGCATTAGCATTAGCACTAGCTCCGCCGCCTCCTCCAGAGCCTCTAACGTTAGCTGCTGCTGGCGCAACTGCCACCACCAACACCGGGCAAAGCGATGCACCTGACTGCTGGACAACGGACCAGGTACAATATTTTTGCAAGACCAATGCATGGCTCCTTCTTAAAGATAAGAAGCTAGGATGTCGGATATGCAGAGATGTCAAATCTTTGGGAATACACACTGGACAAGGACTGAAACTGTCAACTGAATGGGGTGAGTGTGCAGTGTCTCATTTCGGTGTTGACAAGGGCAAACAACAAGCTAGCCTGAGAAAAAAAATCAAAGAACATAAAGAATCACAAGCCCATGTAAAAGCTGCTGACATCCTTACATCTGCTTCACGTGAAACTATTCAACATCAAGTGCAGTCTATGCATACATCTGAATTAGACACCACTATCAGAGTTTTTCGAACGGCATATAAAATTGGCAAACATAGCCGGCCATTCACAGACATGCCAATTGATTTGAATGTACAGAAACTGAATGGGCTGAACGTGGGCAGGGTTTTGCACTCCAATAAAACCTGTGGCGAAATCATCGACCACATAGCTCATGAGCTGAAGAAAAAAATGGCAAAAGACATTACAGAAAACCAAAGAAAACTCTGTGTTTTGGTCGATGAATCTACCACTATTAGTGGTAAAACGGTGCTTGTTGTGTGTCTACGCTCAGCATTAGCTGATGCTGAGCCCGAAACGTTTTTTTGGGAGCTGATCGAGTTGGATGGAACAACGGCTGATGACATCACAAAGGCGTTAATGGAGTGTCTTGGAAGAGATTTTAACGAGGACTTTTTAGGTCAGTGTTTCGTTTCTTTTGCATGTGATGGGGCTTCAGTCATGCTAGGGAAGAGAACAGGCGTTGCTACCCAGTTGTGTAGTAAATTCCCAAGCATGTTTGTGTGGCACTGCTCCAATCATCGTCTAGAGCTGGCAGTTGGGGATGTGGTCAAGGAGGTCTCAGGGCTCAATCATTTCCAGATCTTTTTTGACAAACTCTATTCCTTGTTCCATGCCTCCCCCAAAAATCAGAGGCAGTTAGCGCAGTGTGCGCAAGCAGTCGGACAGCGTCTCCTGGTGATAGGGCGTGTTTTGTCCATCCGCTGGGTGGCTTCAAGTGAAAGGAGCGTCAGAGCAGTCTGGGAAAACTACCGAGTGCTTCATGATCACTTCACAAATGCTGCAAACGACACGAGCAGGGATTCCAGAGACAGAGCAAAGTACAAGGGCCTGGATGATGTGCTCACATCTGCAACGTTTGTCAGCAATCTGGGACTGATGTACGATGCGCTCACAGAGCTCAGCGACCTCTCTCGGCAACTCCAAAAAAGAGAGATGACACTGCCTACAGCAGATAGGCTCTTAACTCGAGAAATACGAGTTTTTGAATCCATGGTCACCATGCCTGGCCCACACATGACTACAGTTCATACAGCTCTAGCTGAGAAGTCCTTCAAGGGTGTTGCCCTGCGTGAGAATGGCAGGCTTGTACAGATTCATGCAGGTCAGTTTTTCCGCAGTATGGTATGAATCTGAGACACAGAATGACTTCCACAACCTCCTCTCATGTCAGCACAAGAGAAATCCCATTACATGGCCGGGAGGCCCGGGACAATCAGCTAATCCAGGACATGAAAGTTATCCATCCTGGAAGTTGGCCTGAAGAGGAGTTAGACGTACAGTATGGGGACGTAGAGGTGCTACGTTTGTGCGAAGTGCTGAAAGTGGACAGAAGAGAGACTGTTCAGGGCTTTCGCGAATACAAGGAAACCAGGGCATCCCGTACACCTGCTGCCATGGAGCCTCTACTGAAAGCAGTCCGAACCATCGCTGTCTCCACTAGTGAGTGTGAGCGGGCATTCAGCTGCATGAACGATATCCTTACTGCAAAAAGGAATGCTCTCTCTGTCAGCCGACTGTCCAGCCTGGTTTTCATTAAATGTAATGGACCATCACTAGGACAGTTCAATCCGGAACAGTATGTGAGGTCCTGGCTGGCAAAGGGAAGGAGAAGTGCTGATGAAAGAGCCTGTCCAGCTCCAGCCCCTGATACTGATGTCCCCAAGGCCTTCTGGAGCCTTTTCTAACAATGTGAAGTATATTGCAAAGCAGCTCACCCAGTGAGAAGACTTTTGGCATAATGTGCCGATTTGTACAGATCCTGGAGATAGAAGGACTTCAGACCAACCAGGGAGTTATCTGATCAGCTTGGTGTTCAATGTAACTCTTTACCATGGCTCAGACTTTGTTACTTGCAGTTACAGTTTCTCATTTTAGATTGTGCAAATTTTGCATTTGTTTTTACATGTTCTTTGTTCATGCTCTTTATCATTTTTCTGAGTTGGAAAGTTAGATTGCATCATAGTTTACTTTATACATATTTGTATTCTTCAGTGGTGAAGTATATTGCAAAGCAGCTCAGCCATGTGAGAAGACTTTTGGCACTTTTTCGTTTTTCGTTTTCTGAGTTGGAAAGTTAGATTGCATTCAAAATGTACAGAAATACTTAATTTTGTTAAAGCTTTTTATAAAAAATGCTTCTGACCAGAGCTTTGTTTCCTTGTCATTAATGTTGAACACCACCAGAGGGGCTCTCACCTGAAAGGTCTCTGCTTCATGTGTCTTCAGCAGAAGATCTAGACTTTGATTGCTATATTTTCAGTTAATATTGACCTTACTAAGCTTTAGCCATATCCGCTGCCTATCATAAAAAATGTTAAGTACAGTGAACCTTTCTAAAATATACAGTAGTAAAGAGACAAACCCACCAGCATTATAGTAGCCAAATTCGTGTTTGTGGGCTGTATATATAAAATTGACTTGAAAAAGTTGCTGATTTTAGAGTACTGGCACCTTTTTCATTCCAATTCAAGCACTGCCCACCACTGTATGGGTTAGCCCTACCATAGATTACCCAACAAAAACACTCCAGAGCCGATAAGTCAATTAATTGCTTATTGCGACAGGCACACAATAAAACAGTGGAAACAAAGATGTGTTTGACTTTCATTAGTGAATGAAACGGTGTGCCCTTTGCCCCTTTGTAGTCTGTGTCCGATATTGTGTATTTGTATATGTATATCCTATATAGGGTTGCAAACTTCCAGAAATGGAAAAACGGGACACATGTATGTGTCCCCCGCGCGCGCGAAGATTTTCGGGTTTCTGGCGGATTTAGTTACTTTTTTTTGTTACTTTATTTCGGTTTTAGGGTTAGGTTAGGGTTATGTTATTTAATTATTTTGGGGGAGCCAGCCCCTAGGGTTCGAAAAATGTTTTGGGGGTCAAACCCCCCAAAACCCTCAAAATGCATAGAAAACTATGCATACCTATAACACAATACAAACACAATGGTCTTACTTACACCTGCATTAGGCTACTACATCACATTGTACATCAGCATGTTCAAATCGGATAGGTGGGCACTAGGGACATCTGGGCACCTCGATGTACAATTGGCTATTTTGTCCAAAATGTTAAAAAATAAAATATATGAAAAATGGTATTAAGTAATGCAAAGTATACATGATGTGAACATGCACGGTACATCATTATTAGACTTAATGTTATCCTTCAACCAACCATTTTCCCAGCATTTTCCCATCAATCAGCTGACTGACTCTCTCACACACACACACACACACACACACACACACACACACACACACACACACACACACACACACACACACACACACACACACACACACACACACACACACACACACACACACACACACACACACACACACACACACACACACACACACACACACACTCACGTGCGAGCATTGTCCCTGCCCTGTCAACTGAGCGGTCCTAGCGCCCTTCGGATACAGCACACAAACACACAGGCACGCAGCCAGACACACTGCATTGCGCGCAAACAGAAACATATTTTTTATTTTTCCCTTTACACGGGAGTCCGGGACAAACAAAGTCCCGTACGGGACACGCCCCATTTGGCTCAAATACGGGTCGTCCCGGGTAATACGGGACGGTTGGCAACCCTAATCCTATATGCTAAAGTCCCGCTACTGACACGATAGCAGTCATTTCGTGCGCAGATGTGTAATTAAACCCATGATATCAAAATCTCACTCCAGCCAGGTACCCAAAGTTGGCAACCCTGACCAAGGTATGTTTTACATTTACATTTTTGTGAATATTAAATAAACAATGTATAAGCTAAGTTAAAAAGATGCATATGTCTGTCTTTACAGCTAGCTTAAACAGAGCTAAACTAGCCGTTTCCCCTTGTTTTTAGTCTCTGTGCTAAGCTAAGCTAGCTAGCTGCTGCTGGCTGTACTTCATACTTAACATACAGGCCTGCGATAGGTACCAATCTTCCTATCTTTATTCAGCAACAATAGCAATGTTGCATTATATCTTTGAAGTATTGTGTCCCATTTTTAAACTTAAAATATTATCCATGGCAACATCTGTCAACAAAACAATGGCCAGCTAACGACAGGGCCTGCCAAATCCCAGCCCGCCTGAATGTATCTCTGCTGCTACTTTTTCCTGGAGACACAAACTCAAACATCGATTCATCTGCTGAACACATGCATTTACATATTACTGCCTTCTTTTTTACCTTTTCACCATATTTGCGAAGTATACACAGGGGGCTTGAGGGGGAGAGCAAAGATGAACAGTATTAGAGAGAAGAGAAATAGTTTCCTTATAGCCAATTTATCTGAAGGCGAGCGTACATTTTTTTCATTTAAAGTTCCTCTGACCAAATTCCAGAGGATTGTGTTCAAGCAATTTAGAGAAGTGAATGAATCTGGAATATACAAGTATAATGGGATTGACATAAGAAAATTGTTTTGCTCAAATTACTTCCATGTCTGCTGTTTGTCTCCAGGAAGTTTGATGATTTATCACACTTGAAACTAATTTAGATTCTGATTAATTGTAATAATAATAATACAATTAATACTGTGAAAATGTCATTTAAATTTCAAGATGCAATCGTCATACTTTCAGCGCCTTCTCGTAGTCATTGAATTCATACTGCATGTGCGCTATCATGCATACAAAATACCGTATAAACGTGACAAAGCAGAAATATGGTTAACCCTAATGCAAGATGGTACTAAACTCCAAACAGACCACTCGGATAGAAGCAAAAAAGGCTGACAGCAGGAATGTCCTGCATAAAAAAAGGCTAATAAAATGCAATATATCAGTCAGACTGATAAAGACATGGATGCACCCACATGCCGTCAGATTGAAAAGATAAAAGCAAGTTCACCACCTCTCCCTTTGAGGAGCAGACATGTTGCTGGTGAATATTGTGCTTTGTAATTAGCCCAGCACCTCTTAAAGCTCTTGTGGTAGGAAGTGGTTTTAACATCTATTACAGTAGGCCACCAGTAAAAAACCTTTTCCTCCTTCTGCCTCGTGTGTGGTACTTATTCTCCTTTATCTCATGTTTCCGGCAGTAAAATTAAACGTGTGCTGTTCATAACATAAACATGCAACCAGTAACACCAGTAGGCCTGTTTGTTTGATCCCAGATGATTCCAGCTGTGCGGCTGACTTGGTGTTTGACTTTCGGGAAGGACGGTTATGTTATGTAGATGCACACTCATGTGCTCAGCTTTTTTGATGTGGTTAGCTTAGAGTAGATGTGTATTGAGTTTAAGATAAGATAAACTCTTTTGATCCCAATGTGGGAAAGCAGCATCTAAACAAGAGTATTAAATAAACAGACATAAATAGAAAAGAGAAACATCTCAAAATAGAAAAAAAAAACACAACTAAAGAGTAAAATATATTCATATTGATAGTGAAAGATATATATTTGAAGACTGTCTGTACACTATGAACATTACAGCTAACAAATATAAAAGTAGGACATTGAAAGTGCATGAAATAGGAATATGTTTTCAGAAATGGTTCACTAACTCACTCTTAGTAAGGGTGTCGTTGATGCGGAAGCTGCACCGGACCTTATCCACGTTGCTGGCGTGTAGAAACCCATTTCCTCTCACCACTACTTGGAAAGACTCTGAGCAAAGACAGGAGAAACACAAACATCTACTGATTGGCTATATATCTGGTTTAAATTAACACGAAAACATGTCATCATGTAATATGTGACACTCTCAACAAGATCTGGTCGTCTTGGCAGAGCGAAACAAACACATGTGAGTATTATGCTCAACACATGTCGTAATAAGTCTCTGACAGTAACATTATATTGTGATTTAATCAATTGTCTTCATGAACTGAAAACTGGGGACCTATTATTGTCAGATCTATTAATGTCTAATCGTGTCTACTAAAGCTGCAGCATATTGTTTGAATAATGCCATTATCATTATATTACAGTTATGGATGTTCTGCAGAACTATGTCTCACGAATTTTGATTTCTTTATTAGAATTTATTCACAAGATACCTGACATGAATTTCATCACTAGATCCTTTTGACCCCAAACTTAAGTAAAGTTACTGTATTTAGGATTACATACTGTACATGTATTGGCCTGAACATGGCTTTAAAGCTAATATGTTTTCATATATTGCTCATATAACAACATATCAATCACAAAATGATTCCTTGTTATGTTTTTTGCATCACCTGTTTCAAATGTGCAAGCATAATTTGTAGCAAATGGAAAGATTACCATAAGATTTGAACATTTAACATACAAGGTCAACTATGATGTGCAACTGTCTTGATGTATTAAGTCGCCTAATGAGGATGAAATGGGGTGATGTCAATCTGTCTTACCTCCTGCACAGATACTAGAGGGCTCTGCAGCCAGGATCTCAATACACGACTTCTTCAGGATCTGAGGAGAGGAAAAACACATTTGAGTAAGTAGCCAGCTATTCTCAGATGGACAAGAAAATATAGTCCTTACTCGTGAATTCATTGCAATTTGAGGATAATATTCTGGTATTGTTATTTAGTGTGTTTGTCTTGTAATTTTCTACACTGAATGTATCACAAATAAATAATGATGTTTCTGTGGAATTGTTAACAGTTAAGAAACATTGTATTTAAAGTGCAAGATGCCATCTTCATATTCCAGTGCCTCTACATGGCTAATAAGTACTCAATAATGCTTAAAAACACATGGTACTAAACTCTTCAGGAAAGACACATTTCAGCATCCAGCAGTCAAATAACAGACGGACAAGAAGACTTTTAAATATATAGTCCTCACTCACATCTTCAGTTCAATTTGACTATACTGGTACTGTTATGGAGGGTATTTGTGTCGCTGAGTGACTGGTTTTAGCCACACCTCTGACTTTTATGTGCCTATTAATGAACCTTTTGACACTGGGGTCTCTGGTCTTGAAGTTTCCGTCTATTCTCATTTGTCTTTTTCAGATTTATGTGTACTCACTGCTCTCCAGGAACATATACCAACTGTAACCTAGAGTACTAAGAAGTCTGATTTATGACCCACTGCTCGACTCACATACATGAGAAATAACAGCTTTCAGTTTGATGTAAATCTGATCCAGATGACAGTCAGCTGTCTGACCTTTGACCCTGCTCAACAAACAGTGAAAACAGACCCTCACAACAAGCAGGTTGTTGGGGTCTTAAGAGATACAGATAAGCTATGATCATATATGGATAGACGTGTGCTGCGTTGATCAAAAGCAGGATAGTCACAGTCGCAGCAGGTTTTCCTGGAAGTCTGTCCCTGGCCGGGCTCCATGGATGAAATCATTTATCGTGATTTCAATCGATTTTGTCTTATTTTCTGTTTGCTGCCTAATCGAATAAAGATAAACTGATGGGAGCGATTACATGAAGTACATTAAAGCAAAATGATTTATTGTGGTCCTCTAAGAGACATTACTTTTGTAGCACTCCTCAATGGTGTTATTGGTATTATTGTCAACACAACAACAACAACAAGCGCTGTTTGAACATTTTAGAGAAAAATAACTAAGTGCTCACCGAGTCGATCACCCCTTGCAAGGCTTCAAATCCATCATTTACGGGGAAGACATGATCCTTGCTGTCAGCAATATTTGCCAGCTGGAGAGGAAAGAAGTTATCACAATCACAAGAGACCCTTATTTATCCAACACACAGATTTAGTTAAGCTTACAGCATAATTGATGACAGGAGTGGCTCATATGATATATTACCTCATTTCCTAGAGTAAAGTTAATACAATTCTACGCTACATAATGGAGGAAATAAAAAGCCTTCTTGATTCACACTGTAATCATTACTCTACCAAAAACAAGGATGCCGTATAAAGTGGATATAAGCATTTGATGTGCAGCTAATGTCCTTTTTGGAAACATTGACTTCCGTTCACTGGGAAGAGAGTTTGACTTTTGATGGTTCTATAAAGCGTAATGACTGATATAAGTGGCCTATTTGTTTTCAAAATGGGGGAAAATAGGCCTTTAAGTAATGTAGGGCACTTTATCACCACTAAAACACTGTTTTAAATCATTTCTAAGGTCAATTCTTTTCAAAAGGTTTGATTTACAAAGCTTTGAATTCCCACTTGTCCAACCATTCAACTCCCTTACCGCTTTGACATCATGATAAATGAAGGTACAGACTCAAACAAAAGAAAAAAGCACACCTGCGTCTCATTGAAGTCCTTCACCCCCACGCAGTAAACCGAGGCACCCAGGCTTCGAGAACGGTTCGCCTGTTAAGTTTGACACAGATTCACAGCGAAAACAGGAAAAAGCTCAGCACCTGGTTTTAATTACACTTTTGCATTGCATAACATCATCCAAAACAATCGGAAAATGCAAGTGAAATTGTGCATCACCATTCGTGAATAATACGTTTAAGACGTCATATATATATATATATAAAACACCAATGTCACACGGATGCCTGAAGGCTAAACGGAAAACACAAGCCATAGCATAGGTTTACAAGTTGTAATGCCTGTGACTAATGGTGCTGACACTGGCTTCAGTAAGACCTCCCACGGCCGTAAAGTGGACATTTCCAGCTTCTGGAAACGTCACCCCACTATATGTCTGCCGTCAACATGTGTGTGAGGGCTCTCAAAGCTGATTAAAGCCTCAGACTCTCACACACCTCAGAGCCTGAATGGTCCGGGGAGGAAATAAATCTTTAGATCCCAGTGCAGATGTGAGGAGAACGACTGGGCTCGGATGTATAAATCTGACGCCCTGACCTCACTTTTCCAAGACTAAAGTAAGAGGATCAAAGCGGTGATGTATAGGGTGTCAGTGTTTGATCTGGTCCATCACACGCGCAGCCTCACCTGGTTATCGTTTGTGTGAACCATTCAGCCTCTCTTAATCTCACCTCTCTCTCAGCGTAGTAGAAAAGATCCCCGTGCAGCTCTCCATCTGTCAGAGCTATGATCACACTGGCAGTGCGATAACCTGCAGACAGAAATAATTCACTGCTGAAATATCCAACTGTTATCGTATCCTATTTTGCAGAAAACATTATTAAGATTGCGGCTATTTTGTAGTATGTCCTAATCTACTTGCTCTTCTGTTTTATGAGTTACATCCCTGAAAGCTTCCAATTTTAGAATAAACACATTCATTCATAAAGGTAGGAGTCGAAGAGAGAAATCTCAGTTGTCACTTAAGCAGTTGTTCTTGGCTTGTGAAAAACTAAATACGTTTATTCAAGGTTCATATGTAACCTTGTTGGCATTTTTTCTAGTGTAATTTCAAACAGCAGAAACATTTTATTTCCCCTATCACCTCAAGACTCCTTAGATGTGTCTTGGGAAAATAAAATAATTATTATACGTTCATAATAGTTTGGTTTAAACAGGCCCCATTATGCTAATTTCCAGGTTCATATTATTATTATTTGACGATATTATTTTATCTCTTAAATGTTCAAAAAACTCTATTGTTCTCATACTGCCTGTGCTGCAGCACCTCTTTTCACCCTCTGTCTGAAACCAGAGCTCAGTCTGCTCTGATTGGTCAGCTGGCCGGCTCTGTTGTGATTGGTCAACTGCTTAGAGATGTCCCGCCCCTTAGCCTATCACATACAGTGTGTTGAAGCTGTATTCCAATAGAAGTGTGAGTGTTACAAAGAGGTGTCATTATGTTACGGAAAGTAAACAATGGAGGCGTTGAAGCGAGGGTGTGTGTGTGTGTGTGTGTGTGTGTGTGTGTGTGTGTGTGTGTGTGTGTGTGTGTGTGTGTGAGAAGCTGGGATGTTACATGCACAATTCCTATATAACACACTACAGGAAAGGGATACATATTAAATGTGTTTTTGTGCTGTGCTTTTTGTATGTAATACACACCTTCAGTGTTTCCATAATATATCTGCTCACTGGCCTGTGAAAATAAAAAACAGATTTGAAATATTAGACTGTATATCTTGTAGCATCAAGTGTGTCTCGATCCTCTCTAACACAACAACCATTTAGCCATGTGATGTTTTAAAGTGGAGGCCAGAACAAATTAGAATATGCAGCGGCTTCTCACCCTCAGGATGCCTTCGTGCATGAAGGTGTCTCCTCCTGGACGAACGTTGTACAGCTCCTCCAGACCTCTACGAATGAGATCCCTGATCAAATGACAGACGACAAGGAAAATCACATTGTTGATGATACTATCTATTTTAAAATATTTATTTTGTCAGATTCAATTGTGAAACAACTTTTGAGCACATCCAGAAACTGAACATAATAGCTTCCATAAGGGCGGCGAAAAAAAACAACAATGTGTAACAGATGAATAAATTGAAACAGTATTGGTTTGAATTGGCTTGAGAAGCTGTCACGCAGATAGGCAGGAAATGAGCCCTTTGTAGGATGAGAGACTTGGGAAGCAGTGAAAATGTTATGTGACACTCTGATGAGAAAGGATTACACATAAACTGCCCACCAAGTGTCAAAAACCACAGGATGAAGTCGTTGTCCAGACCGACGACACTAAAGAGGGGTCGCAGGGAGGGAACGTGTCTGTCTGGAAACTTCCTGGTGATAAACATTCAGAGGGGATATAACTGTGTCCAAATCTGGCATAACACTCATTCCTCTCAGCTGCGTGGTAAAAAAGCAACGGATTAAAAATGACTTTGAGAGGATCTGCACCCACCTGTCTTCTGTCAGGCGCATCAGGATCCGTCCCTCAGTGGAGAACACAATGAAGGACATCCGCAACTCTGGACTAAAGGCGAGGAGAAGAGAACCACATACTGTTAGATCAGTGGTCATTTCTTTTTCAATGGCAACATTAGGATTTTTACCTTATGAATTTTTGAGCTAGATGTTCAACAAAGTTGTAGATTTCTGTCCAGTGATGCTGCACACTCCCAGATCTAGGCAGAGAAAAGCCAAATGAGTAATGTGAGGATGTCGTTTCAACCACTGCTGTGCATTTATGCAACGTGAGCTCTTCTCTGTGCTGCTGTTGGACTGTTGTCAATAGACCGACCAACAGGCCCCTGGGCGCAGACATTTAAAGGGCCATAAAAGCCTCATAGGAGCAAGACCCTTAGCCTACAAAATATGTTAAAATGATTCAATTACGTCTATTAGAAGCTGATCTGCACCTTCCTTTGTTTCCTGTCTTTTCATCTTTGTTATGCGTATGCTTGGAGTTGTTTTGAGTTTGTTAGTACATCTGTGTTTCCTTGTAGCTATACTGCTTCTCCTGGCTTAGACGAAGCATGTGTTGTGTCTCTTTGTAATTGTTTTTTGAATTATTGTGGCCGTTTTATGACGTAACTTTTCAAGTCGTCATTTTGCATCTCTTTGCATCGTCTCCTGACCCTTGCGCCCCGAGGTCTGCCTCTCTATAGGTCACTAGTCTAACAATGGACTTCTTAAGGCTACTTCTCACATTAAACGGTTGGTTTAATGTGAGAAGTAGCAGTAGTGCTTTGATCCTCAGATTACTGTTAACATCTGTATAACACACCTACAATCAAACCAGATTGTAGTCATTGAATCAGTGAATCAGGTGAATCAGTGTTGATGTTTATGTTTATTTAGGATCCCCATTAGCTTTTGCTCTTGACAAAAGCTACTCTTCCTGGGGTTCGACACTTAAAACAATACAACAATAATACAACAACATTCAGGACATAAGTCGTGACATCATTAACAACATCACCAATATCCTCAACAATCTCATCCACTTTCAAAATCAATCTCAGCCAAGGATGAGTGCACAAGACATCCACCAGTACAAAGCATGAGGTAACATTCAATTAGGGTTCACAGCTCACAAGGGTACATGGTCATTAGTAGATGGCACTTCTAGAATGTTGCGAGCAGTATTTAACATCAGCAAGAGTGTACATTTAACCAACAACATCCTGTATGAGGGAATACCAAGGGTGAGCGAGAAAATTGCAGCCAGGAGAATGAGACTAGCAGGACATTGCCAAAGGCATCAAGAGCTGCCAGCCGGCAAATTGGTGCTGTGGGAACCAACACACGGGCATCGGTCACGAGGATGTCCCGCACAAACATACGTGGACGTACTCAAGAACAACGCAGGAGCACAAAGTACCAATGAACTGGCCAGATGTATGGAGAACCGGGATGACTGGAAGCGACGATGGAGGGCTCGTCTGAGGACGACCTAGAGAGACTTGAATCTCTTCTTGAAAGAGGCTCTAGACTCTATTTCAGCAAGGTAGTTTGGCAATGAGTTCCATTCCTTTATAGCTCTATAAGACACAGAAGATTTCAGAAGATGTGTCCTGGGTTTAGGTGCCAGTAGATGGCCTGATGTAGCTTGTCTAGTGTTATGGTCATGCTCGTCTCTTGTGTAAACTATTTGATCATAAAAATACAGTGGTTTTTTGCTAAATTGGACATTTTTTAGAAAAGTGATAACACGAGATTGCAGACGTTTCTCAACCGGAAGCCATGATAGGTTTCTATGCATAACTCCAATATGAGTGCTCTTCGAACAGTGGAGAGCTAGTCTGGCAGCCTTGTTTTGAGCTATTTGTAATTTCTGTATATATGTTTTTGCTGCTGATGACCATATGACCGGACAGTACTCAAGATGTGACAAAACCAGAGACTGAATGACTTGTTTCAAAGTGGTTGGTGTTACATACTTTGTACATTTTCTCGTCACAGCTATGCTCCTTCCCATTTTAGTTACGATACTGTCTATTTGCTTTGTCCACCGTAAACCAGAATCAAGAACAATGCCAAGCAACTTAGTCTCGTTTACCTGTTCCACTGGCTGACCAGCCAGTGTCAGGCTTAATTGAGGATTGCTGCTTAACATATGTCTGGATTCGAACACCATTGCTTTTGTTTTTGCAATGTTGAGTACCAGTTTGTTATTGTTGACCCAGTCTGCTATGGCTTTTATCTCTATTTTAAATAGATTGTTTAACTCACTGCATGTTGATGCTGTACTGTTGTATCTTGTTGTTGGCATTTCTCATTGAAGGCATTGATATTCAGGTCTCCCATGAAATACATTTCGCTCTTACACTCAGCTGTATTATCTACCATTTCACAAATACCATCTAGATAGTTTGAATCATCTTACACTGTATTCTCTCTTCGCTATCTCCAATTTGACCCGGTGGTGTGTCCCACACTTTTATTTGACATTTGTATTGGATTTTTAGAGACACAAAGTCACGTGTATCCTGCTCAGTTGTTAGGAAATACAGATTTGGGGATAAAACATTTTGGAGGAGAGAACTTTATAATGACTATACAGTTGAATCTGGTTAATTAACAACAGTTTGCAAGCTTGCATGAATCGTTGTTTATGCTTATCAAAATGTATTTTAATTAAAAACTCCACACCCCCTGCAACAAAACACCTATGTTTCCATTGTTACCACCATGCCACAAGTCCAAGCACAAACAGCACAGCAAACAGGCTGACAATCTGAAACATCTGGATGTAATAGAGAAAGAGCAGTGCAGAGACAAGGAGGAGGCAAGGGGGATAAGGAGGATACAGCAAGAGGGCATTGAGGGCACTTGGAGGACATCACTGCTAAAAGGAAGCTGAGCGAACTAAGAGAAAAGACAGTCAAATGAAAGCTAAAGGAACAGCTACCTATCAGCTACACAAATGCAGTATACATGAGTGTCGCTAAAACATGGCTGATGCTCACAATGACTCTGTATTATTAGGGGTGCACCGAATGGGAAATTCTTGGCCGAAACCGATACCGAAAATAGGAAACAGTTTGCCGAAAACCGAATGCCGAAAGGCCGAAAATGATTAATAGAAATATATATATATAATGTATACATTTTTTACCAATGTTGTTCAGCTACCTGATTATGGAAATAGACATGATTATGGCAAAACTTAACTTAAATAATAATCACTATTATGGGTCCATAAAACATTTATTCAGCACTTTTGAATGCATACAGTACATTTATATATGTCATGTATTATTGCTAAAAAACATTATATCGCAGTCTTAGTGTCGCCAACTCGTTTCTAATATGCAAAGACAACAAATGCGTCTATGATGTATTTTCGATCAGACGAGATCTCTCTCCCCCGTCTGTGTGCGAGGGGGCGGGGCAGTTTACACACACGCAGCTGCTTCATGCAGCGGAGCACACTGCGGAGATGGCGGAGAGAACGCGCTCCGAGGTGTGGTTAAACTTTACCCGTCTCGATGTGGAGAATACTTGTTACCAAAAGTGCAATAAGAGTTTAGCATGAAAGCACGAGCAATTTGTCTAAACATTTAGCAAAAGTGCACCGCATGCAGACGGAGGAATGTACCGAGTTCGACCGTCTTTCTAGCAGCTCTGTAGCTCCATCACGAGTAACGTTTCCACGTCAGGTGTTATGTATGCTAGCAGCAACACACGGAGTTAACTACATCATACAAACATGGGTTAATGATTAGAGGAAACTGAGTTATTTAGTTTGTTAAAATTTCAGCTATTCTGTTTACAGTCTGTCATCAGATTATTTAATACGATTTGTTAAAGACTCAGGGCAATCTCGATGACAAAGGTCAATGTTCCCCCCCCCTGTGAGCCAGCCGCGAGCATGGTCGCAGCGTCTTTATTACGTCATCACAACAACACGTTAGGTTACCAACGTAAGCCTGTTCTGACATTCGGTGATATTTTTTCGGTGCTAAAACCCTTTCAGCCGAAAGCCGAAAGGGCCTTTTTAACCATTTTCGGCCGATAATTTTCGGTGGCCGAATATTCGGTGCATCCCTATGTATTATACACAATTGCCTAATTTCCCCGTTGAGAAAACAGCAGTGTGTCTGGAGGTGGCACTGACATTTAATGTAGGACAACTGGGAAACCCATCACCATATCTGGAGGGAGTGTTATAAGAGAGCAGGAAATGTCAGACTCCTATTTTCCAGTTAAGAAAATGATGAGTTGCACAAGACATTTGTTGTTGATCTAGTTGGCAAACCTTTTTGGCTGGTGGTGGGAAAAAAGGATTGAAAACAAGTTGTGTTGAGCAAGGTTTGCAAACGATAAATGTCATAGGGTGAGCAGTCTGTTAAAGTCCAAAAGCAACAGCCTGGGTGAGTCAGTGACAGAGGAGCTGTTTGCATATTTATCTGCAGCATTAAGTACTTTATCTTGGATGTCTAGTCAGGGAAACTCATGTAAACATGGCTCATATACCATGTTGACCCCTTTTGAGAACCGTAAACAGTTTTCACTTGACTGGCTTTAATTCCTGTTAAGCTCAATTTGGGCATGGACGTTTTACATTTCATTACTTTTATCCAAAGCAACTTACAATAAGTGCATTCGACCAAGAAGATACAAACTTGAAGAAAACAGAATCATATAAGTACATCAGGTTTCATAGAGCCAAAACATTTCAAGTGCTACTCAACTGGCTTTAGATAAGCCAGTCCTTTATTAGTACACTGAACAAAAATATAAATGCAACACTTTTGTTTTTGCTCCCATTTTTCATGAGATGAACTCAAAGATCTAAAACATTTTCTATATACACAAAATAACCATTTCTCTCAAATATTGTTCACAAATCTGAAAAAATCTGTGATAGTGAGCACTTCTCCTTTGCCGAGATAATCCATCCCACCTCACAGGTGTGCCTTAGGCTGGCCACAATAAAAGGCCACTCTGAAACGTGCAGTTTTGCTTTATTGGGGGGGTCTGGGGGGGTCCGAAAACCAGTCAGTATCTGGTGTGACCACCATTTGCCTCACGCAGTGCAACACATCTCCTTCGCATAGAGTTGATCAGGTTGTTGATTGTGGCCTGTGGAATGTTGGTCCACTCCTCTTCAATGGCTGTGCGAAGTTGCTGGATATTGGCAGGAACTGGAACACGCTGTCGTATACGCCGATCCAGAGCATCCCAAACATGCTCAATGGGTGACATGTCCGGTGAGTATGCTGGCCATGCAAGAACTGGGATGTTTTCAGCCTCCACGAATTGTGTACAGATCCTTGCAACATGGGGCCGTGCATTATCATGCTGCAACATGAGGTGATGGTCATGGATGAATGGCACAACAATGGGCCTCAGGATCTCGTCACGGTATCTCTGTGCATTCACAATGCCATCAATAAAATGCACCTGTTTTCGTCATCCATAACATACGCCTGCCAATACCATAACCCCACCACCACCATGGGCCACTCGATTCACAACATTGACATCAGAAAACTGCTCACCCACACGACGCCACACACGCTGTCTGCCATCTGCCCTGAACAGTGAAAACCGGGATTCATCCGTGAAGAGAACACCTCTCCAACGTGCCAGACGCCATCGAATGTGAGCATTTGCCCACTCAAGTCGGTTACGACGACGAACCGGAGTCAGGTCGAGACCCCGATGAGGACGACGAGCATGCAGATGAGCTTCCCTGAGACGGTTTCTGACAGTTTGTGCAGAAATTCTTTGGTTATGCAAACCGATTGTTGCAGCAGCTGTCCGAGTGGTTGGTCTCAGACGATCTTGGAGGTGAACATGCTGGATGTGGAGGTCCTGTGCTGGTGTGGTTACACGTGGTCTGCGGTTGTGAGGCCGGTTGGATGTACTGCCAAATTCTCTGAAAGGCCTTTGGAGACGGCTTATGGTAGAGAAATGAGCATTCAATTCACGGGCAACAGCTCTGGTGGACATTCCTGCTGTCAGCATGCCAATTGCACGCTCCCTCAAAACTTGCGACATCTGTGGCATTGTGCTGTGTGATAAAACTGAACATTTCAGAGTGGCCTTTTATTGTGGCCAGCCTAAGGCACACCTGTGCAATAATCATGCTGTCTAATCAGCATCTTGATATGCCACACCTGTGAGGTGGGATGGATTATCTCGGCAAAGGAGAAGTGCTCACTATCACAGATTTTTTCAGATTTGTGAACAATATTTGAGAGAAATGGTTATTTTGTGTATATAGAAAATGTTTTAGATCTTTGAGTTCATCTCATGAAAAATGGGAGCAAAAACAAAAGTGTTGCATTTATATTTTTGTTCAGTGTATATAAGTGCTTTGTTAGTAATTCTATCGCTCGAAGTGGAGTCGAAAGAGATGAGTTTTCAGTCTGCGCCGGAAGATGTGTAAGCCTTCTGCTGTCCTGATTTCAACGGGGAGCTCATTCCACCATTTTGGAGCCAGGATAGCAAACCCACGTGTTTTTGCTGATGGGAACTTGGGTCCCCCTCGCAGTGCGGGTGCAGCGAGCCGTTTTAAACCCAAATACATTATATTTATCATCTAATAATTGCAAAACAATACCACATTAAGTGAGACTTATCATCAACATGTCATGAATATGATCCCGTTTATGTTCACTCTGGTCGTTTTGATGAGGTGGCCATGATGCACAGCTAAACTAAACTCAGCGATTACCAAAACAGGTAAGATAAACATGGATGTTTCTAAATAAAGACAAATGTATCTAACTTGGATGGGAGGCAAACATCCTGTCCCTCACTGTGGATACACAGAGGACTCAAAGAAGATGAGGAGATAAACAGATGCATTTAATGGCGAGCATTTGTGGATAAATAAAGCCCACGTGGTAAATGTTTGTTAATGAGAATGAACACCAAAACAGCTGCAGCCTGCAGGATACTGAGGAATGGGGAACACCACTAATCAAAGAGACACATGCCAAGCGGAAATGCATATCAAGGTAAAGCAATGCATCCTCAGTCCATTCATCCATATTCCCGCATGACATGGCACCAGGGGGCGTAACCAACAGTAATGACATTATGTCATATTTTGTTGTCACCATGATGGGAGAAGCACCGGAACTACAACAAGAATAATGCAAATGTACTTTATGCATTAAGTGCCTTTTTTAAGCAACAAGCAAAAACAGGTGAGTGGAATATTCAAGTTATACTCAATGGTTAAATACATGCAGGAAAACAAAACACAACGCTTCCTATTCAATCTGCTATATTAACTGCTGTTTGTCATAGACCTTAACGTAAATGGCACTGAAACCATCCCATCCATCCTTCCCCTCTTAAGCAACTCAGGTAAAGCGTGACCGTGAACTCACTTGTCCAAAACAAAGTAGAGATCAAAGCTTCCATAGCATGAAGACGGCCCGTCCTGCCTCCGGTCCTGGTTCGGTCCAGCACTAGCGGCAGTAAGAACAACCAGCGCAGCACCAAACAACACTGCCAACCAGGAGGTCCTACTCCACCATGAAGGCATTATTCCAGCTCAGGAAAAACTCCTAAAACCAAGACAAGTGAATGTAAGGAAGTTGCAAAGTGAATCCTCCTTTGAGATTCTTCTTTTAATCCTCCACAGGTGTCTTCAGTATGACAAGAGGCAGTAATCCAAAGTTGAGCAATGAGTTGAAGTGAGAGAATGAAGTGGAGGGGGGACAGAAATCATAAGTGTTGTGGGTCTCTCTGCTGTTGTTGGGACCCTCTCACCACACAGCGTGCTTAAAGATGAGAGGAGCTCCACCACCTCACACGCTTGCTGCTTTTCGTTAATCACAAGACAGTGCAACAGAGAGGTCCTGAGTCTTTGCAAACCTCTCTTCATATTTAACCCTCCCTCTATCTGAAGGGGAAGAGACTGATGAAGACAACACACCAGAATATGCTGGCTGGTCCTGCCGCCTGGTGGTGAGAGGGGGCTGCTTTTCAACCACCACATCATAACAAATACAATCACAGTGAACCTGAATACTGTGTACACTGCACTAAATAATTTACTATCTTATAGTAAAATACTATCTTAACACGATTTGTATTGTGTACATATGACTTTCACTTGCACCTGCACATATACATGTATCATCGTCAGTGGCTCAGTCAGTAGGGGCTTGGACTGGGAGCTGTAGGCTCGCCGGTTCAAGTCCCCGACCAGACCTAAAATATGGAGTGCTACTTGGCGAGGTCCCAGTTCACCTCCTGCCCTGCTGTGGTGCCCTTGAGCAAGGCACCGGACACCCCCATTGCTCCCCGGGCGCTGTGCAATAGCTGCCCACTGCTCCTAGTACTAGACTCCTGGTACTAGGATGGGTTAAAAGCAGAGAACAAATGTCACTGTGTGCTCTGCATGTGTGACCATTAAAGAGGGTTTCATCCCTCCTCCATTCTATTATCATCATCATCAGTTTTATTTGAAGAGACTCTAGTTCCATTTTAAAAGATATACAACACTCAAATATAAATTAAAAAAGGCAGTTATACCAATGTTTCCACAGAGGTGACTGGTATCGTACAGCACTGAGACATATACGTATATATGTATACAATCTCATATCTGTATATTTGTACATTCAGCTGATCAGTGTTTTACCTTTGTTTTATGATATTTGTATTCACACTGTGACTTACATGTTTACTCTTATTTGTATCCTTATTATCCTTGTGTAAAGGTCTATCTTATCTTATATTTGTAAAGCTTATAATGTCTTGGACACTCACAAACACCCTTTAACTCTTCTTTAATGTGTGATTTATGTGATTACAGTGATTTGTCCCTTAGAGTGACATCACTAGGGAGATCCTATTGGCTGCTGCTCCGCCCCTGCTGATGACATTTATCTGCAGGAACAAGTTCGAGTCAGTTCAAATAAAAACTGTTTCTGGACACACAAGATTGAAATGTTGAAATTTGGCACATATGTACATTAAAAAAAGAATACAAATAAATATGATCTCCATGATGACACCTACATGATGCTGCTTTTTATATACTCATATTTACAAGCTGATAGTTCTTCTTGGAAGTGGTGTTTCTTCTCAATACATTTGAAATTGTGCAGGAAACAAGTACTGGTAAATATTGAATATGTGCACAGATCAATAATTTCTTATTCCAAGAATACAAATAGCACATTTTAGACTCCGTCACAGTCGAATATGATGCAAAACGATATTCTAAACGCAAGACAGCATGGCATACAGAAGTTGTATCGAATTTATTAACAACTATATCAATTCCATTATCAACTAAAAATGTTTGTGTTAATATTTCTGTGTTTGTGTGACATGACACTATTCGTTCTTTTAAAGCTCTCCAATATAATATTTTATTTAATGTAATTTTGTTTAAGCTGCCTTTAACAAGCATAACTTCCAGTAATCTCTAGCCAATCAAGGGACGAACATCATGGCCCAGCAGAGGAGTCGAGGGGTTAGTTAGTCGTTTTTAGACGGCAGACATTTTCCATATCTTCACTCCTTCGCACAGTCCATTTGAGTTTTCCTTTGTGTGCACTATGTATTCACAAGCCTGTGTGTCCAGAACTGCCACACAGTCTTCAGGGACCTCTGTGGGGGTTGTGTACCTACAATTACACAGCAAACACACCGTTAAGGGAAGAATATAAGTACAGAGATAAATGAAAACTGAATAAAAAACATTATTGTTATGTTGTGATCTGTTCACTTACGCTTGGCAACATCCAGTGCAACTACAGTCCAAACATTCACTGTTTCTCCATAAAGATCCAACTGGATGCCAGGTATGATCACTGTCGTCCTGACAATGGGTCATGCCTATTTGTGGAAAGGAAACGTTTTACACATTTTAAAGCAGTTTTGTATTTACTATAAATATTCTGTGAGTATGTGTTTTTCTGTTCTTTTACCTGGTTGTAAGGCCTTAGCGTAACATGAAGCATCTGATCGCGACGCCAAAGCACAAAACAGCAAAGCCAGAGCCAAATATTTCTTCACAGGGAAAAAAGGAACAACGATTTACCATTTGATATCAGCATCCACATATGTATCCTAGCAAGCATTTGGCACAAAGCAGGCAAAAACTTTGGGTAGGTACAGTGTGTTAAGATATTTTTTGTTGAATATACAATTCATCTGATACGAGTCATTCTGTAAATTGCTCCCATTTTGATAACCCACAACTTGAGGTCCATGCCACAAAATGATACAAACCCAATGATATCACTTTTATTCAGTAGAACATATTTATTTTTTAACATAAAATGTCTTTACCTCCATTATTACCGCTTTACCTTATTCCATCAGCACAGAAAAACAGCTGCAAATAACATCTGTAACCAGAATTTCAGATTGAGTACTAAAATCCACTCACCATGGTGGCAGTTGAACTTGTCCGGTCTGAATTGTGTTCAGGTAAGAGGAGAAACGTTAAAGTGTGTGTTTGCTTGTAGGTCTCTGACTTTTAAACTGTGATCTGCAGAGACCTTTGGAATTAAATAAGTTTTTCTGGTGAGAAGCCAGAGAGGGTTCACATCTGCATCTCTCTTTCTCATCCCTGCCAATAAGGACATGAACTTTCTAGGCATGGTTCTGTTGACCAGAGAGGAATTACATAATGTCTCTCTGTGCTCTCCCCAATTAACAACACACTTTTGCACCACTGCATCACTACAATACAGCGCCATAAATTGGACACAGTAGATCTTTGTTTGATAGATATGATACATTCACTTGATATGATTCATTATTTAAACATTAGTCATTTTGACAACAATGACATGGCATTTATACCATAAAATGATTCATTAATAACTATTTATCACTTTTATTTACTCGTAAACATCACATTTCATAACAACTACCTTTACCTCCATGATTATATTAACCTTTAACCCACAAAAACAGCTACCAACAAACAGAATTGTACTCTGAAATCAACTCACCAGTCAAACTTGTCTGGTTTGAATAGTGTTCAGGAGAGATGTTAGAAACTAAACTGTGTTTTGAATGCTGTTGACTTTTATAATGTGTGTGCAGGGACCTTTGAAACCGAATAAGAGGAGGATGGTCATCGTTCGAAGAAGCCACCGGTCTTAGTGTTTGTTTAAACCCAGCAAATAAATACTGGAACATACAGAGTAGGGGTGTAACGGTTCACAGAAGTCACGGTTCGGTTCATACCTCGGTTTGGGGGTCACGGTTCGTTACGGGTTCGGTACAACAAGAAAAAGCAAAAAAAAGTCCCAAATGCATAATTCCAGGTTTGTTGTTATTTATTTTTGAACAGTAAGTTTCAGTTTAAAAATAAGGAACTCTGACATTTTGAATAATTAACTGTATTAAACAAACCACAAACAGTACCACACACACTCAGATGGCCACATTATCTATAATGGCTGATGTCAAACAAAAAGGTTTCATCAAGCTGTAAAACTAAAAAGGATGTCTTGAAAATATGACATCATAAATAATAAGAAAGTGTTTCAAGAGCGCAAAGTCGTTGAAAAACATATGCCAAAAGCTTCCGTTATTTATTTTGGTCTCACGGCTTTCATGTCTATTGGCTTCTTAAAAACAGCAGGGATCAGCTGTTGAACTGCTGTTGTCTTTTGCCGGGCTCCGGTGATTGGCAAATCTGGGTGATGCCTTCTGATATGATTTAGCATGTTTGGCTTGTGTTACCATTAGCATACCGCACCGCTGTCTAACAACGCCGACACACTGACCGTCCTCGTCCGATCCACCACTCGCACTTCATCGTTGTTGTAGTCCACAGGGAACCCGAAATGTTCCCACACAGCTGATTAAAAAAAAAAAGCAGGTGGGTTCTAGTTCTTATTATACATCCATGGTTCTAGCTCCTGTGTGTTATCTGAAATCGCCATACTAACTTTTCTTCTTCTTGTATTTTGTTCGTTTTGTTGTTGTGTTTCTTCTTGTTCTTCATGTGTTGTTTAAGGGCGGCTGGCAAACAGCTTTTAGGCGCAATACCGCCCCCTGGATTATATATAGAGTAGTGGATACTGCCCTGAATGACAGACTTTTTTCCGTACAAAAAAAGGCGTATTCGTCGTGCATGTGCCGAACCGTGACGGTACGGGACGAATACGGATACCGTTACACCCCTAATACAGAGTAAAGGTTATAATTCAGAATATATTTAGAATGTGCAAAAACAGACAATATGGAAATTATTCTTTTATTCGCTTTTATTAGTTGTATTCTTGGTCGTCTTTACAACAAACAAAAACAGGCAGTGAGTTCTGTTGAGAAGCCAGAGAGGGATTACATCTGCATGTCTCTCCCTCCTCCCCCTAAGAAATCACATCAGACTTTTACACCACTGCCTCACTTCCCTACTGAGGCATAAATTGGACACAGTTGAGTCGGGTCGTTCCTCTTGTGCACTATGTATTCACAAGCCGCAGAGTCGAACACTGACACACAGTCTGAATCAAACCGTTCGGGGTTTGAAAACCTGCAGACACAGTCAACAGTGGAATATGTAGCTACAAAAGTCAAATATAAATGCTATCCAATTAAAAATCTGAAATAATTTGGCATGTGTAGGCCTACTTACGCAGAGCAACATCGACTGCAACTACAGTCGAAACATTCACTGTTTCTCCATGAAGATCCAACTGGATGCCAGGTATTATCACTGACGTCCTGACAATGGGTCATGCCTATTTGTGGAAAGGAAACGTTTTAAAACAGTTTTGTATTTACTATAAATATTACATTACATGCCATTTTGGGCGAAGTGTCTTGCACAGGGACACAACGACAAGCTGACTGCAGTGGGGATTGAACCTGTGACCCCTGATCCGAACACCAGCGCACATCCCACTACACCACAAGTCTCTTTCTGTGAGTATGTGTTTTTCTGTTCTTTTACCTGGTTGTAAGGCCTTAGCGTAACATGAAGCATCTGATCGCGACGCCAAAGCACAAAACAGCAAAGCCAGAGCCAAATATTTCTTCACAGGGAAAAAAGGAACAACGATTTACCATTTGATATCAGCATCCACATATGTATCCTAGCAAGCATTTGGCACAAAGCAGGCAAAAACTTTGGGTAGGTACAGTGTGTTAAGATATTTTTTGTTGAATATACAATTCATCTGATACGAGTCATTCTGTAAATTGCTCCCATTTTGATAACCCACAACTTGAGGTCCATGCCACAAAATGATACAAACCCAATGATATCACTTTTATTCAGTAGAACATATTTATTTTTTAACATAAAATGTCTTTACCTCCATTATTACCGCTTTACCTTATTCCATCAGCACAGAAAAACAGCTGCAAATAACATCTGTAACCAGAATTTCAGATTGAGTACTAAAATCCACTCACCATGGTGGCAGTTGAACTTGTCCGGTCTGAATTGTGTTCAGGTAAGAGGAGAAACGTTAAAGTGTGTGTTTGCTTGTAGGTCTCTGACTTTTAAACTGTGATCTGCAGAGACCTTTGGAATTAAATAAGAGAGGTTACTGGAGGTCACCACTGTCTGTAGTTAACCCAACAGAAAAAAACACACAGTGACCGTCATTTTCCTGAAAGCCTTGTTCATTTTAAGATCTGACAATCCTAGTTCTTTGTTAACAACTTATTTTACTTGAAGAGGGGAAATATCTCAATTGTTTGGTGGAATTGGGGAAGACGTGTACAACATATTTAAGGAGACAAATGTGATACAAATTCAAATACACCGTTTTTTTACTCATATTATTCATGTTTTATGGTGGATAAATATATATGTGGTTAATGCATGGGTTAATGCCATAAGCAAAGTGTCACGATCTGTCTTTATGGTGTTTTGTCTTGTCTTATTTTGAAAGGTCTTCACCTCCTGTCTTGCCTGTTTCTGTCTGCGTTGTGTCTTGTTTGGATTTGTCTGTGGTTCCCTGTCGTTAGTTTCCCTGGTGTGTCTGATTACCCGATTGTGTTCACCTGTGGCCCCTGTGTTTTCTCCTCCCTCCTCACCTGTGTCTTGTTTGTGTGATTAGTCTTGTGTGTATTTAAGTTCTGGTTTTTCTGTCTGTCTTTGTCGGTTTGTCTTTTGTCATGACTAGTTCGTCGGTGAGTGTTCTGTTCTATCTGTGTTATCACCTAGCCTTGAAATAAAGGAACTTTCACTTTAATCTGCATTTGGGTCCTACCTGCTTCACACACCGTGACACAAAGACAGGTTAGTGGAATATTCAACTTAAGCTTGAACATCATGTTGCTTTGTATAAACTCTAATTAACAAGCTGAGTTCTTTTTAAGATGTATTTTTGTGTCAGATTTTCACAAGTTTGCTCAAGTATTTTTCCTCAATGTGTTTTAATGTTATAGAACTGTAGTGAATTTGTTTGTTGTTTCGTAACTCAGAAACATCTTTCCAAATGGAATATTGTTAATATTTTTCAATCTACCTCAAAACAATACTCATAATCAAATGTGTTTTAGCTGCCTCTAACAACCATAAAGGGCCTTAACCCCTAACCGATCATGGGATAAGAGCCATGATCGGTCATAAAAGGCGAATCCTTTATGCTCAACTCCAGCAGTTGCAGGTAAATATTTTAGGACGAGGAGATTACAACTGGAAAGCTGAAAAACATAACTTAACAAGGGAGATGTTACGGTACGTGTTATGGTAATGATGAAATCTGAAGTGAATACCCATGGTGCAATGCTCCAGTGATGGTTTTTTAGTCTGCTTCTTTCTAAAACAAACATACAGAAAAGAAAAGAGACAATGTAAACATGTTTTATTTGTTTATTAGATGGAATTTAGTTTGTAGCACTATTTTATATGTATTACTATTATATATATATACTATTTTTATTCATATTTGTGGTCGTTTTTTAATACCAACAAAACGGGCATTGTTTTTTGGTGAGAAGCCAGAGAGGGTTCACATCTATATTTATCTTTCTGATGTCTCCCAATAATTACACAGCATTATTGGGCATGGTTGTCCTGACATAGAATACATATGACACTCTACGGTTGAGTCGTTCTTCTTGTGCACTATGTATTTACAAGCCTTCAAGTCTAAAACTGACTCACAGTCGTCAGGAACAGTGGGGGTAGCATACCTGCAAACACACAGTTAAAAGTAGAATATGTGAGTGAAACTGTCAAATAAAAATGCTCCCCATTAAAACATTTTAAATGTTTTTATCTGTGTACTTACGCAGGGCAACACCCTCCGCAAGTACAGTCCATATATTTACTGTTTCTCCATCTAGATCCAACGGGATGCCAGGTCTTATCCGCGTTGTCCTGACAATGTGTGATTCCTATTTGTGGAAGGAAGAAGTGGTCAATATTGTATAAAAATATGTGTATTTATTATAAATACTCTGAGTATGTGTGTGTGTTTTTCCTTACTTTCACGTGGTTCCACGTACGGCACCTGACAACTATCTGATAGTGACACCAAAGCACATAGCAGTGAAGCCAGAGCGAGACATTTCTTCACACAGAAAAAAAACAGAACATTTGATAAAACAAACATAATCCACATGTTTATCCCAGCATGCATTTGGCTAAATAAAAAAAACACTCTGGGCAGTAACAGTGTTTCATCTGTGTTTAATAGATATGATGCGTTAATCTGATACGAATCATTCTGTAAACTGCAGTCATTTTGACAACCATGATTTGAGCCATAAAATGATTAATTAATAACTATTCATCACTTCTATTTACCTATGGTATTTACTAGTAAACAACCCATTTTTTTAACAACTACCTTCACCTCCATGAATAAGGCTATATGTTATCTTTTAAGGCACACAAACACCTACCAACAAACTGAATTTTACTCTGAAATCAACTCACCATGGTGGCAGTCAAACTTGTCCCGTTTGAATAGTGTTCAGGAGAGATGTTAAAAACTAAAACTTATTTTGAATGTTGAATGGCTCTGACTATAACGTGTGTCTGCAGGGACTTTTGGAATTAAATAAGAGTAGGACGGTCGACTTACTGGAACAGAAAACCTCTGACTATTTGTTTTAACCAAGCAAATAAAAAATACTAGAACATACGGAGTGAAGGTATTAAATAACCTAGTTCAGGTTACATTTGCTATTCGGCAAAAAAATCCCATTATTTGTCTACTTATACATGACATTTTTGGACAAACCTATCCAAATCTAAATTCACAAGCTGATGATGTTTTCTTTTCTGATTGGGGTGATATTGTTTTTCTTTAAAGCTCACCTATTATGCTATATTTGAACAATATATTATAGGGCCATATCTGTACAAAACATGTCTCCGAAGTGTTTTTCCCAAAATACCAAACAATCACCCATTGCAGCATGCCTCATACCCCTCTATTTCAGCCCTGTTACAAAAGGGCTGATGCTGCGTCTCGCCCTTTACATGTAACCTAGCTACTGCTGGCCACGCCCCTTTCCGCATGCAAGCAGTGAGCTGTGCGAAGAGTTAAACACCATATTATGTTCCAAACCACATCAAGCATTATTTCTGAAACAGTATGGAGCTCAAACACTTTCTCTCTCGCGGGTTTACCACAAGGTGAGTACCTCTTATATCCGGCTTCTTTACTCATATTCTCTCCAGTACAGGTTAGCTCTGAGTGTTAGCGATGCTTGCTAATGTAAACAAAGACCTAATTACTTCCAAAATACGTCGCCCATTGTTACTGATACAGCACATAGCTTGACATGTTCTTTATCCAGTGTTTACCGCTAGAATCCAATCTTCCTATTCCAATCCCAACATTTTTTTCCCCATCTTTTCCACCCTCTTGGACCCCCCCAAAGCCCCTTCCCCCTCCTCCCTTCTGTCAAGCGACTTTGTTAACTACTTTGAAAAAAAGGTTGATATTCGCCCTTCTTTTTCTGACTCACCTTTACTCACCGCTGGGTCACCAGACCCTCCTTCCACCCACACACTAACCTCCTTCTCCCCTCTCTCTCCAAGTGAGGTTCTTACTCTCATTACCTCTGCCCGCCCTACCACCTGTCCTCTGGACCCTATCCCTTCAAACCTCCTTCAGACTATCGCTCCTGATATTCTACCGTTTCTCACCCATTTCATCAACACTTCTCTAACTTCTGGTCACTTTCCAAACAGTCTCAAGGAGGCAAGAGTAAACCCTCTCCTAAAGAAACCCACTCTCAACCCGTCTGATGTTATAAACTACAGGCCTGTCTCTCTCCTCCCGTTCCTGTCTAAAACACTTGAACGCGCTGTCTTTAAACAACTCTCCTGTTATCTCCATCAGAACAACCTTCTGGATCCGCACCAGTCTGGTTTCAAGGCAGGTCACTCCACAGAAACTGCTCTCCTTGCTGTCACTGAGGAACTGCACACGGCTAAAGCAGCCTCCCTCTCCTCTGTCATCATCCTTCTGGACCTGTCTGCTGCATTCAACACGGTGAATCATCAGATCCTCCTTCGCACTCTCCAAAAACTTGGAGTTTCAGGCACTGCACTTTCCCTCCTTACCTCATACCTCAAAGACCGTACCTACAGGGTAACTTGGAGAGGGTCCGAGTCCGACCCTTGTCAATTAACTACAGGGGTCCCTCAGGGCTCTGTTCTTGGTCCCCTCCTCTTCTCCTTGTACACAAACTCGCTCGGATCAGTCATTAGCCCGCATGGTTTTTCATACCACTGCTACGCTGACGACACCCAACTAATTCTGTCCTTTCCCCGCTCAGAGACCCAGGTCGTCGCACGCATCTCTGCTTGTCTAGCTGACATCTCTCGGTGGATGTCTGCTCATCACCTCAAGCTCAACCTTGACAAGAATGAACTGCTTTTCCTTCCGGGAAAAGATTGTCCCACTCTTGACCTAACAATCAACATCGGCACCTCAGTTGTTTCCCCGACTCAGACTGCAAGGAATCTGGGTGTGACCCTAGATAACAAACTGTCCTTCACTGCAAACATCGCTGCTACAACCCGTTGCTGCAGATACACGCTTTACAACATCAGGAGGATACGTCCCCAGCTGACCCAGAAAGCAACGCAGGTTCTGGTCCAGGCTCTCGTCATCTCACGCCTAGACTACTGCAACTCCCTCCTGGCTGGTCTACCTGCATGTGCCATCCGACCTCTGCAGCTCATCCAGAATGCAGCGGCTCGTCTGGTCTTCAACCTTCCTAAATGTTCCCACACCACGCCGCTCCTCCGCTCCCTTCACTGGCTTCCAGTAATTGCTAGAATCCACTTCAAAACAATGGTACTTGCATACCATGCTGCGAATGGTTCTGGCCCTTCCTACATCCAAGACATGGTTAAACTGTACACCCCAGCACGTGCACTTCGCTCTGCATCAGCCAAACGACTCGCTGCACCCTCGCTGCGAGGGGGACCCAAGTTCCCATCAGCAAAAACACGTGGGTTTGCTATCCTGGCTCCAAAATGGTGGAATGAGCTCCCCATTGAAATCAGGACAGCAGATAGCTTACACACCTTCCGGCGCAGACTGAAAACGTATCTCTTTCGACTCCACTTCGAGTGATATAATTACTAACAAAGAACTGCTAACAGAGCACTTATATACTAACAAAGGACTGGCTTATCTAAAGCCAGTTGAGTAGCACTTGAAATGTTTGGCTCTATGAAACCTGATGTACTTATATGATTCTGTTTTCTTCAAGGTTGTATCTTCCTGGTCGAATGCACTTATTGTAAGTCGCTTTGGATAAAAGCGTCAGCTAAATGCAATGTAATGTAATGTAATGTAGAACAGTGTCATTATATGTATAATATATATACATATAACAACTTTACTCTAAGTCCCTCTCGCAGACATCCTGCTGAATACACAGACAGACAGCTGCGGGAGGGGATTCAGCTAGAAGACTGTATATGGGGACGATACTTTGGGCCGTGGGCGGGACGTTGCCAGGAGTTCAACGCAAAGCCAGCCCACATTTCAGTAATGACGTCAAGACCGCAGCAATCAGCTCCGTTGTACCGCCATTTTAGAAATGTGGGAAAGGAGGAAAAGAGCGGGGTTGTATTTTCTGACACTTTGTGAGTCTCCTTACACACCGCGGACACATATTGATATATAAAATACATTAAAAATTGCATTTTGCACAATAGGTGCCCTTTAAAATACATTTGACTACAAATGGTGCCACTACACCGTGTTGTGATATTTTTAAACCACTGGAATGAAGCTCAGCACAAGTCCTATCAGGAAAAGTGTCTCGTACTCTTTCATTCACAATGTCTCCCTCACTCACTCGCCCTTTCATTCAATAAGCACAGGTGTTTCTCTCCCTCAGCTAAACCAATCAGACTTGCCTCATCTCCCACAAGCCAATCCCAGCGCATCCGGCAAACTTTTAAATCTGCTCTCTTCTCCTTGCTGTCATTTCAGGTGAATTGATGCAGCCCTCCTCCACCCCGTTAACCTCAAGTTCATCAGATCCAGGGCCCAGGTCAAGCCCAGAAGCCCCCCCATCACTCCAGATCTTCAATGTTCCCTCCAGCTCCTCACCACCACCACCAGTGTCTATACCCAGGGGGGGCTCACCTTTCCTAGTCGGCTTCTCCTCCCATCTAAATCCATCACATTAAGATGGGGTCTAATCGCCAGAGATTATATATTTTACCCTTCGTACACATGGCAATAAATAGGTTTACGAGCAAATGTTGGTGAGTTGAATATTTAAATTAAGCTTTAAACATCACGTTTCTTTGTATAAACACTCAAGCTGAGTTCATTTTCTGAAGTGTTTTTGTTTCAAATGTATTTTTCCTCAATTACATGTGTTGTCATTTTCTGGCACTACAGTGAGTTTTTTATATTGCTGTATTGAAGAATGCATGTGTTTGTTTTATTTTTTGGTGCGTGCGTTTACATATTCAACATATGTTGTTTCATGACTAAGAAACATCCTTCCACATTGAACATTTGACAGTAAAGGCAGAGCACAGATCAGCCCAGCTACAGCGTATTAGTTCTTCCTCGAGACAAAGATTGTCCCAGTTTCTAAGGTCAGGTTAATATATTTCAATCTCTCAATCTCAAAACAATACTCCTGCCAGAGAGGAATTACATGTCTCTCTGTGCTCTCCCAAATAAATAACAACACACTTTTGCCCCACTGCATCACTACAATACTGCGCCATAAATTGGACACAGTAGATCTTTGTTTGATAGATATGATACGTTCACTTGATATGATTCATTATATAAACTTTAGTCATTTTGACAACAATGACATGGCATTTATACCATAAAATGATTCATTAATAACTATTTATCACTTGTATTTATTCGTAAACATCACATTTTATAACAACTACCTTTACCTCCATGATTTTAGGCTATATTTTAACCTTTAACCCACAAAAACAGCTACCAACAAACAGAATTGTACTCTGAAATCAACTCACCAGTCAAACTTGTCTGGTTTGAATAGTGTTCAGGAGAGATGTTAGAAACTAAACTGTGTTTTGAATGCTGTTGACTTTTATAATGTGTGTGCAGGGACCTTTGAAACCGAATAAGAGGAGGTTGGTCATCGTTCGAAGAAGCCACCGGTCTTAGTGTTTGTTTAAACCCAGTAAATAAATAAAGGTTATAATTCAGAATACATTTAGAATTTGCAAAAACAGACAATATGGAAAGTATTCTTTTATTAGTTTTATTCTTGGTCGTCTTTACAACAAACAAAAACAGGCAGTGAGTTCTGTTGAGAAGCCAGAGAGGGATTACATCTGCATGTCTCTCCCTCCTCCCCCTAGGAAATCACATCAGACTTTTACACCACTGCATCACTTCCCTACTGCGCCATAAATTGGACACAGTTGAGTCGGGTCGTTCCTCTTGTGCACTATGTATGCACAAGCCGCAGAGTCGAACACTGACACACAGTCTGAATCAAACCGTGTGGGGGTTGTAAACCTGAAAAGACACAGTCAACAGTGGAATATGTAACTACAAAAGTCAAATATAAATGCTATCCAATTTAAAAATCTGAAATAATTTGGCACGTGTACTTACGCAGAGCAACATCCAGTGCAACTACAGTTCAAACATTCACTGTTTCTCCATAAAGATCCAACTGGATGCCAGGTAAGATCAATGTCGTCCTGACACTGGGTCATGCCTATTTGTGGAAAGGAAACGTTTTACACATTTTAAAACAGTTTTGTATTTACTATAAATATTACATTACATGCAATTTTGGGCGAAGTGTCTTGCACAGGGACACAACGACAAGCTGACTGCAGTGGGGTTTGAACCTGTGACCCCTGATCCGAACACCAGCGCACATCCCACTACACCACAAGTCTCTTTCTGTGAGTATGTGTTTTTCTGTTCTTTTACCTGGTTGTAAGGCCTTAGCGTAACATGAAGCATCTGATAGCGACGCCAAAGCACAAAACAGCAAAGCCAGAGCCAAATATTTCTTCACAGGGAAAAAAGGAACAACGATTTACCATTTGATATCAGCATCCACATATGTATCCTAGCAAGCATTGGGCAAAAATCAGGCAAAAACGTTTGGCATATAGTATGTTAAGATATGTTACGAGTCATTCTTTAAATTGCTCCCATTTTGATAACCCATAACTTGAGGTCAATGCCACAAAATGATATAAACCCAATGATATCACTTTTATTCCGTAGAAAATATAACATTTTTAACATAAAATGTCTTTACCGCCATTATTACCGCTGTACAGCTGCAAATAACATCTGTAACCAGAATTTCAGATTGAGTACTATAATCCACTCACCATGGTGGCAGTTGAACTTGTCCGGTCTGAATTGTGTTCAGGTAAGAGGAGAAAAGTTAAAGTGTGTGTTTGCTTGTAGGACTCTGTCTTTTAAACTGTGATCTGCAGAGACCTTTGGAATTAAATGAGACGTTACTGGAGGTCATGACCGTATCTACCATTGAGGTCACCGAGGTCCGGACCTCGGTAATATTTTCCGAGCTGTGTATAACAAAACTTGTGAAATAATTGCACTAAACAGGGTTCTTTGTAGTACTTCCATTTACTGACCATGGGGGCGCTGCATAACTACGTAGCCTCGATTAAAGCAAACAGAAGAAGACGACATGTATCAACAAACCACCGCAGCCCGGACTTGTATCGGAGCAGCGGAGGAGTGATGAAGTATCTAGAGATCTGAGTCCAGCGGCTGCTTGTGTTTCTGTTCATCAGGACATCATATGACCAGCAGATCCTGTGTGAACGCTATACGTTAGTCAGTGGACGTCCGACAACATGCACACTAACTTATATTGCAGCTATAGGCTATACTTTGGTTTAAATTGCGTGAATAAACTAGCTAGAGAGCTAAAGTTAATTACGTTCATCCAATGTCAGAAGGATTACCTTTTAACAAACGTTGTAATGCTTTTCTTCATTTCAATTTGAGTAAAACATTGAAGATATAACATTGTATTGTTTTCTTTTTACACTGACTCAGATATAACGAAAAGACTACGTCAGTCGAAGCTCAGCTTTGGTAAGGAAGAGACAGGACAGGCAGAGAGAAAGAGAGAGAGAAAGTGATGGAAGTCAGAGAGGAACTGGAGTCACACAAAATAATGTAGGCTTAATAAGCCCATCTATTTATCTATCTATTTATCTATCTATGTATCTATAACAATAGTCTTCATTTACAATAGGCATAATTTTAAAACATACATCTATTGCAGTTATGATGTCATAATAACATACAATTGTATAAAACACAATTTGCTTACATCTTTGTTCTCTTTTGAGAATCAAACAAAACAGATTTAAATAAAAAAAGAATGCAAACAAACAAGTGAAATGAACTAAATAGCTGAATTGCTTTTGATTCACTGGCAGGAGCGACAAATGAGGAGGAGCAAACAGTGAACAACGAGGGAGAGATTGAACAAAAAGAAAGAGTAGAGGACAGAGAGAGTAATGAACAGGAAGAAGACAGAGAGACTAAAGAAGATGGAAGAGAGGCTGCAGGTTATGGAAAGGAGAGAGACATGGGAAATTAATGTTGACAATGTGTTGTGATCATTTTAGCCTCTTCTGCATGTCCAGATCATTAATAGTAACAATCAACTGATTCTTATGTATTACACTTTAAAAATAATTGATGCTGACATTGTTAACCCACTGACATGGTTTGAAATCAATATATTATCCAATGTGTGACCCCCCACAGGACTTAAAAAGCACCTAACTAGATCATGAAAATCCCAAAAATCTCGGGGGGTATCCCCCGAACCCCCCTAGCATGTTTGGACCTCGGTCTATAGGAAATCCTGGATACGGCTCTGCTGGAGGTCACCACTGTCTGTAGTTAACCCAACAGAAAGAAAAAAAATAGTGACCGTCATTTTCCTGAAAGCCTTGTTAATTTTAAGATCTGACAATCCTAGTTCTTTGTGAACAACTTATTTTACTTGAAATATCTAAATTGTTTGGTGGCATTGGGGAAGACGTGTACAACATATTTAAGGTGACAAATGTGATACAAATTCAAATATACCGTTGTTTACTCATATTATTCATGTTTTATGGTGGATAAATATATATGTGGTTCATTTAAATAAATAAAACAAATAAATGTAGCCTTTAAACCATGTAAATATGGGAAATGGATTTCACAGAAGTTCATCAATTTTAGAATAACATTAAAAAAGCATACAATCTAGCGAATTCAGAGTAAAAATATGCACAACGTAACACAATATAAAACAATACATATGTAATGTGTTTATTCAAAAGTATATATTATGTCAACTTCTCCCGCGAAAAACTGCTGTTAAATGGATCTATCAAAAAAAACATCTTTATCCAAAACGTGTTTACCACTGAATATTATTTAAAGATGCAGATTCCGCTAAAATCCTGTCCACGTTTTGCGTCACTCACAGACGCGCCACAAACTGGGTTGCCAGTTATGTTGAAAATGCAGCCCTGACTATCCCCTTGTTTTCAACGGCCCGGAAAAGGGGGTTTTGGAGCTCAACACGGCAACAAATCACACAACAAAAGGAAGTGAGGCTTGTACGCACTAATCATTTTTGTTTTTTAAAACGTGTAGAATTAACAAAAATACGAGCTTGTTGTGATTTATTTGGATCATAATAAGAGTTGAAACCGTCTCGACCAACATGGAGTTATAAAGCGTAAAGGTGAGCAACGAAATAGCGATATTAGGGTAGCTTTTAGCATGCTATGCTAACATTAGCATGCCAGGCCAGCCAGCCCCTTTACACAGCGTTAACATTATTGATGCATATTTAGCTAACATCCACGCAAAGTTATCATATCTAGGCTACGTTTTAATGGTTTGGAAGTTATATTACACCTAAAACAGTTAAATTAGATTATAAAAAACAATAATAATACCTTGTACATGGCAATGGGTGGAGCTCACTGGACAAAGCACCTGCATGTGGGTTTACACTAACATTAATGATTATTTCAAAGGTTTTATTGCCTTTTTAAAAAAAAATCATAATGGTTTTAAAATTTCTACTATATTGTTTTAATTCTTGGTAAACAGGTTCAAAATGTAATATCTTAAGTCCCACACTTCCTTTAACAATGTAACATAAAAGAAATAAAAAATAGTTGCAGAGGAACCGAATAGAATATAATGTGCAGGTAAATGCTAGAGTTCAACTATATACATGTAAAATAGAATAAAAGCAAAGGGATGAGCTAACAACAGAATGTGAAATGTAATACTGTATAAAGATAAAATACTGGTTATTGTAGTAATAAATAAATAAATCTGTGAAATGCAGATTGATGCATCGACATGAGATAGGAGTTCATCAGGCTTATTTACCTTTGGTGGATTATTTCTCTTATCAGTTAATCTTAAGGATATTTCCTGTTTTAGTCTATAACATTTAAGAGAGCACAGCATTTAATCTTACCAGAGTCCAAAGTTATATTAAAATGTCTTGTTTTGATAACAGTCCAACACATAGACTGTAGAGGTTGTTTTTTATTTTAAATCAGCATATTTTATTTTTTCAAAGGCATGATTCGGTGCATTTTATTATGTCTATTTGATTATTTAAAATGGTTGCCCAATAACAACCTTATATAAATGTCTCTCAGCCTGATGTGATTTAGTGAAGCACTTCGATAAAGTAAGGGGACTTGCCTAATGCATTTATTTACAGGTATTTAGTCCTCGTGAATTATAAATATATTAAGCCCCTTGGTGGAATGTAACAAAAGCCATTGTTTGTTTTCTCAGCATATCTCAAATAATACATTTTCCTCCTCTTTGCCAGATTGGTCTGAATCCCAAGTTGCCGAGCTCTTCCCGGGTCCCTTTGGGGCCCAGGAAGAGGATGCATCGAGGCGGGGATAAAGACTTCCAGATATCAGCACGGAAGATGGGAACATCCCTGCTTTTCCAGCTGTCGGCGCATGAAAGAGAGCTGGATTTGGTATTTCTGGACCACAGCTACGCCAAGCCCTGGAACGCCCATCCAGACGCCAGCAGCGCCCGGCCCACACGGACGCTGTTTGTTACCCCTCGTCGCCAGCCTGAACCCGTGTCGTGAGTCAAATATATCCTAATCATAAACAACCATAACAACATATGGAGGCTGTCCAACAACATCATCTATGACCACATTACCATCAAATCGGAGATACAGGGTCCCGCGATTTAATAAGTTCAGACTGAAGCACTCCTTTGTGCACTAGTCAATCCTCAAATTAAATACAGAGCCAAATCCCAGGTGAAATGTACGATAGAATAGAGTAGAATCCTTCATTGTCATTATACAGGTACAATGAGATGAGTAGAGATGCTCCTTTTTTGAAGGTGCCATCAAAAATACAAAAAACAAACTAGAGACGTACGTACAACATTCACGAGAAGACAACATACAAACAACAAGCATTCATATTTCAATATACAGATAAAGTGCAGGAATATATCGGTTTAAGTCCAAATAAATGTGTTTGAATGTGGACTGGACTTTAAAGAGTATATAGCTTACGTTACGTTTTTATTGGATTGCCGTTATAAACACGAGGATTTTTTCATACATAATGCACCAGACAAATCAATACAGCCCTATCTCGGAGGCTGTTGCCAAGCAGTGTAAACATATCATTTGGCCAAGTACAAAACCTTGACCCTTTGTTTTGGACACTAAAAGCACTGATATAAGTTTGTAAAAACAGGCCAACAAATAAGAGAGTAAATCATTAACAATATAACAAATTAGTGACTACAGCCTACTGTTACGTTCCCTTCTAAATCTAGGGGGTACAAAGGGAAGTAACAACACACAAGGATGACCAAGCACGACAAAAGGAGAGAAAACCGATCTCTGAGTAACGAACAAGTCGTTTAATGAACACAACAGGAACACGGGCTCACCAGCCAACTTGCACAGAATAACACGGCATCAATATATATCACGGAGCTCCCCTTCTATCAATCGGCAAGACACAGGTCTGCACACATGCAGCCAGAGGAGGAAAAAAGGAGAGACCACTGCAGTATTCCTCCGGTCCTATATGGAGGCCCTGATTAGGAATTAGGAGCACCTGGGGAGAGGCTGCACCTGGGGAGAGGCTGCACCTGGGGAGAGGCTGCACCTGGGGAGTCAGAGGGAGAGAGAGAAAAACACACACACGACCACACAAACACTACGGCAGGTAACACCTACCATTAGGTTATTCTCAGTTTCACACCGACAAAGTGCAGGAATATATCGGTTTAAGTACTAGTGTTGTCACGATACCAACATGTTGGTTTCGATACCGATACCAAGTCAAGAATTGCGATTCCGATTCTTTTTCGATACTTTTCTTAAAAAAAGGAAAACAGTCTTAAATGTAATTATTGTGCTTTATTTCACACCAGAACATAACACACACTTTTAAACAATGAGAACAATAAACAAAATAAATGACAATAATTCGTATTAAATAAAATTAAGCCTCATCTCAAACAACTTTTTTGTTTTATAAAATATAATTTGTTTAATATTTTATTAACATGTACAGTAATATAAATAATTATTGACAAAATGTATATTGCAGATGTTAGCCATATTAGTAAGTTAGCTAAAAATATAGCCATATTAGACGGTTATCATTGCCATGAATTGCCTCGTTTGTCACAAATAAATGACACTGGTTTGACTTAGATTTGAGGGCATGGGCATGTTACACATTCGCTAACCTGTCTGTCTTTAAATTCTTTAAACAGCTCTGGATTCCGGTCGGCAGGTGCTTAGCCAAGTTTGATGTGTTGGCTCCCTTGGTTTGCAGGGATCTAAAACATGTCTCACAGACAGGCCTCGTGGTGTCCGTAGGCTTGCCCTCACTGTCAGAGATATCGCTCAAATACTTCCAAATTTAGCTTCTGGCGTCTTTTGTGTCAACAAGCCGAGGCGCAGCGGCAGTTGCACTCCCACTTGCAGCCATGCTTCTAGTTTTCTCACATGCTCTGGCAGCTAGCGCGTGGCCGAGTGCACGAGAGAGGGGAGGGACTTAGAACGTGTTTGAGAGGGGCGGGACTGCAGGCACGGCTGCAGTGCAGGGAGTGGAAGCAGAGCGCTGAACACACACGGCTCTTATTAAAACGGCGCTTTCTCACCGGAGTACTTTCCCCGTCATTCTTAAAGTACCGATACTAATGAAACGGAGGAATCGTACCGTTTTTAATGGCAGGGTATCGCGGTACCTTTCAAGTATCGGTACACCGTGCAACACTATTAAGTACAAATAAATACGTTTGAATGTGTGTTAGAGGGTCTTTGAGAATGTTATCTTTTGAATGATCGTGATATTTTATTAAATGTTCCTTTGTATCGTGTCTTAATGTTTGCCATTGTTGATGTTGCAAATGGAGCTGCTGTGATGCAAAGGTGCGCGACTGGGTCGACGGTGTTTCTGCTGTAACTTACTTGATACCCTTGTCTTTGTCTGCAGAGACCCTGATTCACTTCTGGATGTGGAGACGGTGACACCGAGACCTGTTCCTCTGTATGATAATCAGAAAGCTCTCAGTGTGATGAAGGAGTGTGAGAGACATGTTCTGTTTGCTCGTACCGTCGCTGAGAGCCCCCCACCCCCCGATGACTGGGAGGAACATGTAAACAAGTAAGCAATCATCTAGAGCAAACCACTGTTCATTTATTATTTACTTTAAATGTTAAAGTACTTTTTTTTTAACGTTTTTATTATTGTGTTTCAGGATTGGATGGTCAGTGGCCCAGAACAAGCTGTTCAACAAAGTCCTTAAAGCTTTACAAGCTGAAAGACTAGCGCGTCTTGCCAATGAACATGTAAGTTTAGCTCATAGCTAATACTGTTCTCAAGCCATATGCATTTTAAAGTGTTTTTTTTGTTCAAGCACCATTTGTAAGCGATGGATTGAAATGGTTATTACTCTCTGAAATCAGTTATTGCAGAGTTATGGTGTGTCATTTGCTTAGTCTATATAACATAGGCACAAAGGTATTGTGCATTGGTGACTGAGAGTATATAGCTTACGTTATGTTTTTATTGGATTGCCGTTATAAACATGAGGATTTCTTTCATACATAATGCACCAGACAAATCAATGCAGCCCTATCTCTGAGGCTGTTGTCAAGCAGTGTACCCTCTTTGGAGTAAACATATCATTTTGCCAAGGACAAAACCTTGACCCTTTGTTTTGGACACTAAAAGCACTGATATAAGTTTGTAAAAACAGGCCAACGAATAAGAGAGTAAATCATTAACAATATAACAAATTAGTGACTACAGCCTACCATTTTATAGTCTGCATTATTGCGGCCCAGTTATTCTCAGTTTCACGGTTCTAAAGTTAAGGCAAAGCGTCTTCCTGTGAAGTCATATGTGAATCTAAAGCCATTTGTAAATTGGCCCCTTTGGGCTCTTGCTTCCTTTAGGCTTCCAATGAGCCAATCTTGCGGAGGATAGCCGTGGACAACTGTGCCAGGAAGGTGCGCCATGCATTAGCCAGTGTGAGCTGGGACACCAAACTGACGCAGTGGTTACACACTACCATGATTGAATCCTTGAGCCTGGCGATGCTAGCTGCCTACCTGGATGTTCTGCAGACTCTCAAAAGCAAGGTATGATGTGTGCAGTTAAAAGACATCTAAGAAATATTTCCCCTCAGATGTCTGCAGTAGTAATACAAGATCTGGGATTGGTGATTCATTACTTTTTGCCTCTTTGTGTCTTGGAAGTTGCCGTTGCTGATTGACAGAATGTTGCTAACGACTACAAAGACCGGCGCTCCAAGTGCCGAGGCCCTGTCGCTGCTGCTGAAACGGCCCTGGGACCCAGCTGTTGGAGTCCTGTCGCAAAACAAACCGGTAACGCTAAACTATTGCAAGAGAAAGCTTGTTTATTTGAATTAGGACAAGGACAGGGAGAAAGATCTATCCATCTATCTATCTATTCATCTATCTATCCATCCATCCATCCATCCATCCATCCCTCCATCCATCCATCCATCCATCCATCCATCCATCCATCCATCCATCCATCCATCCATCCATCCATCCATCCATCCATCCATCCATCCAATCCATCCATCCATCCATCCATCCATCCATCCATCCATCCATCCATCCATCCATCTCCATCATCCATCATCCATCATCCATCCATCCATCCATCCATCCATCCACCATCCATCCATCCATCCATCCCCATCCATCCATCCATCCATCCATCCATCCATCTATCTATCCATCTATCCATCCATCCATCCATCTATCCATCCATCTATCCATCTATCCATCCATCCATCTATCCATCCATCCATCCATCCATCCATCTATCCATCCATCCATCCATCCATCCATCCATCCATCTATCTATCTATCTATTCACCTATCTATCCACCTATCTCTCCCATCTATCCATCCATCCATCCATCCATCCATCCATCCATCCATCCATCTATCTATCTATCTATTCACCTATCTATCCACCTATCTCCATCCATCCATCCATCCATCTATCCATTCACCTATCTATCCACCTATCTCTCCATCTATCCATCCATCCATCCATCCATCCATCCATCCATCCATCCATCCATCCATCCTCCATCCATCCATCCATCCATCTATCTATTCATCTATCTATCCACCTATCTATCCACCTATCTCTCCATCCATCCATCCATCCATCCATCCATCCATCCATCCATCCATCCATCCATCCATCCATCCCTCCATCCTATCCATCCATCCATCCATCCATCCATCCATCCATCCATCCATCCATCCATCCATCCTCCATCCATCCATCCATCTATCTATCTATCTATTCACCTATCTATCCACCTATCTCTCCATCCATCCATCCATCCATCCATCTATCTATTCATCTATCTATTCATCTATCTATCCACCTATCTCTCCATCTATCTATCCATCCATTCATCCATCCATCCATCCATCCATCTATCTATCTATTCATCTATCTATTCATCTATCTATCCATCCATCCATCCATCTATCTATCTTTCCATCCATCCATCTATCTATCTAACGGTTTACAAACATTTCGGTTCGGTACGTACCTCGGTTTTTAGGTCATGGTTCATACGTTTTTGGTACAGCAGAAAAAATTATCACAAAACATAAAATATTTTTTGGGTTTTTTTAATTATTATTAAACTGTGAATAATGTATTCACTCAAATAAATACAAAATATGATAAAATAAACATTAAGGTGCAGCATTTCGATGAACTGAAATAATCTGTATTTGAACTGTACTGTACTAGTTTGACATTAGGACTAGCTTGTCATTGTATTTTCATGTTTCTTTAAAGAAAAATGAACTCGTCCACATTGCTTGCCGAAAGGGCAGATCTGCTGGCACTAACCATGTTTCCTGCTGTGGAGAACACCCTCTCTAGGGACAGAGGTAGCAGATACAGCCAGGTAGCGCTTTGCTAACATGGCAACCTAAGGATATTTGGCGTTTGTAATAGCTTTGGCTCGGTCTGAACTTTGAGTGGTGGAGGCTTAAATGCTAGCGGGAGTTGGGTTTGCACTTCAGTCTTTTTTCTTTTGGTACCGGTGATATTCATGTTCGGGTGATGCCTTTTCAAATGAGTGTGCAAGTTTGATGTATTGCCAGCCGCGTAACCAATTTTAGTTGAACAATGCCAACAATTGTCCGTCATCTTTGTACGTAACTGCAAAACCAAAATGTTCCCAAACCGGAGACTTCAATGATGCTGGAGGATTTTCGAGCTCAACTTTATCTGCGTTCGCCATTTAGACAGTTCCTCAAATTACTGACTAAATTTGAACGCATCCCTGTGACCAGCTCTCATAGTATGCCTCTCGTCCAATCAAATGACTTGGTCGCTCTATGACGCGTTGAACCCAATGGTTGAACCCAATGTGAGCAAATTACTCTGAATGCTGCGACGCAGCACCTGAGATTACTTCCAAAACGTTGTTCACGTTCTAAATTTTTTACGTTTACCGAACCGAAGGGCCCGTACCGAATAATTTCGGTACGGGTACGTATACCGTTACACCCCTACTATCTATCCATCTATCTATCTATCTATCTATCTATCTATCTATCTGTCTTCTATTCTATCTGTCTGTCTATCTAAAAAACTAATTTGTCTCATATTCTTCTCTCTTGTTTCAGAGCAAGCTTCATGGATCCCCTCTCATCCTAATTGCACCATCAAGCCCAACCAATCCCGCGCTCTCTACCTCGAGGCGAATGAGATTCTGGCAGTCTCAGCTGTCGTGTTTGGGAAAGGTCAGTCAACTTTATATCTGTTACTCGCCATCTTGATTATTAATAATCCCAGGAAAGAACCTATAACAACTGTTCCTATCTCAGGTCATTCCAGTGCACAGTCACGTCAGCAGCGGAGCCAATATTGGCATCACACAGTGTCTGGAGCACATGTTGGGCACCGTCAGGGCCAAGGTCATGGAGGTAGGATGTTCTGTCCTTATTTGCTACTTATGTGATTATATTTGCAGTGTGATGGTGTTTGTACAACTTTCGTAGTCGATTTGGTTTTAATGTGCACATCTCAACATCAATCATGCATAAAAGGTCGTCCATATACTGGCCAAACGAGCAGAGTGTCTTTTGTGTATTATTAACTTGCAATGCTCAGTTTTTGCCAATTAAACCACAAGCCGACCTACTAGAAAAATGGTGTTAAAATGTCCACGTTTCCACCAGATCCGACCACAGAGGGCATATCTTTGCTTTCCATTAATTTCCTATTAAAGCCGGAGAAGAGGTTGCAAATTAAGTTGCTCTAGAAATAATCGTATACAAATAACCCCACCCATCATGACGTGCATGGCTCACGAAACTTGTCCTAAAATGAAACAATATTCAGCAGTTGCATTTCCTGTTTCTCGAACAAAAATGTTTTCAGAAATAGATTTTGATTAGTTGTTTAGCTTACCAGAAAGTTAATGATCACCCCAACCTTTAATTTCTGTTTAATTTGGGAAAACAATGTTTCGCCAACTCTTCAGGATTCATGTCTGAAGACAAAATGGAGGATAATACCATGTTGAATACAGCTTCTGTTTTATTTTGTACATTATATGTATGCAGATGTAATAATTATGTCATACATTTAACCACCAGGTTCACAGTCACTTCCCCCACAAACCCATTATCCTGGTTGGCTGGAATACGGGTGCTCTCATCGCCTGTCACGTAAGGTTCCTTATAACTTATTGCTGCAATGTTATGTGAGGCTAAACAGTTCCCCCCCCCCCCCATTCTTTAAAGCACCACTTGTTATAAAAACAAATGTATTACAGGTTTCCCTAATGGAGTATCTCACCGGTGTGGTGTGTCTCGGCTTCCCGCTGCTGACAGTCAACGGGCCACGAGGGGTAAGCAATCATATTTCAATCATAGAGTGGTGCAGGGATGACGTATTTTTGTCGGCCAACCCGTAAGTAAGCTGCGCATGGGTTCCCTCGACAAAAAAGCTATGGCATTTCTCCATAGGATTTTGGAATATTGTAAAAAATAAGCTCTGTGGAAAACAATCCGGTTTGATAAATCCACATTTTGTTCACCCTGATAATCTCCACATGTCTACCCTTTACAATTTTCGAATCATAAATCTAATCGATAGATTTATGATCAATAGATTTATCATTTGAAAATTATAAAAGTAGGGTAGACATGTGGAGATTATCTTACTTCCGGGTCGGCCTACAAAAATACGTCATCACTGCACCACTCTATTTTATGGATTGTTTCTATTGTTTTGTAAATACTTATTTTATTTCATTCTTTCTATCAGAAAAACTGAACTTGATTTGAATGAATTTCTACCGGTTTGCAGGATGTGGACGACCCTCTGCTGGACATGAAGACCCCCGTGTTGTTTGTGTTGGGCCAGAACGCCCTGCAGAGCAGCATCGAGGGCATGGAGGAGTTCAGAGAGAAGCTGAGGGCGGACAACAGCATGGTGGTGGTGGGGGGATCCGACGACAACCTCAGGTCAGTCACGACCCTTAATGGTGGCTGTAATGGCAACTTTATTGTCCCAATGTCCTATATTCGTCTATTGCCATTACTTCACAGGATTATGAGCGATCCAGACGCAGACACATAACAGATGCTTTGATGCCGTTTAGAATGATGTTTATTGAACGTTTACATTACCAAGGTTTAATTACTGAGTCAATGGTCGTATCTTGAGCATCTGCTGAGCTGGTTAGATCACTGTGCTCTTCCTCCTGTGTCCTCGCTCTTCCGGTCACCTATGACCCCTTTTATACACCCAGTGCAGCTAACCCCTGCAACCAAGTGTTCAAGAATAATATTGCACTATAAATATAAATAAAGTAAACTGACATGCCAACAACAACAACAACCATAAAATGGCTCCTACAGTGGCTGTTTAAGCAGCAAGAAATATGAGTTCAGTATAAAGATTTTAATATAATTCAGTAGTAAATAGGGGCTTTCACACCAAGTACTTTGCCGTACTTAGTTCATCAGAACTCTTTAGTTCTGATGAACTAAAACTAAAGAGGAGATCGCGTTCACACCGGAATAAGTCCCTGGGGGAGGATTACGCAAATGAAGCCGCTGACGTCACTTCTTCTTCTTCTGCCTTGGGTTTACTGGCAGGCCGCAAACAACTTCACGGCGTATACTGCCACCCGAAGCTACCTAGAAGCTGCTGGGACTCCCAGCAGCTTCTACTGAAGCCTTCCGAGTAAATCGCCAGAACGCCGACACCTCCTCATCTCCACCGCTCCCACGTTCTATTTTGTGTTGCCATAAGTTAGTCTCTCTCCGTTGTTGCGCTGGGCTAATGCTAATAATGCTAATGCGAGCAAATAAAATGGCGGCTTCACAAAACCTTTTTGGAGTTTTGCGGGGCGTGGTTTGCATTCCGCCCAGCCAATCAGAAATGGGAACCTTTTTCTCCCATGAAAGTACCTCTTCTCTAGCAGGGGGTAAAAGGTTCTCATGAACTAAGTTCTTGTTCCGGATTTCTTTGGTGTGAACGCACATTTTCGGAACTATACTGGGAAATGTACTCCGGTGTGAAAGCGCCTATTGTAACAGTGAATCTTTTCCCTACACAGGATTAATTCAGCAAAGATGAAATCAGAAGGACTGACGCAGACAATGGTTGACCGCTGCATTCAGGTTCGTCCTTGTAATAGGACTTATATCATTTCTCATTTTGTCTGGGGTGTTTCTTATCCCCTGCAGTACTTTTTTAAAACTAAAGAACTGCTCTGATGGTGCTAACAAACCGTTTTCTTTCTTCCATCACTGTTCTGCAGGATGAGATCTCTGACTTCCTGTCAGGCGTCCTCACTCGAGCGGAGGGTCACGGCCACGGCTCCGGGGAGATGAGGGACCAGGACACAGAAAAGAAGAAAAGGCCTCGGCGGGAGCTTCCCTTCGACTTGGAAAGAGGGCGACCTTCCTCTCCTGCACTCAGACTTCCCATCTCACCGTCAGGTTCAGAGGTCAGTTAGCAGGGGCTACATTCACCGCCATTTATCAACTGGTTGGAAGTGTCACAATGTTCAGCTTTAAAAAGAACCACCTGATAAGAATATTTGAAGTATTCATTATATTTCTAAATGGAACTAAATAATTAACCATTTGATTTTGTGTAATAATGGCTTGGTTTGCTTTGTATTCCCAACATTGGGAACGTTTTAGAAAAGCGGTCCAGTCATGAACATCTTATGAAAATAAGAGAAGCGGTTGAGATTCTAAACTAATCACTTCTTCCTCATCCCTTAAATGGTTTCTGTATCCTGGGGTGCACATTCATTTGACAGGCTTTGTCCATGTGATACATGGGTGTAATATTGTGTAATAACAGTGCAATGAGGATGTAACATGGATATTATATATGGGTGTAATATATAGGTGAAATAAATGAAATGCCTATATTCATTAACAAATTATTGATTTTTATTTTCCAAGTGCTCGCCCATTTAAGGGTTAAAAAAGGATGGCTTCTCACTTTTTCTCAAGTGCTAGCTAATGAGAAATTGTATCTGCCAGACATCAGAATGTCGTTTAATGAAATTCTCTCATCTTTGCTCAACTGAGTAAAATAATTTAGAGGAATAAACATGTGCATGTCTTAGGTTTTCCTCTGTAATCTAACATTTTGTTGACTGCATCTGGGAGGAATTTTAAAATACAGACCCTAGTGTTAGCTTGCTGCAACCATTTCCGATAATACAAAATGTTTTGAATGAGGATAAATAGCAGTAGGTTTACATGCAGTAGGAATGATTGCCGTCAATGAATCATGAGTCATCCTTTGTTCCTCCTTCTTGCTGTTTTCTCAGGATCTGTCGAGTGTCTGCAGCAGCCCCACGTCCAGTCCCAAACCCAAGACGTCGGGTCTGTCTCCAGCTCAGAAGTCCAGTCTGATCACAGCCACGCAGCTCCTGAAGACACACATGCAGCGCTCGGGCACAGTGCTCACTCACAAGCAGGCTCAAGGTTAGTTCACCACCACACACAACTCCACACAGGGTTCCCGTGGGGTCTTAAAAACTCTTATATTTGATAATCAGAATTTAAGGCCTTAAAAAGTGTTAAATATGATCAAAACAATTAGAAAGGTCTTAAATTAGATTTAAAAGGACTTACAAATGATCGGATTTGAAAGGTACTTCTGTGTTGCGATCAATTTGTATTGAAATAAATCAACATGGAACCAGTAATCACTAACTTTGCATCCCCCCGGACCCATATCGGAGAACACCCAGCTAGTAACCTAGCAACCAAGCTTCAGCTAGCGAGAGCACGCTCGTGAGACGTTGCGCCGGTGTTATGAATGCCCGCCGATATATGCATGCACCTCGTGGGAGCGCACACAGCGTAAAGCATAACACGGCATAACACCAGAGCCTCGCTGCGGGGAAACTTTGCCGCTGAGTTTGTTCTAATCTGTCAAAATGAAAGACTGCTTTCAGATATTATTCTTTTTGCCACCACTGCCTCCGGGCGACGTTTGGGTCGACGTCAACCCTAAAAGCGGAGGCGCTGTGGACGCTAAATACCGTAGCTAAACACCAATCATACAACAGCAACGATGAAAGATTGTAGCCAAGGCAGCAGAGCTCAGAAGACAGCTCTTGTCACACATACATACACAGAGACACCCACACACACACTTTCACGGTTAGGCAGTTTTTTCTGCTTTTTGGCTAACACAGTTCTGTGTGCTGTTATGTTCAGTCATCGTTCTTATGTTGATTGGAATACATTTACTTCGAAAGCAATTATGGGACGTATTTTATTCTTTCATAGCAATTTTCCTTCATTCTTTCTTGCCGTGAAATAGTTCTTAAATTCTATTCAAAGTGGTCTTAAAAAGTCTTACATTTGAGTTGGTGAAACCTGCAGGAACCCTGTCCACAGCCACATTCCTATCCACGTGCACAGTCATTCACCACACATCTCTGCTGTGTGAGAGATAAGAAAATGATTATGAAGCTTATCGCGTCCCAACATCTGACGGGGCAGGATAGAATGTGACTGATATACTTTCCTCTCACCCGCTCTCTCTTCTCTTCCTACGTCTCTCTTTTCCGGCTTTCTTTCCTCTTCATTCCAGCTCAGTTTGCTGCTTTTATGAAACAAAACATGCTTGTGAGGAAAAACCTTCCTCCTGGCACTCCTCCTTGTATTTTTGGTAAGTGTCTGTCCCTCTTCCTTTCTCTTTCCTCCGTGCTTCTTTCTTTGTTTCCATTGCTCCCATGTTATATGAGCAGCCCTGGTTTGTCACTAATCACATGGTGGTGTCTACTTTGGATTTGACATGAATGAAACACAGAATAGTCATTTTTATTTATTGCTCAAAGTAGATTATTACAGACAGACAGGTGTAATATTAAAGGTCACAGATAAACGAGGTTCCTCAGCAGTCTGCTCAATGTCTGTGTTGGTTTGCGCGGTGCAGTGCCAGTGAGCAGCGATCAGATGGAGGGCCTGGACAGAGATGAACTGAGGCCCCATGGCAAGAGGAGGCAGGCGCCGAGTCCCACACCAAGCAAGGCCTCCAAAAGAGCCAAGATCAAGGTCACCATCGTTTCCCAAAGCGAGTCAGCAGGGGGCAGCATCAGCCCTGCTGCACAGGAAGGTACACACCCTGCTCTCCTGACCTTATGACAAACATATGATCATAGGAAACAAATACTGTTGTTTTTTTGCCTATGGGTTGATCAAATCACTTGTGGGAAACCCTGAATTGGAAAAGGTTTTAGCGGATCACCTTCATACCGATCTAAGAAATGATTGATAAGAAAATAAACCTGTGTTTTTGTTTGGTTTACAGTATTGTTAAAGTGAGTAAGTAGGATGAAATGTATTTATTAATTCTTGCAAAAGCTGTGGGGTTTCTTTGAGAGTTTGTCCGATGTGAGCGTCTTAGAACAGGGTGTCGTATTCATATTCTGTACGAACTGTAAAGCCTCCCGAGACAAATGTGTGATATTTGGCTGTATAACTCAACTTTGATTGATTGATTGACCTGACACAGGTACTTCCTAGTGCTTGTTTCATACATAATGACTACATGAAGTATCTTCTTTAATTAGTTTGAAATTAAATCAGCATGATGTTTATTTCTCCCTGCAGTTTCCGGGAAGCCCTTAACGGTGACGTTGGGACAGACTGTGGCAGGAGCCAAGGAGCTCTCTGGACTCCTCACAGGCCAGCGGTAAGCTATCCTGCTTCACACCGGCACATTCCGTATCAAACCCCCTGATCCTGCCTACACCCACGCCTACGTTCCCCTCTTTTGACAAAAGTGTGTCTGCTGCAGAGGGATTGATGAGTGGTGTAGTCTGGGAGCTGAGTGGTGGCCAACGCTCCTGAGTAGATTGGTGGTTATGTGTGTCACTGCAGGTCTGGTAGTCTCTCAGAGGTTTCTGGTGCCCTGTCGTCAGGCTCCATCTCTTTCAACAGCGTGCAGCCGTGCATGGTATCAGGCTCCTCCACACCAGTCCAGGTGCAAGCTCCGGCTACTGCCCAAGGTATCTGTGTCCTGTCCTGCCCTGCACGCTTGTTAACACTCAACTGTGCGGCTAATCAGCACAGTGACCTCTACACACTTCTAACCGCTTTGTAGAGGGAGAATACACACTGGATAAGAGCAGTGTGTGAGGACAACATATTTGATCAACTTCATCATTGATTACCTCTTGCGCCATCGCTGTCTGTCAATGTCCCCAGCCTTACCCTTTGGACACGACTTCTCATACCGTGTGTATGTGTGTGTTCATCTAGTCTAGGCCTCTGGGGATTGGATGGGAGCTGTTTGTCAATATGCCTCCCAAATGTCAGCACCATTGATTTACTGTCTCTGTGTTTGTGTGCAGGGTCTTCCGCCAGCAGTCTGCTTCAAGGCCTAAGTTACAGTCTTCAGGAGATCGTCACCAAAACGCCTAGCTTTCCCTCCACAGATGCCAGTACAGGCAGCACACAGGTAACTGTGGTTACATGTTTACATTACATACACGTTTGAATGACCAAAAAGGACCTTTTGCTTCATTTAAAGTTCAGTCACTAAGAATTATCTATACTCTACTGGAGCCATTTTCCAAAAATATAAAGGGTAGCTTTGGTTTTCTTCAACCTGCACCTAATGTGTCAACATTGTTGTTTCCAAGTGACTAATAGGCACACGTTTTAGCGCATTGTAGAGAAACAAAAACACATGAGAAATTCTCTGGGTAGATAAAATGGCTGGCATATTTAATATCAAGAAGGTTATCTGGATGAGTTTAACTACCCTCACTCCTCGGTCACAAAGAAAGCAATAATGCCAAAATGCAGCAATTAAGATAGAATTGTAGCAACACTCATGGGAGCTACCATCCATAGCAATTGAAGTCGGAACAAACAGACCTGACATTTCAGTTTTGAATGTAAATTATACAATCAACATGAAAATGAAAAAACTGTGGCAAAAGTGAACTAATAAGACTAAATCATGAAGTTTATTCTCAGTGTTTTAAATATAACAAGACCTTAAACTGTTTGACCTCTTCTCCCCCCCCTCAGGCGGTCTGTGGTCGGCCCCAGGCTCAGGTCCTGAGCTCGGCCGGTCCCAGCAGCAGCGCTCTGCTCCGGGCGGTGCCTGTGGTCGCCTCAGGAGGAGCGGCTAAAACCACCGCCATCCACCAGCTGCTCACTAACGGCGGGTTGGCCAAAATAGCCAGCAGCTTGCCCGGCTTGGCGCACATCACCAATCAGACCGCTGGTATGTCTAGAACTGCCAAAACACGACGGCCACGTTGAATGCTCAGAGTTCAATCCCACTTTGTTTTGGAAACACTAGTTCAGGACGTCTGTAGGCCACAGAGAGCCGCAGTACACGACCTTAGAGGACGGCTCTGTCACCGCGTGTAGATGAATGCCTGGAAGAACCTGACTGTTGTGAGGTGTGCAGATATGCAGCATCGGAGGGCAGATCAGTGCCGCATGATTTATTTTCATGTTCAGAAAGAGCCATTACGGAAATGTGAGGTAGAGTTTGAAGCCTATGTTTGACGCATAATGTTTATGTAGAAGTGGATGCATGTGTAAAATAAATATTAATGAATAAATCCATTTGATACTGAAGAATTGTGAACTAAGTTAAAACCAGTGTGGGTATGATTGACCAACTTTAAAATGATACCCAAAAGTAAAATCCAGATCGCTTTGTTTGTCCCATTTGAGCTGCATTTCATGTTTTTGTTATCCATGTTGTAACATTTTGTAACCCTTCCATCAAATCACCTGCTTATAATATCCATATGTATGAATGCTGTCCTCTAACAGAGAAAGGCAGTAACACATTACACATGGCATCTCCCGAGCTCTGTTCATGTTGTTACAATAAAGACTGGAATCAAAATCATGTTTTCATTGCTCCTTTTTCTTTCAGTGTCAATCAGTTCTCACTCCTTTTGCCTATTTTTAAAACTCCTAAATGTGCTTTTACCTCTCATTATGTTCATTGTCCAAACCTGCTTTTGATTTGCTTACCTGACCACGAAGCAAAAAGGTTATTCTGATGACTTCCTTCACAACTTTTTGACAAGTAATTGGCTGCGTTCCATTTTTACTGAGTGTGTTTGGGGGGTTACGGTAGTGCTGAGCAGTTTTCTTTGTGTGTCATTAGGGCAGAAAGCCCCCACCTCGATAACGGTGACCCTGAGAGGAGCCCAGTCGAGTAGAGTGGGATCTCTCAGCCAAGACTACGAGGCTGTGACGCCGATTCGCACCCTTGAGCCAAAGGTGTGTCTACTTTAAACATCTAACGGCTACCGATAAAGCCACAATTGACTTCAAACTCTTGATGTGATAAGTGTGGCTTTCTGCTTGTTGATCATGTAATATCAGCTTGTAGTGCTTTTCACAGTGCCCACATTGTTTTCACTCAAACTCAAGGTAATTTGTCTTTTGGAAAGCTTGTGAACATCTTAACTGCTATGGCAACTCCAATGCCATTAATTAACCTTTGTGTTGTCCTCCTCCCAGTTTGACAGTTAATAAAAATATAGTTCAAATCCTCAGCTGTAATGTTTTTAGCCAACTCAATTCCCACGTATTACCACCAGTTTGACTGTCCTTTTTGGAATCAATAGACCTCATTTACTCACAACAATGTTAAGTAATTGACACCAGAAAAACACGGATACTATACATTTCAATAAAACACCCGTAATTCAATGAAAGCATGATCAGTATTTCTTCTCGCTAAGAACATGGAACAATCTATGATACTTTTAATAACCCCTTTTATTTATTTTTTGTGAAGACTATTAAATAATGAATATTTATTAACCTGCTTGATGGTTAACCTTTACCCAATTAAGTGTGGTGTTTTCTGGCTTAAAACCCAAAACATAGTTAATGCTCTCCTTATTCCCTATTGTTCGACATGATGAAACCCTAAAGGTCCAAGTGTGGTAAACTGGTTTGACTTGTGTCTTCAAAAAGTCACATTTTAGAGGCATATGTATTTTGAAGGATATTTATTTTCCATTTTTGATGTTTTAATCATAGAAAGCTATATAAAATGCTGCCATAAGTGCAGAGTGAAAAAGACTTTATCCTAATCCATCTAAGGCTGTGTACAAGAAGGAGCTGCGCTTATGAAAATATCCTCACATTATTACTGAAGAGCTGTATGCACTCTAAAGTCTTTGTGCCAAATAAGTAAATGTCAAACAGTCCTTTGTCTCTAAGACTTTAATTAAAATAGGCTTATTGTTATATTTTCCGCAGTGTGAGTTAATGAATTCCACTGTGCCCTTCTTACAGCAGTGAAGGGTTTCCATGTGGCGTTACACCTGAGCTAAGCTGGGGCTCTTCCTGCTGATGAGACTGTTCCCTCCCTGAGATGATGAACACGCCAACCTGCAACTCTCACAACACCTGGCCGTCCTCCAGAGACTCCCTGCGGAGAAGGAGAAGGCCATGCAGTCGCTGTTGGCTGTGGCTGAATGCTGCGTTGCTTAACCTCTATGTACAGCAGAGGAGCGCTGACTCTGCGTCTCCATGCTTCAGTCTGGGCTCTCTTCTTACACACCTCTGACAGCCAGGAGGAAAACCTGATCTCATGTCATCCTCAAGGGAGGAAACTTTATCATGTGAGGATAAACTGCAAAGTACCTGGACTTGGACAGTCTTGCTGCTGACTTTACACCTACATCTTGATAAAAAACAAAACGTTAGCTTTGCTTTATAAGTGTATATTAATGGAACAATTCACCCCCAAAATGATCTTTTGTATATACATTACTCAGCCCCTTTTACATTTTAATGAGGATCTATTATGCTTTTGGGGTTTTTTATATTTCCTGAATTGTGTTATATAGGTTTAAGAAAAGCAGATATTTGTCTTTGAATTCATAGTAACCGAGTAATTGTGTAGGTGGAGTATCCCTTTTAGTATAAATCCTTTTGCCATCATCTCTTTTGCATCTCATTTATCATAGCATCATAGCCCTAGAGGAGTATGGTTAATAGGAAGGTCAGCTTGAACATTTCTGAATATCTCTCTAAAGTCGGAGGTTCCATATTGTTTATCACAGTAATTACATCATTACACGATTACAGCGGTTCATCATAATAAGAGCAGTGAAGGTTTTCCTTCACTGTGACAAACAACTTCACCTTATGATGACCTAAAATATGTTAGAGGGAAAAATGTACTTTAACCCTCCTATTATCCTCAGATTTACTTTACACCCTTTATCCTCTGGGGTCAATTTGACCCCAGTAGTTTAAGACTCAAGACAATGATCATATTCCACATTTTAACCAACATGTATGTCTCTGGTGCTTTAGGTATCTTGTTGACTACCTAAATAACCATTTAAATAAAACATTAGCCCAACCTCCCCCCCCCCCCACAGACCCCTTTATACATCCAGAATTCCTATTATGTGAATATCGACAAATATATAAATCACCATAAAATCTCACATACTGAAATAAAATGTTAAAGTAAGATCTTTTTGATGTTGTTAAAGGACCAATAGCTAAAGCAGAGGGTAGTTTTGTTTTTACAATGATACATTCGCATGTATTAGTCACCTCAATATCATCCTACACAATCAACACAAATATGTGTGTATATGTTTTACACTACTAAAACAGCCTGGGGTCAAATTGACCCCAAGGAACACCAATGCGTACAAAGTGCATACAGGACATTTAAAAAAGATCTTCATGTTTATTTTATGTTTACCCATTAGTCCTCACTAAATTAGGAAAAGTCATGAAATAATAAGCAAACAAAATAATGTGAACCCTTTTCTTCGATACATTAAACATTGAATGGGGTCAAATTGACCCCAAGGATAACAGGAGGGTTAACTCAAATAAATGTCAGTATGTGTCACAATCATGTGAATGCAGAGGGTACAAAACATGCATTGAGGCCTGGAATTAAAGTTGTAGTAAAAAGCTGCATTACAGGAAAGGTTGTGTCCCTCCGTGTTTATGATAAACACAACATTTACCATCTGCAAAGTATCATCACTGAATACGGACTCTTTGTTTGAAACAGCAACAGTCAAAAAAATAGATGTGTCTCAAAAACACTCGACTAAGTTCCCTGTTTGCTAAATATTTGGTCCTCTGTGTTCAACACTTGTATTGAGCAGGCTGAAGAACTCCTCTTATTCAAAGTATAATGCTCTCACGCATGATAGTTATACGGCCTTGTTTACAGAAACAGCGTAAATACAGCCCACGCATCGGCGCTGACATCCTGTCTTAGATTCCACAGCTCTCTGATAACTCAAGTTATATAAGCCAGCTTTGTGTGTAATAGGCTGGGATGGGGAAACTGATGCCAGTCAGAGAACAACGGGGCTGCTGGCAGAGCCTCATCATCCTCATCTTCATAATAATCATTTGCAGCAGTGGAAATGCACACAATCAATCTGAAGTCTCTTCCTGTTATTTTCTACAGGAAGGAGTTCAGAATATGAATACAAGTCTGAAATCATTGTTACATCTAGGAACTGTGAAGACAAAATGAAAAAGAGTAGACATTTTAAACAAAGGGGCAAGCACACTTTGATAAACTGAGAAACAAATAAGTACACTTTCAAGGTGGAAAAGATAATACGTTGAACAAATAAAGTGAATAAATGCACTATGGTGCACTAGATTGAGAAAAAGCTGTCCATAGGAACCTGAGGATTGTCTCCCACACGAGCTCCTCATCTAATTATTGAAACAAACAATGTATTTTTCATCATGGTTTTTTACCTGCATTGTATAGCCACATTTGGTGGCCTCCTGATCATTATTTCCAGAGATACATGTGATTAGGCTGAGACGGCCCCCTTCAGAGGAGCCTACATTTTCGGTTATGTGAAGGTTCCAAACATCAACCTAAACAATTAATTTACAGTAATATATTGCTATAAAACCAATCTATTTAATAAACTAGACATATTAACGTAAGGAAAAAACATGGTTGTGCTTTGTCCTACCTCGGGTAATAGTATCTTAAAAACTAAAGCTTAGTTTAGGGGGTTTGTTTCTCTACTATTAAGTCTTCTTCGGTATGTTCTGTAAGTCGCCACCAGGTGGTGCTCTAATCACCCCAATGTCCTCCTGACTAATTATTTGATAGCCTGTGCTTGTGAAGCCTCAAATGTCAGGCTCAGTCTGCTTGTTTGTTGTTTGTTTGTGTTGATGTGCTCGCGTGCTATAGCACGAGTGGGCGCTTGCAGTCTATGCGCACGTGCGTAATTAGTGCGCGGTCTTGCTAGGCTGTGTGTGAGCTCTCCTGTGTTAAAAGCGAAAAAGAGAAAGCCAAACAGGGACTTTCAACTTTGATTAAACTGTACAAAGATAGGAAAATAATCTCAAACCTGTCATGTAAGTACAGTTTCATTTGAACTTTTATATTAAAGACAACAAAGAAAGCCACAGGGACATTTTAGTTTCAACCCCAGCTAAATATGATGATATATTAACTTTGGTAGGTTTTAATATTAAATGAAGATCCATACACCGAAGATTAAAGAGGCAGCAGAACTATTGCCACATTCTTCATACTTCACAAAGAGATACAAAAATGAGTTCCTCAAATGCTCTTCAATGACCCCTGATGGACCGACCAGGGAGCGATAAAGCAGCCCAGGGGCATCGGCCTGTAATGGGGCTGTTCACCGCCCTGCTGCCAGATCATCAAAGTTTCTCCGGCAGCTCTGCTGGATGAGAGAAATCTCTGCCTGCCCCCAGAGCCAAGAAGACACTCAAGAGAGGCTGGATTTAAAACCCGCCCTCCGGAGGGATCTCGTTTCCCCCAAAAACCTCCCATTTTCTCTCTCACTCACTCTTCTGTCTCTCTCTCTCTTCCCCTCTGTCCCTCTCTGTTCCTTTACCTTTATCCCTCGCCTTTCGCCGTTTCCCCCACCACAATAATGGATCTCACGGCGAGATGTTTGTGTGTCCTCTCCTGTCTCGGCGTGATATTGGCGATCGATTTGGACGCGATTGGTCCGCGCTACTATGTGGAGTCCAGTGCCACATCAGAGGTGATCGACTATAAGGATCCCTGCAAAGCTGGTGAGGTTTTCTCCTTTTCCCCCTGTAGTAGCAACGCTGTGTGCTTCACCTTTAGGAGGTAGAAACATGCCACGAATCTGTTTTGTGTGGCTTTGCACAGATCGGCCACACAAACGCTTTTATCGAGAGATGACAGTAGTGGATGTAGTTTTGAAGAAGGCTTCATAGAACATTGTGTGCGTTTGTTTTGTACTGAGAAGCGGAGTTTTTCAGTTTGAAACATTTGAAGCACACACTGAGTCGCCTCAGATAACCCAGCTCCGAGAGCGGCTGCAAGGCTTTAAGAGTGAAAATAAAAGCATGACAATACATACCTCCAGAAAAGTTTTGTTCTTACTGAAAAAGTTACAGCCTGCTTTTTTGCGGCAAATGCACTTTTATTTTTTGAATGTGATTATCTGGTTCCTGCTGGCGGTCTGCTGGTTTTTTTTCACTTAGAAAACCATCGCTGTTAGTCAAACGAAGCATTTTTGCACTTAGATTTTTTGACTTTTTTTGCTCCCTTTCTAGTTGTTTTTTGTCATTGCAGAAATACTGTTTAGTTTTTTTTCACCGGCTGTCCACACGGCCACTAAAACAAAGTGGAGGAGGGGAAAGTACAGTGGAGTTTATGCACATAATTCAGTTGTCTGTTGTCTTATGGCCAAATATGTCTGCTTCTTTTCTGCTGTGGTGAGACATGCATATTTTTTTTCATAATTTGGCAAATGCATATCTGACTTGTCATTGTAATCTTCCTCTCTGTGTGTGTGTGTGTGTGTGTGTGTGTGTGTGTGTGTGTGTGTGTGTGTGAGAAAACTCACTGTCTTGCCAAATCCCTTTGGGGGAGTTTGAACAGATTGTGTTTTCCATCTGGTGAAAGTATTCAGGTTACAGATACAGAGAGTTGGCTTCACGCAAAATGACCTCTAAAGTGCTTGAAGTGCTTACTGATTTGGCATTTGTCAATTTCTGATGTGGCAGTCAATTATAAAACACAATTGAGTCCTCCAGCTTTACCCGTCTCTTCTTCTTCTTCTTCTTCTTCTTCTTCTTCTTCTTCTTCTTCTTCTTCTTCTTCTTCTTCTTCTTCTTCTTCTTCTTCTTCTTCTTCTTCTTCTTCTTCTTCTTCTTCTTCTTCTTCTTCTTCTTCTTCTTCTTCTTCTTCTTCCCCCCTGAGGAGGAGTACATGTCGAGGGAGATGTAAAGATTGTGCTCCAGGAGCTTTGTGGCTTCACATAAACATGACAAAGGTCAGGCTGCAGAAGAACTGTGTACAAGTCAGTGAAGATGTTGCTTCCTGTTGTTGCTTCACTGTTCAAGTGGTCATAGCAGATTGTTTTGCATCACTAGTATGGATTATAACTCATTAACGCAGAAGACTTCAGAATGAAGGGTCAACAAACCAAAGGCCAATGATCTTGTTTATATTTTAAGAGTTTTTTTTTCATTGCGTTTCCAAGAAATTGTTACGATTTATCGAAAATGTCTCATCTGGGTCATACCCACTTCACAATCCTCAAGCAGTGCTGTTGTTTGTCTTGTTTGTGAGAATGTTATCATTATTAGTAATCCTGTTTTCAGTGTAATTTGGATGGAGTGCCGTTTTGTTTATGGTTTCCTCTGGGCTCGGCTGCAAACAGGTGGTTGGGGAGACGGTCACAAGTACAAACTCCCACTCTCTTAACCCTCGCTGTCTCCAGCTCGTCCAACACACACCTGCTTTCTCCTTCTACCTACTTCACAGTAACATGTTTCCCCTTTATTCCTCATTCGGTTGAAACACCAGAGATTTTTCACTGTCGTCAACTCCTTACTGATGGATCAGGATTCTTGGATTATCGATTTCCTCTCTTTTACCCACATTTTTCACCCAATCACTGCACTTTTTGAGTCTA